GAGCAAATAATCTTGCAAGGAACTGTTAAAACCGCTAGTGTGAACTAAGATCCCCATCAAAAAAAAAGGAAAGAGTATTCAGTCACCACTTTTATTATCATTTCCAGGACTCTGGCTTCCTCTCTATGCTAATCTATCACAAAGATGAAAGCCTCATTATCACCTTATTCACTTGCCAAAGCCAGAATAAGCCATCAATTACCCTGGAACTGTGGCTAGAACATCATCACTTCCTGCTCTGGAAAAGAAAAGAAAAAAGACACACCCCCACCCCTCCACCACTGGGCTTTCCCCATCACCAGCCACCAGATCCCTTTTACTGGAGATACTTATTAATTTATTAAATTTGTATACCGCCCTTCATCCATAGATCTCAGGGACTGAACCGGCATGCAAAAGCAGATAGTAAGCTAAGGATCCTCTACAAATTCTGACCAACTCTTTCACAGAAACATAAGCTACTTTAAAGCCAAGCCAGACCATCAAGTCTACCTAGCAAGATAATACCTGAATACCTGAACAGAACTCCAGGTTTCAGACAAAAAGGCTGAACGGAGATCCTCCTGCAGGGAACTATACCAGAACTTGGAACTCATACCTACTCACAGACTTCCTACCACACAGAGGTTCCATTTGAGTCTGTACTGTGAACCAAGTTACAAAAGAAGGGAGTTCTCAGAACTGATGACTACTACTACAGTGAACTGGAGCCAGCAAAACAGGGGGCAGAGACGAGATTTGCTAGACCAGTTGCCCACACTTCCTATTTTTAAAAAATAAATGATTATTAGTTTTCCAATATTATTCCAATAATGGTCCCATTATAACAACGGCATTTCATATCCAATTAATACATTGATACAAATTATTCAAATACCAAATTATACATTTTAATTAAAGTGCCCCCCCACATGCTAGGTTTGATGGCTTCCTAAGTTTTTTCTTTGTCAGCATTCCAAAATCTTAATAATTTCAGTTACATTCAAGTTAAAATTATAACCCTTTATAGAGCAGCTGCAATCTTGATGATTTCTATTCATGTTGTTTCATTAGGTAATTAATAAATCTTCAAGTTCCATGTATGATATTATGTCTTTATTTCCTCCGATTGTTGCTGCTACCCATCGTGACTTGGGTGGAACTGTCCGGTTGCCCACACTTCTGTGCAAATTTATTTGTGCATAGCTGTATTTGTCTGAAAAGTGCCACCATAATTTAGAAAGCTCCCTTCCAGGATCACCTTGACTCAATTTCTGCTCACTACAGATGAACAGCCCAACTACTCTTCTTTCTAGTCGCATGTGCTCTTAAATTTCCTGGCTCGACGGCTTCTCTCTGAATGTAATGTGTGTATGCTAAACATACCATATTAAGGCTCCTCTCAGGCAGATCAATTTTTAATGTGGATTTTACAAAGATTGACTCGGGGATGCATTTAAAATTGGAGCATTAGCCGCAGGTGGCCATTTCTGAGACACAACCGAAGCCGTCTGATTATTTAGCGAGCTAGCATTTTGTAAATTTTAAATCTTAGGCAGGGCTATGGGGCCTTCTGCAGCGGGCGGGCACCCGCTCCTAAATATGTTGACTTTTCTGTTGTTTGTGTGTTGTTTGGTTTGTTCTGGTATTAAGCCGGGATGGGTGGTTAATTATTTATCTGCCATGTACGATTAGCCGGCTGGATCTCTTTTGCGGAGGTTCTGTTTTGTTTCAAACTGGCTGTCAGGCAGAGTAGCATCAGACAAGGAGGTGGGGGTGCAGCTGGTGTGGAAAGTGATGGGGAAAGAACCCAGATTCATTGGCAAAGTGGTTCTCAAAGAGCAAGGCAGGCCTCTCTCTGGAGGAGGTGCAAGCAGATGCTAGAAGAGGCAGGTCCAGGTCTGAGGAGGTCTCCACAAGGTGGGCTGTCTCCTACACTGGTTGCCCTCCAGCCCCCATTTTAGATTTCCCACAGCGCCCCTGAACACCTGGCAGTGTGTCATTCCAAGGCATTCAGTGGTGGCTGGTCCCTAGTGGGCCTGGTGGGGCAGAAGACAGGGCAGCATACAGTAGATATAGGTACTTTCACCCCCCCCTTTTTTTCTACTGGTACTCCTGTACCATTAAATGCAGCCTGGGATGCAGAAATTAAATAAGTGAAGCTATTCATGCCATGGTTAGATCAATGGTGGGGAAAGCATCCAACTTGAAGTTCTGCATGTATGCTTAGAACTAAGTCTCAGTGTAATCAAGAAGATGTACTCCTCAAAATAAAGCAGCATCCATCAACTTATGTTTTGCATATCAGCCTGCTGCTTAAGCAACAGTAGAGCTCATGAAAAGAAGTTGGCAATCTTGCTGCATCTAGAAAGATGTAGGACTGCAGCTTAATAAGGCTTAGGGCCGGAAGATCTCAAGGACCACATGAACTTGGGACCCAAGTACTTAAAAGAGAGCCTTCCTCAATACAAACCATCTCAGATGCTACAATTGACAGGTAAGGCCTTGTTGGTGCCTGACTGGCACTGACCCATAACAGGGCCTTTTCAGTGTTGGTTCCTCAGTTCTGGAATGCCCTCCTTAGTGAGGTGTGTAAGTCTCCATCTTTACTGTCAGGGAGAATTGGAAAACATTCCCGTTTACCTAGGCATTTGGCAGCTGAATGATACTGTTCCTAGCAACCCGAAGATCACTGGATGGAAGTACTGTATGTTTCTAACTGGTTTTAGATGGTTTTAACTGTAAATGTTTTTAGAATGTTTTGATTGTTTTATAATGTTTTTGCTTTGTTTTCATTTTTAAAGTGTGCTTCTGTCTGCCATCCTGGGCTCCTTTGAAAGGAAGGGCGGGATATAAATTCAATAAATAAGCGTAACTTGCCCAGGTAACAAGAGCTTCCTACAGGGCACTTCTGTAGCTCCCTGTGCTATCAACAGAAAGGCAGGGTGCTGCCAATCTGGACCCACCTAAGCCTGCAGAACAGTCAACTATAGCAAATTTTAGCAAACAGTAGAGCTGCCATGATTGGGCCAAAATGGAAGAAAAAAATACAGTTCCATGCCACTTTTATGTAAGTTGCTTGGAACTTTCTGCCGTCTCTCAGTAATAGTCATGTGAGACCTTGGCACTTTGGACAGTGATAAGATTAAAAGATAACATCATACCAGCAGCATAAATAGAGAGCCATTTTTCTTTTGAAAGCAATGGGATGGGATGAGAAGAAAAACACCACAATGGCAGTAGAATTATAAATGCTTTTGGAATGTTTGTAAAGGATGTGCTGGAAAAGCAGGGGCCCCAGACGAGTTATGCCAGTTAATATCTTACAGGGTTCCCCTACATAAATAATGAAATTGAAGTAAAGATGGGAAATTCCACCCTCCTGGCCCAGTTTGCTGGTCAATATAAGATGTGTTCAAATAATCCTTTGTTCTCTTTCTACCTGCTGTCTATTCAATTCTGCTTGGCCTGCTTTCACCCAGCTGAAGGCTACAAGATCCTGGCCCGCAGTCACAGATGGGTAGCTATGAACTTCACTCCCAAATACTGAGATGCTACAAAACTTAGGAATTCTGTGTCACAACTAGATGGGCTGGAGGAGGCCAAATGGTCAACGAGAACAGGAAAAAACAAACAGTGTGATTCCTTTGTCTATGCAGTTCCAATGCTATTCTTAATGCCATTCTGAAACTACGTTTTCCAAAGATACTCTGTTGCTATATATTACATTGATTTAAACCACTTTGTGTTCTCCCAAATTCAAAATACCATTAGCTTCCATGTGAAGATAATGATAATGAAGAATTATAACCAATTCCTTGTAAACGTAGAGATTTTATTGCAATCAAGTAGTATAGATGCTTTGCTACATTAATAAGAAATAAACCAATCTATATGTTTCAGTTACAGTCTGGAGCCTGTAGTCTTTTATCACTGATCATGGTTCACATCCACACAAACATTTAAAGCACATATCTTCCACCAAAGAATCCCGGGAACTGCAGTCTATTGACCACAGAACTACTATTTCCAGCCTCAGACTAAAGTTTCCCTTGGGAGAAGAAATGAGCTTTAAATGTTTTGGCATGGATGTGACCATGCTTTACTCTCGGTCTCAGTTCCTAATGAGCAATTTTGAACCCTGATTAGAGGACCCATTAACGCTATTGTATTGGCTGGGAATTGGCAGGGTAAAGACTAACACTGATTGTATTTAACAGGTGTGAGATGGAATAGGGTCGGTCTTTCTGGGGCATTCTGCCCCTGCAAGTCTCTCCCCATGGAAGCTTGCCTGGTGCCATCTCTGTTATCTCCTTGGCACCAGCTGAATAATTTTATTCATCCATGCTTTTCAAAATATTTAGTATGTTACAATCTTACACTGTATTAATGTTTCTTAAATAGCATTTCATTCATCCTGCTCCCAAGAAGAGAGGATACATTTCCCAAAAGCAGTATATAAATGCTTAAAATAACCTACAGTGGTCCCTCGGGTTAAGAACTTAATTCATTCCGGAGGTCTGTTCTTAACCTGAAACTGTTCTTAACCTGAAGCACCACTTTAGCTGATGGGGCCTCCCGCTGCCGCCGTGCGGCCGGAGCACGATTTCTGTTCTCATCCTGAAGCAAAGTTCTTAACCCGAGGTACTATTTCTGGGTTAGCAGAGTCTGTAACCTGAAGCATCTGTAACCTGAAGCGTATGTAACCAGAGATACCACTGTACTGTATTTCTTGCATCAACTAGAACAGGGGTACGCAACCTAAAGCCCAATCGCCTTCTCCATCTGGCCCATGGACGGTCCAGGAATCAGTGTGTTTTTACATGAGTAGAATGTGTCCTTTTATTTAAAATGCATCTCTGGGTTATTTGTGGGGCATAGGAATTCGTTCTTTTCCCTGGAAAATATAGTCCGGCCCACCACATGGTCTGAGGGATGGTGGACCAGCCCACGGCTGAAAAAGGTTGCTGACCCCTGAACTAGAATCTCTCTCTTTGCACCATTAAAACAATAAATAAACTGGGGAACAAATAATTAGTTTATTACCTCCAAAGTTCACATGAATACTCAGGTGTGCTAGAAAGCATGGAGCATTAGGATGCACAGTGTCTATGTGTTATTATGATTACTTATCGTCATTTTGTTTCATTCCCATCCCAGTCCTTCATAACTCCCTGTTGACGTTTGGTCCTCTGACCCAAGTTCGAGGGCAAGACTTCTGTTTCCTCTCTCACGGATTGCAAATTGCAACTGTGCTGGGCTTCTCCAATCTTTGGTCCATTTCTGGACCATTTCCTCCAGCCAGGTCCACTTCTTGAAAAACATGTTTTCCATTATAGTACATCTTTTGCGTAGATCATTCTCCCTGGGCAGCAGGAAGGACAGGACTTTGCTCCGCGCTGTGCCTTTGTCCTCTTCTACCCTCAACCTCTGCTCCACATTGTGGATTCTGGTTTCGAGCCTGGCCACCAGTTCTGTCAAGTAACCAAGGATGCCCTCCAGCTTCACCAAGGTGCCCGTGACTTTGTCCTGGAAGTTCTTCATGTCCTCCTGAGTGTTCTTCAGGTCATGGCACAATCTCCCCAAATCCAGGGCATATTGGGTGCAAACTGCAGAAGTCATGGTGGAGAGGAGGCAGGCTGAGATGCTTTGAGTGGGGCCAGTCAAGACTGTCTTACCAGATGGAGACTCTGAAGGGTGTTCTCGGGACTGTCGCCCTGACTCCATCCCAACAAGCTCAAAGCTTCTCCAGGTTTCCATCTAGGTCTTAAAGGTAGTTCAAAGGCAGGGGAAATGAAGCTCCGCAGGTCCTGCAATCCCCATGGCTCCTCCTGAAGTCATCCTTGCTAGGCCAATTGTAGGTCATAAGTGGGTTTGAGCTATGAGATTGTGACCTCAGAGTCAAACCAGCAAATGGCAGAGTTGGTTGCATGACATATGCCAGGCCTGCTGCTTAAATAAAATTGCACAGCACAACCTGACTTTGTCAAACCATACTTGCCCAATTGATCATGTGCAGCTATTTTCTAATCTTCTGATTTTGTGAGTTGTGGAGGTTTATTTCTTACAGGTTGTTGGCCTATTGTTTTTATTTCAGTTTCTACTCCTGATCAGCAAGAATGAGAGCACTGCAACAGGCTTGCTATTGTGCTGTAAAGAGGGAACTTTCTTCTCTAATTCAGGAGTAGATAACATGGTGCTCTTAAATTATTTTGGACTACGACTCCCATCAGCCCCAGACATCAATGGCTAATGGTCAGAGAGGATGAGATTTGTAGTCCAGAAATGATGCTATATTGGTCATCCCTAGTCAGACAATCGCTTTTGGCAGCTGATGGCTACTAGCTACCATGTATTTATTTACAAACATTTATATATTTCCCTTCCTCAAAACTGATTCCAGGACTATTAATGTTTTTGAAAGTACTTATATATTAAACTGGAGTGGGGGAACCAAGCCAACAGAAAAAAAGAGCAGCCAATATTCCATATACTGTATATCTCACTTACTTAGGTGGGGCCTTGCAGTAAGAGTTTTTTTGGGGGGAATCCTTTTGTGTATCAAGGAAAGCAGTAACCTTGCCAGAGAAACCTTGAAAAAAGGCACCTGTATTGAGGAGCCTAGCATGCAAAATTATTTAATTGCTTTAGTCAAGTTAAAAGCCTGACAGTTTAATCGGCTAAAATAATTTCAATAATTTGACAGCACGATCATTCTTCCCTTCTTAAAAGACATCCCGGCGGCCAAGCCCAAAATGGGAAATGCCTAGAAGTTTTGCCCACCCACATATTAAGTCTTCCACACGTACCCAGCCCTGTATAACTTAGCTAAAGGTTCTCCTCAGAATATTTGTGACTACTGTGTCCTCCTTAATTTTAAAGGTCCCAGGAGAGATAAAGTCTTGTTCTCCCGAGGAGCCTATTTGGCAGCCTAATTCTTCTCCCCGCCACAAATTTCACAAGGCTATAAGCCGAAATGCTTCTTCTTTAGTTTCATCCCATTAGTCCTCCTAATACCCCTGTGGATTGGGCTAAGCAATTCTTCTGCCTTGTTGGTGGGAGAAATGATCATAATGCTGAGTTTTTGCTTCTGCCTGAAAAGGCTTTAATCCCCACAGCTCCATTCTCTGTGAGAGTCAGTCCTTGGCATTTTCAGAAAGTGAACAATGTGATAACTCCCCGCCCCCCCGTCTCACAGAGCAACATCCAAAACTTCTCCACAACTCGATGAATCTGGGTAGCTACTTTAAAGACATGTTGGCAATGGGGGATAAAGCCCCCACAAAGGCTTCTGGGAAAGAGACTGTCATCCAGCTAGGAGGAAGTTAAGGCCAGGAGCCTGAACCACCGCCACTCCTCCTAGCCTTGCCGGGACTGTCAGATTTGTTATAGATATTATATAAGGTTCACTCTGGAGCCTTTCTGGATAAAGAGGAGAGTGGGTGGAGGTTTAAATAAAAAAACAACAATTAAAATAGGTTTAGAACCCCTCTGCACATAGTGCCACATTTACACGAATCTAATGCACCATCGAATCTAATGCACACCTGAATTTTCAAAACCTTAAAACAAAAAAACAAAAAAAGGAGAGGTATTTGCTGCCGAATGCAAATGTGCCATCAAATCTAATGCACATCCTAATTTTCGTGACATAATTTGGCCAAAAAAGGATCACATTACATTCGGGTAAATACAGTATTTTGAAACCAAAAGCGTGACTAAATATTTCTGAGGAAAGTTTCACTCTTGGGCAGGGGTTGTTGTGTTTCTTTCTGTTAAAGTGTAAGGTCCTAAATATAGCATCCCGATGGCATCAGCCCTATAAAACAGAAAATGTCCCCTCCCCATGGATCAGCGTATCCATTAGGCTGAGCAAATATTTTCCTGTTCTGTCCTTGTAATTCTATTTTGATTGATCCTTCTACACGCTAAGGGGAAAGTGAGAATGGGGCTCACGCCTGGCCAAAATGCCAAGAGGTAAAAAATGTACGTGTTTGCTCACTGCGCTGGGCATGGAATGCTTTTATCTCTGTAGGGGGTGGAATTTTAGACTGCAGAGACCTGGGTTCAAATCATCAGTATTGGTTTCCCCAGTTCTTCTGAAGCTCACTAGTAGAAATCCAGTGGCCCACTGGCCACACAAATAAGGGCTTGAAGCTCACCTATTTTTACTGGCTATTTTAGGCTACATCTGTACCATACTTGTAATGCGCTATTGTTCCACTTTAAACTGTCATGGTTTCCCCCAAAGAATCCTGGGAACTGTAGTTAGTTAAGGGAGCTGCAAGTTGTGAGGAGACCCCCGTTCTCCTCCCAGAGCTACAATCCTGAGATTTAACAACCAACCCCTCTTCCCAGGAAACTCTGGGAATTACAGCTCTGTGAGGGGAATAGGGGGTCTCTCTTAGCATCTCTCAGCACCCTTAACAAACTACAGCTCCCAGAACTCTTTGGGACCACCTACGACTATTTAAGTGGTACAAGAGGACTTTAAATCTACAGAGCAGAAATGGCCTTAACTTGCTGCTGGGAAATGACTGGGAATCAGAAAACTTTGGTGCAAATAGCCCAGAGAGCTATTTGCAGATCAGCAGATCCTACCTAATCTATCTTCTGACTGCCTCTGACTTAGACTGTGGCTGAAAACCCTAATTGTTTCTTAGGAGGACGGTAAACAGGGTGGTACTTCTTCCAGATGAATTAAGCCAGGTAAGAACGGTGTGATCTTGTAAACAGAGACACACTGCGAGTTCAGCTGGAAACCTTTTATACTGACCCAGCTGGAATTCCATCAGGAACGAGGGCAGAAGGTGAAATCAGAAATATAACAAGTTGATAAACTATCTTCTCTCTGTGTTCCATCTCATCTCCAACATGCTGTGTGTATGTGTGTGTCTTAAGAAAACCCATGCCGAAGATTTCCATCCAACCAACCTCATTTTTTGGTAACAGTTTTCTTTCAGATTACTGCCCCATAGCTGGAGAGAGGACAACTTTATTAGGCGTGAGCGACACAGCTGTCTCTTGATGGGGGGGGAGGAGTTGTGCTTCTTGACAGTTATAGATATTCCTCTGTGAGATACGGCAGAATATTGGGGGGACGGAAATGAAAAAGATTATATAAAGAAGGTCATACTGAGCAATTTCTAGTAAAGAGTCAAAGAACCATATAATTCAACATTTATATAGACAAGGCTTTGAGGGAGCTGTTAGAAAACATTAAAAACAGACTGGAGAGTTGTTAAGGGTTGTTGTTTTCTTGGTCTAGATCAGTGTTTTTCAAACTTTCCAAATAGGGAATGTTTTCTACACTGAAGTGGTTAGAATGCAGGACTAGGACCTGGGAGACAAGGGTTCAAATCTGCACTCAGCCATGAAACCCACTCTGGCTACTACTCAGCCTAACCTACCTTACAGGGTTGTCATGAGGATAAAAGAGAAAGGAGAAGTGTGTATAAAAATCACTTTGTGCTCCTTAGATAAAAGGATGGATATAAATGTACTAAGAAATAATAATAAACTGAGCAAACCTAGCCTGTGTACACACCATACATTTAAAGTACATAAAAAGGTAAAGGGACCCTGACCATTAGGTCCAGTCGTGACCAACTCTGGGGTTGCGGCACTCATCTCGCTTTATTGGCTAAGGGAGCCGGTGTACAGCTTCCGGGTCATGTGGCCAGCATGACTAAGCCGCTTCTGATGAACCAGAGCAGCACACGGAAACGCCGTTTACCTTCCCGCTGGAGCAGTACCTATTTATCTACTTGCACTTTGACGTGCTTTTGAACTGCTAGGTTGGCAGGAGCAGGGACCGAGCAATGGGAGCTCACCCCGTCACGGGGATTCGAACTGCCGACCTTCTGATCGGCAAGTCCTAGGCTCTGTGGTTTAACCCACAGCGCCACCCGCGTCCCATTTAAAGCACATAGCTTCCCCCAAAGAATCCTGAGAACTGTAGTTCACAAACCAGAGAGCTACAATTTTCAGCACCCTTAACAAACTACAGCTCCCAGGATGCTTTGGAGAAGCCATGTGCTTTAAATGTGCCTTAAATCCATGGTGTGTACACAGCTCAAAAAGTTCTGGTCTGTGCTTGAACCCCTCCTGTAAAACAGTGACAGTCTGGAGGCCCCCCGCTTAGCTTCCACGCTAAGGTTACCTCTCATAAACTGCTGCCAAAAGAGAAAGGAAAAAGAAAAGCCTACTGACTTTTATTGTCTTCCCATAATTGCTGCTTATTTTACATTTCTGCATTTGCCAAGCCGTCCTGCCAGACGAGACAGCAGGTCACAAATTTTGCAATTTGTCTTGTCAAGAGAGGCAAATAACGTCTTTCTGCACGCGCCGAGAAGCTGGGCGGTGTTATCTTCACCCAAACGCTCCATTTTCATGTTTCTTTCCCTCCCAGCCCCCCATTTTCTTAGGCTTAAAATAAAGCAGAAAATATGAATAGAACAGAAGACAATCCTTTATTCCTTCTGATTAATTAATACTGAAATGGGGAAGGAGAAGTAGTAAAAGAGGAAGAATGAGGGGAGGGAACTATCCCCCCCAAGGCACAGAGCGGTGGAAAAAAATACCTGTGTAATTTCTAAGGTGTTCCTGCTGCGACAGTGTTCAGCGGCCCCTGTGACTTTCCCCCCAATGTCATTTGTCATAATTTGACACTGATAAAGAGTTTCTCTAGAGCTGTGTCTCTTCAAGGCAGTGAACATATCCATATCAAAGCCACTTGTGTTGTCCTTTTTTGGAAACCATTTTCCTCTTGGCCTAGTTTTCCTTTAGATTCTCAAACTGGTATTTGCCTTTATGCCCCCACCCTAAAACTTAGTCTCCCCCCCCCACACACACACCTTCTTGCATGCACACTCTCACACAAAACTCCACTTTCCTTCTATAACTGATCATAATTTCCCCACCGCCAATCATCAAACAGACTTTGAAGGGTGGGGGAAATCTGAAGGGGGGTGACCAAACCAGTATGTGTGCTTCCCCTTCAGATTTAATATTGACGTTCATCAGTCCAGGAGGAATAAAGGTAAAGGTAAAGGGACCCCTGACCATTACGTCCAGTCATGACCGACTCTGGGGTTGCAGCGCTCATTTCGCTTTATTGGCCGAGGGAGCCGGCGTACAGCTTCCGGGTCATGTGGCCAGCATGACTAAGCCGCTTCTGGCGAACCAGAGCAGCACACGGAAACACCGTTTACCTTCCCGCCGGAGCAGTACCTATTTATCTACTTGCACTTTGATGTGCTTTCGAACTGCTAGGTTGGCAGGAGCAGGGATCGAGCAACGGGAGCTCACCCCGTCACGGGGATTCAAACTGCCGACCTTCTGATCGGCAAGTCCTCGGCTCTGTGGTTTAACCCACAGCGCCACCCGTGTCCCATTAATATAGCGAAGATGTCTTTGTGGGAGCCACGGTTGCATTTGGAACTGATGGGTGCTCCTTGTTGTTATCATCATTATTTGCAAACTTCTTAACTAATGTTATTTGGTGACCAAAGAAATAAAGTATAAGGGAAACAAAGAAAGCAGCAAGCCTTAGAAGAAAGCAGGGATAGTGCTCTGTGTGCTAATTTTAATCTTGGAAATGCAGGCAAAAAGAAGCCAGTGCTACTTCTATACACCAGCATTGGTAAGGAGCTGGGTGGCTGGCCCCTCGTAGAAAGACACAGCGCAGTGCTGTGACGGCAAAGGAGCATCACATGCAACAAAGCTGTGTTGCTGCTGTGCAGGAGTGCACAAATGTCTGTGCCGAAATGTCCACCGCCAAGCACAATGTGTTTTCAGTACTAGAGACCAAGCTGGATTTCGCAGTGGGAACCGTGTTTGCTGGGATGCCTTCTCATCATTTGGAGCCTAAACTTCAGACCAAACTAAATGGAGCTCTCCAGGATACCTGTCAGGGAACTGACATCGGAGCCAGAGGCGGAGGCTAGGCTCTCAAGCGATGCTGGAGAAGGGCTCAGCAGGGGGAGAGGCGGCTCACCAGCTGGGGAAGGAAATCAGTGTAACACCAGGGATAAAGGGGGGCAGATGGGGGAATCGGCGAGGGGGCTCCAGGACTCCTCGCTGGAGATCAGCGAGGAGAGCACGGGTCCTCCGCTACCCACGCCCTCCCTGCGCAGAAAACTTCCGCGCAGGGAGAGTAGGAGGAGACTTGGAGTCAAACAACTTTTATGCTGGAAAATGTTTAAGAAACGCCCACTGACAGATTCTGCTAGCGACTGAACAGCCACGAAGTGTAGGGCTGTCCAGACAGAAAAGGTTTAACAAGGCAACCTAGCCAGGAGTGGCACCAACTTGCGCACGAGCAACCCCTACATTTATGACAATACCTTAGTAGGGGGCAGGTGGAGGGAAAGAGGAAGAAGAAAGAGGAGAAGACGTGACTGTACCAAAACATTCTGCCCTGATTAACCATCCTCTCCTCTGTCAGGCAATTCTGGAAGCCAGCTGTCTTGACTAGAAAACAACAGCAGATAAGAGTCAAAGTAGAATCCTTTTTTTGGGGGGGCGGGGAGGTGTAAGCCTTTCCATAGCCCGGAGCGCCTATACCATTACACCAAGTAACATCATGTCGAACTACCTTGCAGCTCAGCAGAAGCCAATGGCCCTCCTATCAGGTTGTCAAGAGTGAATTATATGGTCTCTGATACAAAAACACACACACAAAACGTCCACATTTCAGGGCTATTTGGCAGAGCCCTGGTATCACAGCTCAAGTTGCATCTGCTAAATTTGCTCATGAATTGCAATCTCAGAATGCAGCTCTCAATATCAGGAGTATTCTGCATGAAGTTTGGAGGGCTGTGATTATAGGCATTGCATTTTAATCCCACCTTTCCTCCTAGGAGTTCAGGATGATGCATATGGTTCATTCGTTCTCTCTCTCTCTCTCTCTCTCTCTCTCTCTCTCTCTCTGTGTGTCTGTGTGTGTGTGTGTGTGTGTGTGTGTGTGTGTGTGTTTTATCTATCCTAACAGCTATCCTGTGAAGCAGAGTAGGCCAAGAGATAGTGACAGGCTCAAGGCCACCCAGTGAACTTCACGGCCATAAAGGATTCCAACCTAGGTCTCCAAATACATAGTCTGAGGCTATAACCATTACACTACACTGCCTCTCACAGCACTCACAAACATACACAGCAGTACCATTAAGACTAGTTTCAGGACATCAGTCTGGACCACCACAACCTGGAGGTCACAAATAACAGCCAGGAGCAGGTGATAGGGGTGGCACAACAAACAAGCATGCTATTTCTTGGAAGTTTGCTATTTTATACCAAGTCTCCGTCTGAATACATTTCAACCTAAAGGTGTGCTCCAAGTAAGGATTCATTTGACTAAGGTTAACGTCTGCAGCTGTTGTGTACTTTAAATGTATGGTGTAGATGTGCCCCCAAATGCTACTCTGAGACTAAAACACTACTTTGAAACTTCATGTATCTGCATCTTATAGGCCTTCAAGATGTGATTGTTCCTTTTCCTGTGAAACAATCCAGATTACCACTGAAAAACCAATACTGCAAATCAGAAGAATAAGCCATGCCAAGCAATCTTGGCTGCTGGGCTTGCTTGCTTGCTCTACATACGACTTAGAAAAGAGCAGATGGGCGTGTATGTGATCTTCGGCTGTGTTGTCATTGGGGTTAGATTTGTTGCTGCTTTTCTGTTTGCACTGGCAATTTAATAAGGGCTTAGTTTTTTAAAAATAAAATTAAATAATTAAAGGCCTTTCACGGTTAAAAATAACGCAGACAGGGCAGATAAAGATACCAGTTAATTAGCACCACGTCACGATTGTAGCTTCCAATATTCCCCAGCCATATGGTCAACTCGATGTACTTCCATATAGCACAGCAGATCCAACAAAGGCTTCATTACCAGACATCAAGTTGAAGAAGCCTCCGGTTATGTGCAAATCAGGAGTGAAACCTCTTATTTCAGAACATTCCTGAGGTCGTGCAATGCTGAACAGCTGTTTGGAAGCTGCCAGGCGACCTTCAGAGAAATAAGCATCTCTCCTTGTCAATATCACAGGGACTAGGATTGCCAGATTTTTCACTATGATAGCGAACTAGGTACTGCCAGCTCCTCAGATTGTATTCGCTGACCTCCCGCAAGCCCCCCTTGTCCCCGCAACTGGGAACACTAAGCATCTGCTTGTATCACGCTAGGGTTTTATTTTATTTTTAATCTGCAACTCTCCTAATTAATAGATCTCTGAGCACTTTGTTGAAGCAAATTCAAAGCAAACCCTTTACAGCAAAAATCTCGACGTTTTGTTTTGTTTTCACACAGTACCAGTGACCACAAGTAGCATCTGGGGATGGCATTAGAGGGCTAGAAATAGATTTTTCTGAGTGACCGTGTTCATCTGCTGACAGCAGTAATCTGTGAGAGGGATGTCGTGTTCTCAAGCAAGTGACTCGTGATACCACATAAATCCGTAAGGACAAAAATTAGGCGGGGGGGAATCTGCAACTACAGGGACCTTAGGCTCTGTTCATCCTCAGATTCTCAGGGTGTCTAGTAAACATGCTCAGCGAATTCACTAAAATGCTCTCCTACCCACACAATGTGTGTGTGTTTAAAAAAATCATTACCACCAGGATAGCTCAGTTGGTAGAACATGACACTCTTAATCTCAGGGTTGTGGGTTCAAGGCATAAATTGGGCAAAGGATTCCTGCATTACAGGAGGACTAGATAACTAGATGATGCTTGTGGTCCCTTCCAACTTTGATTCTATGATGTCTCAGGGCGTGTCACAACATTGTAAAATGCATTAAATAGAGCATTTTGGCACCTGAGACGAACCACAAAATGCTGCTGCCGTCCCCTGGAACAAGGGGGGAGTGAAGATGTTCATCAGGAATAAGGCTCAAGCAAGGCTTTCCCCTCTCACTGCCTCCACATTTAACTCGTGGGATTTCAACAAGCTAGCCTTCAACCGAATAAGGTTGAAATTGCATGTTAAATGTGTGTAAGATGCCCACATTTTTAAGCACTCCTTGGGGACACAGCTATTGGTGCAGAGCTCTTCCTACACTTCAGAATTTACCTTTACAGCACTGAGGAGCATCTCTCAAGGCTGCCATCTCATTGTCCATAGGTAGGAGTGCAAGTCACTTGTCACACACAGGAGCATAGGAGACTGCTCCATCTCTGCAGAGATGAAGGTTTTGCACAAAGCCAGCTACAGTAAAAAGCCAGGTAAACTCCTGGAGATCAGCAAGAGCAGTGAAACTGCTTGTAGCTCCTTCCGCCTTGCCTTCTATGCATTGCCTAACAAGCCAGCAAATGACTCATCCCCAGACCTGAAGCTCTATTTGCAATTCAAAAAGATAAAAGGGAGAGGGGAAAGTCACAGCAGGGAGTTCACAAGCACCTTCTGCATTAGAGGACCTGTGTCAGCGTTCCCCCCCCCCCAGTGGCCCTTTGTAGAATTGGGGGTGGGGTGGAGGGGCTGCAAAAACCAGTATCAGAGGACGGTATTTTTGGTATTAAATGGGCTAATAGTTCTGCAGCTGCAAGCACCATGGAAAAACTCCCTTTACTGAGCAAGATTTTAAATTCCTGCTTTACACAGCTAAGCTGGATCAAACTATGGTTAAAAACTCTCTCTCTCTCTCTCTCTCTGTGTGTGTGTGTGTGTGTGTGTGTGTGTGTGTGTGAGTGTGTGAATATAAGAGAGACGTGGGGATTCAGCAATTCAGAAACCTACCCATTTCAACTTAGACCATCAGTATTTGCACTGCCTGACAATTTTTATTTTATATTGACTGAGAACATTTGACTGCAGCCCTTCTCCTTCCTGGTTGGGCTAGCCGCTAGGTTGTGTGGCATGTATTTATAAGAAAGAAAGAAAGAAAGAAAGAAAGAAAGAAAGAAAGAAAGAAAGAAAGAAAGAAAGAAAACATCCTGCAAACAAGTGTGCCACATCCTAAGGCTAAATGAAATCAGCTGACCAGCCTCATCCCACAGTAGGGATTGGGTGGAGGGGATTTGGTTCAGTTCACGTTTAAAGTTCAACATACCCACTTTGCACTTTCTGAAGCAACATAGGAACTTGTCCTTCTCTGAATTTTGCCATGCAGTTCTCCAGCCAAGTAATATATACAAAAAGGCAAAATTAAGGTAAAGTCCCATAGGTGTACTCGGGGGGGGGGGGGAGTGGGGGGCATCTCCCCCCACACCGAAATCAAGTAAATCAATAAAAAAAACTTAACTAAGGCTCTGCCCTGCCCCCGCAACATGAATCCTACCTCCCCTCCTCCCAAATCCTGGTTACACCCATCTAAAGCCCTATGTAGGTTGGAGCCAGAATACCAGAAGTATAATCTCACCCCTTATATAACCAATCAATCACTGTGCTTTGCAGAAGACAGGGCCTTCTGCAGGTACAGTGGTACCTTGGGTTAAGAACTTAATTCATTCTGGAGGTCCATTCTGTTCTTAACCTGAGGTACCACTTTCGCTACTGGGGCCTCCCGATGCCACCACGCACGATTTCTGTTCTCATCCTGAAGCAAAGTTCTTAACCCAAGGTACTATTTCTGGGTTAGCAGAGTCTGTAACCTGAAGCGTCTGTAACCTGAAGTGTCTGTAACCCGAGGTACCACTGTACTAGCTTATCAGGAGGTTCATCCCATACAATATAGGAATTGATCCTTCAGTGTTCTGGCACCTGCCCTTCAGAATACACTCCCCTTGAATATTAGACAAAGGCCATCTTGCTTGTCCTTGCAACAGGAAGAACTTCCTGTTTCAACAAGTCTTCTAAGAAGAGATCTTTCTCAGTTTACATCTGTACTGGAATTTCTTTAAAGACTTTAAGAAATATGTTATTGTCTTATCACTTGTTTGCTGCTCTGAGCTCCTTTGGGAGCAGGGGCAGGATAGACATGTAATAAGTTAAACAAATAAAGTGAATTACTGAAAAACACAAGCAAAAATGCATTATATTAGGAAATATTGCTTTACAATATTGGGGATATTGGGGGAAATTCACATTCATATGCTGAATTTTCATGAGGACTTAAAAAAACAGTGCAAACTGATGGGGAAACATGGAAAAGATAGGGAAAATGGTAGAGGGCCTTACGGTAAGTATTATTTATATCTGTCTGATGTTCATCAGCTGGTGCAAGATAGATCATCTAGGCTAGGATGTTTTCAAATATTAAAGTTGTATATAACTTTTAAATTTAAAAAAATGAACCTTGTTACTGGAAAAACTGCATAGAAATATTAAATCAAATCGAAGAGCTCAACCACTTAGGGAATTACGTGGCAGCATGGATACCAAACCACCCTGCACTTTCCACAACTAACTTTTACTACAAAACTGCACAACTGTGGTTTTCAGAGCTTGACTCCACACAGTAATAGGTTTTGTTTGGACTAAATGCAGTTTAGGGCATTTTCAGACTGGCTCTGACTTTTCCTTAACATCATGGTCACTTGCAGGGCAGTCCCATTCCAGATAATGGCAAGTGAATTTGGGAGCCTGGAGTAGATGCATGTCAAAAACAGGGCAGTGGCGGTGGAGTCCACCTTTTTGGAACAGGTGCAGTCAAGTCCATGTCTCGGTAAAGGGACTTGCAAAGTAGCTATTGATTTTTGTGAGAAAGGGACTGCCGCCTGCCAGAGTGCCATTTCCGATACACAAAAGGGTGTCGGGCGCAAATCTCAAGTTGTCAGCCTGAGAGAATTCACCAGCTACTATCGCCCTTCTCTTCCCCATGTTTCCTGGGGAAGAGGGAAGGGTCTAAGGTCACATAAAATGTCATTAATCATTCTTCCCAGATGCCAAGGTCCTCATTGGACAGTTCTATTAATCAGGGGGCTATCAAAAGTACAGCTTGCTTTAGGTCTCCATTGTACGGCTCTGCCGCCTATCATAGAGGAGATAATCTTATCAGCAACAAGGGTGGGGGGTTGCCCATTGAGTCGCACGAGAGTGGAAGAATGGGATTTCTTTTCTTTCCATTATTTATTTATTTACCCTCCCGCCTCAGAGGATGAGCTGTTTCTTGTCTTGTCAAACCTGCGGCCTTTTCTTTCAAGAATCAGCTTTCAGAATCCAATTTGTCAAGGCGGACAATCATTTGAGAATCCAGGTTCCTTTTTTAAAAGTGGGGGGGGGGAGAGACTTGGTGACTTTTATTTATTTATTTATTTATTCTTAAAGGCAGGTGGTTTTTAAAAGGTGGCTCAAAAGGGATTTGGAAACAGGCTGAGTGGACCACAACATCAATTAATCTTCAGAGAGCAGAGGCTTTGTGAAGATGGAGTGTCAAAAGGCAAGTTGCTGGGTTTTAGGAGATGGAGAATATCGATGTTTCCCATCATTTTTTTCCTTTTTTTTTTTTTTTGGTTCTATCCCCCTCCAATGGAGCAAAAAGGGATATTCATCTCAATTGATGCATCAACTGAGGTAAAAGAAAGCCAATAATGGGTGCCCATGACTTTATTCTTTCAGAGGCGAAAAGTCTGAGGTAAATTTATCCATTGTGCTTTAAGGAAGGAAAAACAGGAGGGCTACCAGAGTGTTATTTAGCAACATGGCTACAATATTACATACCTTGGACCCAGTAGTTCCCACAATTTTTCCTCTACCATGAAATTATTGTTGTTGGATTCTTTATTCAAAATATGTTATGCCCCGTCTCTCCTTTTTTTACAAAATGCTCAAGGTGTTTAATAGCTTTTTAAAAACAGCAGCAGCAATAAAAAGTTACTAGGTAGCATTAAGACGAGCAGCTGCTGTGCTCTGTCTTAGCAGGCCTATCTTATATAGGGGGACACACATGGCGGCAACAAAATGTTGCAGTGTGGAATGTTCCTGTTCCCAATCTAACCACTATTTAAAGCTTTGTGTAAGCAAATCAGGATGAGTGTTCAACAAACTAGATATGTGAAGGTAAAAGGCAAGGTAAAGACCCCTGGACAGTTAAGTCCAGTCAAAGGTAACTATGGGGTACGGCACTCATTTCGCTTCAGGCAGAGGGAGTTAGTGTTGGTCCACAGACAGTTTTCTGGGTCATGTGACCAGCATGACTTCTGGTGCAATGGGAACCGTGATGAGTGCCAGAGTGCACGGAAATGCCTTTTATCTTCCATGCTTTCAAACTGCTAGGTTGGCAGAAGCTGGGACAGAGCAATGGGAGCTCACCCCATATCGCGGATTCGAACCGCCAACCTTCCGATCGGCAAGCCCAATAGGCTCAGTAGTTTAGGCAAGAGCACCACCCACGTCCCCGAAGGAACCTTAAATGAAAGCTGACAATCCAGGAATGGGGTTGAAATATCCCTAAGGGGGACTTCCGGGGTGGCGCCATCGGCAATGGCGGACTCCCTCTGAACTGGAGGGACCAGCTCCACGCGAAACGGGTCTTTTCCGCTGCGGCGAAGCGGGGACCCTTTTAGAAATCACAGGCGGATGAAGCCTGTGACCGTGGGACTCGGCGGGCACCCTTAGTGCCCCCCCCAACCCGCAAAGGAACCCACTAACGGGCTCCGAAGCGAAGAGGGGGAAGTGGCGCGGTGCTGTGAGTCAATTGCTTTTTCCGTGGAGGGAAGCCGCATAGCCGTTGCCGGAGAGCACTGCCTTTTTCCTGGGACAATTTGGCATCTAAAATAATCACCCGTGAGTACTTAAACATTGAACAATTGGACTTCAAATAAGAACTGGTGATTAGAAAGGAATTGGACTTAAAAATTTACCTTAATTTGGTACTGAAACGGGAAGGTCTAAACAGGAAGTCAGCCTTCCGTTTCCTTGTAGTCAGAAGAAAGCAAAGACAACGTAAACCAGAGCTTAGAAAATCACTTTCAAAGGATTGGTTTTCACCATTTAAAATCGTTGAACCCCCCTTCGGTAGCAGGAGAAGAAGGGGGATCTCTTTTTTGGACTGTTTAAACCTGCAGAAGTGAGTTTAAAGTAAAGTAACTTTCCACCGTCCTGATCCTGGAGCGGGGTGTCAGAATTGACGTTTGAAGCTCATTGACCAGAGACAAATGTTTTTGACAGACAGTTAAAAGAAGAGTAACATTGTGATTCCAGTGTTTCCTTTCGCATTTTAAAGGAACAAATATTGACAAAATATCTTAAAAAAAGAAACTTTGTTACTATTGTCTTTAAAAGAAAGAACAACCAGAAGTTTTCCCCCTAGAGGGGGACTGTGAAACTGTAACTAATTCTAGGGAGCTTGCAGCTGCCACAGATTACAACCGTGGGAAAGGACTTGTGACCTTGCAGGACAATGTTTTCAGAAGCACTGTTGGGTGCTTTCTGGAAAATAAATGCCCTATTGGATCAGTTAAGCCAGAAGACGGATTTGATGACTAATGCGGCCAGAACATTTGAACAGGTAGTGGGAAACTATATGGAGCCCACCCAGGAACTTAAACAGGAGTGTGCCATGACAGAACAGTTGAGAGAAGAGGATGTTGCTGAATCTTGGGCGCCAGAAAGGGAGGAACTTTTGGCCCTGCAGGAAAATGAGCCTTTGGATTTGACAAATGAACTTGGAAAAACCAGATTTGGAAAGATAAAGTTTGGATTGATTTGGAAATGGGGGGGTTGGACTGACCCCCCTATGCAGAGATGTTTGGACTTTCCGAGTCTGGCAATGGGCCGTCAGATGTTTGGAGCTGTGGGGGCTCCTAATTTTGGAGGGAATTTGAAACATGTCTTAAAATACCACATGGAGTCTAGTCTGGACTATGGGAAAGGGGCTGATTTGTTGAAAAGGGTCAAAAACACTACCAAGCTGGAGTTCCCACGAGTGAAAGGAAAATATGAAGAAGAGCTGCGGAAGGGACATGGAAGAGACTTGAAGGCCTCGGATATAAGATCACCAGGTTAATGTGCCAGACTAATGGGATAAAAAGGACTGACAAACCCGGGACCAGGAGGAAGGGACGCTGGAAGAAGATTGGATTGTTCTTATTTCTTTTTTCTATCATTAGGAATGTTTTATAAAATTGATGAATGTTAGGAAAATGTTGAAATGAAATTACTTGGCTCTTGTAAAAATGTTTAAAGAATTAGGTAAAAAGGTAATGGTTAGGAGAAGTTGGTAAAAATAAGATTCAAGTCTTAAGCTTTAAGGTTTTTTATAAGATAAGATGAAAATAGAGTAAGGTAATGTAATGACAGAACACTATGAATTATGGAAAGGATTTGCTGTGACAACTATTAATCAAGATACAAGAAAAGGGAGGAGGAGGAGGTCATAGAAAGAAGGTAATGAAAGTGGAGAATTTGAAAATGATGGTTTTTTTTTTTTTTCTGTTTTGTCTTTTTTCTTTGTAATTTTTTTAAAAAATTCTTTTTTCAATAAATATCATTAAAAAAAAAAGAAAATAAAACTGCTAGTAACATAATGCCAAAAAAAAAATAACTGAAATATCCCTAAGGGGACCTAGCCAACCCCTCCCCCCAATAGGCACTTAATGTAAAGAAAATATTGAACAAGTGTTCCAGATTTGAGTGATGCCAAGGACCCTTTGATTTCCACCTTGGTGCTTCATCCGCCTATTCCACTGAGGCTGCAAAGCCTCACCTGATGCCACATGGCACAAAACTCTTTCTCTTCCTTTTCCCTTCTCCCTTCAGAAAAGCACAGCACAGTACACCCCCCCCCCGCCCGACCCAACATCCTTCTTGCCGATTGCTCATGTTGCAACCACTTAACCGGAATATCCTTGAGATATCTTGTTAGCTCAGTTACGGGAGAAGGAGCGAGGCTGGCGAAGAAAGGCTGGCTTGTAGATTCCTAGGCTACTTTATGAAACCTGACAATCCAACTATCTCTATTACATGCTTTTTTTATTTAGCAGCTGTATGCACAGTGGGGCTTGGTGGGAAGGTGGGGGGGGGAGCGGGGAGAAAGACAAACTAGATTGCATTTGTAAGGCCTGCAAAGAGACCGGGAAACCTACAGTGGAAAGGGTCAAATTCCAAGCTTACCAAATAGAATGAAGGGTATGGTAAATGGGGTGTTTCACTGGGCACATATACAGTCACCTGAAAAAGCAACTAATTCTTCCCAAAGACCTAACAGAAGCTGACAGGCCCATACCATTCCTCACTTTCTAATCCACACGGGAAGGTCAAGGCATTGGAAGCCTCAGGTTAGGGGTTGCCTCCAGACTGCCACTTTTGAGGGAGGGGCTCAAGCATATAGTTATCTAATGGAAAGTTCGATTTGTGTAATTACAGAGGATCAAAAGGCTGTCACCTGGATGCAACAACAACAAATTAAACAAGCTTTTTGCAGTTAGGAAAGTGATGATGAAAAGAACTGAAAAGTGAAGGGTGATTGAATGTTGAATGGGAAGATGTGTAAACACCCAGTAAAAAAATTCAGGCTGAGTGCTCACAGAAACAGGTCCCTACCTGCCTGCAGACTGTCTTGCCAGAGTGGTGCATGCTCTAGTTATCTTCCGCTTAGACTACTGCAATGCAGTATACGTGGGGCTACCTTTGAAGGTGACTCGGAAACTGCAATTAATCCAGAATGTGGCAGCTAGACTGGTAACTGGGAGTGGCCGCCGAGACTATATAACACCAGTCCTGAAAGATCTTCATTGGCTCCCTGTACGTTCCGAGCACAATTCAAAGTGTTGGTGCTGACCTTTAAAGCCCTAAAAGGCCTCAGTCCTGTATACCTGAAGGAGAATCTCCACCCCCATCATCCAGCCCAGACACTGAGATCCAGCATCGAGGGCCTTCTGGCGGTTCCCTCGCTGCGAGAAGTGAGGTTACAGGGAACCAAGCAGAGGGCCTTCTCGGTAGTGGTGCCTGCCTTGTGGAACGCCCTCCCAGCAGATGTCAAGGCAATGAACAACTATTTTACTTTTAAAAGACACCTGAAGGCAGTCCTGTTTAGGGAAGTTTTTAATGTCTGCTGCAGTATTGTTTTTGATATTTGGTTGGAAGCCGCCCAGAGTGGCTGGGGAGACCCAGTCAGATGGACGGGGTATAAATAATAAATTTATTATTATTATTATTATTATTAATATTAATATTATTATCTGGAAACAACCCATTCGTTTAGAAAAGGAGCGTGCAAATTTACTACTACGAATAACAGCAATAATATCACTTTACATTGTAGAAAAGTGGTTCAATTTCAATCCAGATGTGCAAATAGAAACTGCAGTGGTATGTAATTGCAAACTTTGGTCACATCACCATCATACATTTAAAGCACTTTTATACCACAAACAGCCATGTCTTTCCCCAAAGAATCCTGGGAACTGTAGTTTGTTGTGGGAATATCTATGAGAGGTCTCCTAACTATTCTCAGCACCTTTAAAAAACCATCATTTGTAGGTTTCCATTCTCCACTGGTGTTCCCCAGAACTGCGTCCCTCTGTGGACCCACTCATAGCACCCTTTGGTTCCTACTTATCATTACATTGCCTCTACTCAGACAGCTGCTTACCTGTCTACATTCTTTGCAGCCTGATATTGGGAAGGAACATTGACCCACAAAAAAGGCTCCTAGTGATGGCTGGTACTCATTGCGACTGATGAGGAAGCAGTCAGGAAGCCTAACAGTAGGTGAAGCTGGAGCCAATGACAGACAGAGCCAACTAAATCTACTTTTGTGCCCATCCTTGTTCTGCAAGGGCATCAGTGAGAAAAAAGGAGGAAGAAGCTGGTGGCTACCCTTTGGACTGGTTGTAAATAAGAAGGCAGGAAGGTGGGTGGGGGTTAGCTGAGAGCAGATGGAGGTTGGGGGACGGCGCCCCCTTTTCCCTGATGCTCGCCCCATTTAGACTTGGCAAACAGAAATCTCATTCAGCAACAAGCCCAAGAATATCAGCACACACACACGATAACCTCCTAGTTTATCATGGCGGCAATGTTCCTAGAAGCTGAAGCCATCAGGAGAACTGCTGGCAACCCAAAGGAAAAAAGAAAGGGGCAAGATGTAGAAAAGGCCTGATGGGATGTGACTGGCCCAGAGTCCTGGGATTGGAAAGCAAAGAAATGGGAAGCGACCGGCAAGGCAACCGGACAATGAGAAAAGCGTTTGTGATTTTTGCCGTGAAAACGGGCAGTTAAAGATCATTGGAATGGACAAGGCAATCTTCCGACAGGCTGGAGTCATGATTGCCTCCAACGTGATGGAAGCAAGCAGGAAAAAACACACAAGGCGGTGCTTAATAGCATCCAATTTCCAATAACTTACGTGGACTCTAAACTTGCTGGGGGCAAAGATTCCCGCCCCAGATTTTGTGTAATATATATATATATATATATATGATTTTTCCATGTATACCGTATTTTTTGTTCTATAGGACGCACATTTCCCCCTCCAAAAACTGTCCTGCAGAAGCTAGCTGTCCTGCAGAAGCTAGCAAGGCTGTTCCCAAGCCAGAACAGCGAGACGGAGGGCTCCGTTTCACTGCTCTAGCTTGGGGACGGCTGCGCGCAAACCTGTGCAGGGCAGCGGGGCGCTGCGCTCCAAAGGCTTCAGGGATCTTGAGGCTGGCGGTGGGGAAAGCAGCGCTTCCCCCCACCGCCAGCCCCACAAGCTCTGGTGAATGTACCTTGAACGCACCTTGTTTTGGAGGGGGAGAACAAGAAAAAAAATCTTTTTCCCTGTTCTCCCCCTCCTATGATCCGGTGCGTCCTATGGTCCGGTGCGTCCAATGGAGCGAAAAATACGGTACTTCTTCCAACAATATATCTTTAACAATTTTTCATATTTCCACCCTCCTCCCCTGGACTTCCCTCATACTCCCGTTTTGTTTTATTTCCATATTGTTCACCCTGCGTATTGTTTCCCCAAAATTTTCACAATACATATACAGTGGTACCTCGGGTTAAGAACTTAATTCGTTCTGGAGGTCTGTTCTTAACCACTTTAGCTAATGGGGCCTCCCTGCTGCCACCACACCACTGCCGTGCGATTTCTGTTTTCATCCTGAAGCAAAGTTCTTAACCCAAGGTACTATTTCTGGGTTAGCGGAGTCTAACCTGAAGCGTCTGTAACCCAAGGTACCACTATAGTCTTATTTTTTGTTGTATACAGTTGTAATTGTTTACTTAAACCCTGCCAGTGAGTCCACTTCTTTATGTTGCTTCTTCATATATGTTGTAAATGGTTCCCATTCTCTTTTGAAATCTTTGTTGTCCTTTTCATGTAATTTTTCCGTTAGTTTTGCCAGTTCTGCATATTCCATAAGTTTCCCTTGCCATTGTTCTTTCGCTGGTATTTCTTCTGTCTTCCAAGTTTGAGCTAATATAATTCTTGCCGCTGTTGTTGCATACATAAATAATTTCCAAAGTTCTTTTTTTACATCTTGGTCTAAAATTCCTAGGAGGAATGCTTCTGGTTTCTTAACAAAAATCTTTTAAAACATTTTTTTCAATTCATTATATATCATTTCCCAATAAGTTCTAATCTTTTTGCATTCCCACCACATATGATAGAATGTACCATCTTTTTCTTTACATTTCCAACACGTTTTTTATCCCTTTTTATACATTTTGACTACTTTCTCTGGTGTTATATACCATCTATACATCATTTTTATATAAGTCTCTCTCAGTAAGATACAATCTGTAAATTTTAGATTCACCTTCCAAATCTTTTCCCAATCTTCAAATTGTATATTATGACCTAAATCCTGAGCCCACTTTATTTGTGCTGACTTTACCACTTCATTTAGCATTTCCCCATAAAGTAGGAGATTGTACATTTTTTAAAGTACAGTGGTACCTCAGGTTACAGACGCTTCAGGTTACAGATGCTTCAGGAATGGAATGGAAACAGGGGGTTCTTACCAACTAATTTCTACTCAAATTAGTTTCATGGAAATAAATGGGCAGAAGATAGTCATGTCTATTATTTTCAATGGATCTACTCCAGGCATGACTAGGGATGTTGGAGAATTCCAGTGATAACAGAAACCTTAGCAGAAATTGCCCATGTTCCCTTATTTGTCCGATGTCCAGAACAGAAATCAGCCCAGTGAATACGAGTGGTATTCACTGTTGCTGTTACTTTCAGTCTGCAAATACTACAAGTTTATGTTCATCCATCACCCATCTGCATTACTAATGAGATGGCATAAATTACTGACAACATAATTAATTACAAAAGTGATGTAATATCGCAACAGCAGACAGTGAGACAAATAATGTAGTTTTTGGCACAAGACGAATTGCGGTGGAATGGAAACAGTGCTGCATGAAGCAAATATAGGGCAGAACAGAAAAGGATGCCTACTTGCATCCCTAAATATGACTCACATTGGATACAATGCAAAATACCGAATGTCTAATTTTGCAAGGAAGATATGTTGTTGGCATCCATCTGTACTGAGAGACAATGGAGTGCACTTCCGGGGGTGAAGCCAAACCACCGCGTCAGCAGAACCAGGGAATGGGGAGGGAGGAGAAAGAGACTGGGAGCCCAAAGTAACCCAGCTAATAGGATTTACACCCAAGTAAGTGTGTCTATAGGGACGCGGGTGTCGCTGTGGTCTAAACCACAGAGCCTAGGACTTGCCGATCAGAAGGTCGGCGGTTCGAATCCCCGCGACGGAGTGAGCTCCCGTTGCTTGGTCCCAGCTCCTGCCCACCTAGCAGTTCGAAAGCACGTCAAGTGCAAGTAGATAAATAGGTACCGCTCCGGCGGGAAGGTAAATGGCGTTTCCGTGCGCTGCTCTGGTTCGCCAGAAGCGGCTTAGTCATGCTGGCCACATGACGCAGAAGCTGTCTGCGGACAAACACCGGCTCCCTTGGCCTATAGAGCGAGATGAGCATCTCAACCCCAGAGTCGTCCGCGACTGGACCTAATGGTCAGGGGTCCCTTTACCTTTACCTTAAGTGTGTCTATAGATAACAGTTTTAAGGAGTTTCCAGATAGGGGATTAATATTGCAAATGAGTCATTCAGATATTGCAGTTCAGTTGCTGACAACATACTTTTGTTTTGTTTTTTTACTTACTGGGGTTTTTTTGAGGAAAGGGTAAACCTAGATTAAATTAGGAAATCTGGCATTCTGATACTCACAGTTTGATGTTGGCATTTTGATTGCAGTAGCACTGGAGCACAGGAAGCTTCCTTACACCACGTCAAACGACTGGTCCATCTAGCTCAGTGCTATCAACACTGATCAGCAGTGGCCCTCCAGGGTTTCAGAGAGGACCTTCTGCACGGGAAATGGATGCTCTACCACCAGGCAAGTGTCTGTGAGAAAAGCAAAGGGAGAAAACTGAAGTTTGAAGGAGAGATGGAGACAGAGCCAGCAGAGTTTGGAGTGACCCGACATGGGAGTGATGGACTTTGGCTGCCTGTTGGGAGTGTTCCCTTTGCCCTTGAACACAGCCCATATAGTGTCCTCCAGATGTGGTTGGAGGGCTGCTCCCATCATCCCTGCCACTGGCTGGGGCTGATGGGAGCTGTAGTCTACCAACATCTGTAGGGTACTACATTGGCTGCTCCTGGCTTATGACCAGCCAGTATATTTGTAAATAGACACAAGCATTACAGAATGCCAATATGCTTCCAAAGGAAACCAAGCTGAGGTGAGTGCTGCAGCCTTCTCACCAAATAAAGTGGTGTGGTCTTAATAATATCTATGTATACACTTAGAGGAAGGCATAGCAGATGTGGGGGAGCAGCAAAGATGGAAATATGTTTGTAATTATAATGGAAATTTCAGGGATTCTGTCATTTTACTTCATAGAATGGCCTCACTTCCATTTCAATTTTTCTTCCATTCTATTAGCTTTACAATATTCTGTCTGGCTAGGGTGATAGATTGATTTAAGGATCAGCTTGTTGGGGAAATCAGGGCTTGGAACGGCTCGCGCCTGTGGCCTAACTTCTCTATCTTTTTAAATATTTCAGTTCCTGGAGATCTTTATTTCCCATTTCGATTTCCTGTAGCACACTAAATTTATCTTAGTCAGTTCGTCAAGTTGTCCTCCTGCTCTCCTCCTCCTCCCTCTTATCTCCACTTCCCCCTGTACGACCGGAAAAAAACACCTACACTATCTCTGCTGCCAATAAACTCAACCGGTGGTAATCCGCAGATTATTTTGATAGGACAGCATTCAAGGCGAAGGCAAAAACTTTGAAGTGGAGGACTCATCCTGGTCTCTGGGCACATTGCCCAAAGCCCAGCAGACCCTTGCTTTGAGGATAAATGGATTTTTGCTGCCCGCTGATGGATGCATGGAGCCAGGATGGGACATTGGTCTATCAATCCCAGTATGGCATTCTCTGACTGGAAGCAGCACTGCAATGTCCGAGGCATAGGGACAAAAGTTCAGTGGTAGAGCATGCGCTTTGCATGACAAATCAATGCTCCCAGGAAGGTTGCTATGTTCATAACCTGTATCTTGAAGGTGTGTGCATCATAGCTTAACAGGAGAGATCTGTATGCAGAAAGTATCAAGTTCTATTCCCAGCATGTGGAGGGGGAAAGGGAGTCTAGCAGATCAAAGAGTGCCACTTGATAGCTATCCTCTGCCACCTGCTAAGTGCCACTGGACTCCATTCCTACCCTGAAGTATCCGGGTGCTATTAGTTGTCTCCCATGTTACAGAGGCTCAACCAGAACCAGACTTTTAGTGTTGCTGGTCCCACGCTGTGGAATGCTCTTCCAGCAGAGATTCAGCAGGCACCCCTCGCTTTTGACTTTCGCTTGAGTTGCGTTTTTTTATTAGTCAATCACCATAATCATAGAATCAAAGGACTGTAGAGTTGGAAGGGACCCCAAGGGTCATCTAGCCCAACCCCCTGAAATAAAGGAATCGCAGTGAAAGAATTCCTGAAAGAGGTGGATCTGGCACCTTCACTATACAGTTTTCATCATATGGGGGAAGACAAACCTCTTTACCTGGGCCTTTGAGACCTGAGAGGTATACATTTAGGACCTATTCCGTAATTTGTTTTTAGCTTTGTTATTTTAAATTGTTGTCACTCACCCTGGGAACCTAGGGTGAAGGGCAGGTAATAAATCATTACCGTAAAATGTTGTACACGCCGTCTTCCCTAATTCACATTAATAGTGTTGCTAAGAAAATAGCCAAGGTCATGTGGGAGGGACAGACACGCATGCACACAAGAGAAAGATGGCGCATCTTCTTTCGTGTTTTTTTTACAAGCCACCAGAGAATGAAACCTGCATAACATTATATATGTCAACCTCTCTTTCGAAGTACGCAGCCCTGACACAAACTCAGCACCATTCCTTTGCCAGGTACCTGCAAACAGTGTCTATTACAAAGGCATTTGCCTCCTGGAGATGCTCTCACAAGCAGAGTCAAGCTAGTGTGGAAATGTGAAGTTCGTTCTCTCTCTCCCCCTCTGTTTACGGTCAGGTAATCTGTCTCTCAGTACATTTCAGCCTAGCAAGAGGCACCCAGCACATCTCTCTGTAAAACTCTGCCTTCACCCCACATGCATCCTCTTTCACCGCGCTCAGGAATGATACTCACTGATGACACAGAAAGATTATTTCACATTTTGCATCAAATGACCGTTCGAGAGATGACTATAATATAATCTGTTTCCTAGGAGCTCGTGATCCAGGCTTTGCCCTTGAACACTGTCTTAGAATGTTGTAAAAAGTAGCTAAGCTCTGCCCTTCTGGATCAATCACATCATATATATTCCTTCTCTGGACAATCTGCACTTGGCAAGTGAGGGGTACATTGCCGGGTGCAATGGAACAACACCCTCAATTTGCCTTCAGTGCTCCTTTAGGAAAACTGGGCAGATGTGAGCCCCCAAGGAGAGGACAAGGAAATAGGCAGAGGTGACAGGGTAAGAAAGAGGTGGTGGGGCCCACTCAAAGTGGGGACACCCCTACGAAGCTACCTTGGCAAAACCTGGAACCAGAATTGTGGGTAGCACTAGAGTGACACGTAGACTTTTCTAGCTAATGGAAATGGAATGGAATGGGCAGTTCCATAGTGGTACAGACCATGTGGGGGGGGGGGACCTGTGATCCTTCCCATGTCACTGAACTCAAACTCCCATCAGCCCCAGCTAGAAAACCCAGTGGTCAGCACTAGGGGCTGGTTCATTGGGGCACTGCCCCACCAACCTCAGTTTGCCTCCACCTTACCATCTTCTTGTCATTGGCTCTGGCTTTACCTATGGGTTGTGCTCCCTACCTTCTGCCCTGCCAATCCCAATGGGCATCAGACACCACTGGGGGTCAAGGATAATGCAATTTCCAGTCCAGCAACATCCAGACAGTCATAGATTACTCACTCTTTGTAAGGACACAGTGCAGCTCACAATTTTCTTCTTTATGCATTTACTCATGGGTGTAGCCGGGGGGCAGGGAAGGGCAGCTTCCCCCCCCCCCAATCAATAAAAATACATAGCAAACTCAGATTCTGCCCCCCTAACCAAAGGCCTGCCCCTCCAAAAAAAAAATCCTGGTTATGCCCATGCATTTACTTTTCATTTTTTGTCTGGGCTTGGCCTCATTCTGCTCTCATTCTGCCCCAGCAACTGAATTTATGAACAAGGTGGATCCGATTGCTCTGGGGCTCAAAGCCTCCAGAGACACGGCATTTTCTCTCGAGGCTTGCCATGACACCCAGCCTCCCAAGAGTTGGCCGGTGCTTATGCTTTTTCTCCTTGAGTCTTCAAGCAGAGGTCAACAACAGAAGGACACCTTCCCCTTCTCCGGATTACAGAAAATTGAAATAAGCCTCTCTCATAGAGGGTGGAAAAAGAAATCTTAGCTGTCATTCCTAATATCATCACGATCCACAGCAGCTGGCTGGGGAGCAAGAAAATATTAATAACAATAATATTTTTTTGGACAAAAAAACCTGCGGAAGAATGAAGTTGTCTTGTTATTTCCATTTTCATATCAACATTCCCCGAACAAGTAACCTTATTTGCCGTTCCTCTGAATTCTCCAAGTTGCTAAAATTGTGAGCGCAGCACCCTCTGCTGGTGCAAACTCTGAAATATAGTCAAAGGAGTTGAAATCGTACAGCAGACACAGATAACAAATGTGAGCTCTATTGAGGCTGAGGCAAGTGATCATGTCCAAGTGCTCAAATGTCAAAGGTGGCCAGTGTGGTGACCCTAGAGGTTGCTGGACTACAACATGAGACTGGCCAGTTGCTTACTCTGGAAATGGTTGCACTCCCTCTGAAAGAAAAGTTCCATAGTTTGGGGAATGCACCATGATTTACCCCTGCCACCCAAGACTCAGGTAGCCTCAGTGGCTTGGAGTGCCTTTTACCTGTTACATCTGGTATGACAATTACAGCTATACTTGAGCAAAGATAGCCTGGTCACAGTGATTCATGCACCGGTAATCTCAAAACTAAATCACAAGGAATGACCATTTTGCACACAAACAAGGACACATGTACACAGCTTTCGATCCTGGAAGGGGCAGAACAGGGGTGGAACAGACTTACATATGCAGTGACCCAGAATGCAACCCCCACACAAACAGGGAGTTCGCTGCACAGGCAATGGCCGATTTACACGCGAATGCACACACATGCACAGCGCCGAACCCAGAAGTGACCCCAAAACATCCCTAAAAGGATGGAATGGGAGTGGGGTCGAATGCTTTATGTGGGCTCCGCTGACACACAAGTAACCCCCACACAAAATGAGGATTGCTTGTATTGCAATGAGATCTGTGAGGAACTACCCTTGGGCCTGGTACAGAAGCTCTGGCTGGTACAACATGCTGCAGCTGAACTATTGGTGGGGACAGACTACCACCATATACTCCAGTGGTCAGAAGTTTGCACTCGCTGCCCGTATGTTGTCAGGCCAAATTCAAAGTTTTTGTTGATTTATAAGGCCCTTAACAACTTAAGTGCAGAATACCTTAAGGTCCCCCCAATTCCTTATAGCTCTGCCCAATCACTGAGATTTTCAAGGAATCACTGTTAGCGATTCCCCCATGGTTCAGATGCACAGCTTGCATCCACCAGGAGCTGTGTGTTCAGTATTGTGGGCTCGATTCTGTGGAGCTCCATCCCAGAGGAGATCAGAAAGGCCCTCTCCCTCTTGAACATCAGGCACTTGACATTTCTATTTCAGCAGGCATTTTAAGCAAGCTTTCTGATTTTTCAGCTTATTTTAATTGATTTTATCCACTGTTCATTTATGTGATTTTATCATATACCACGTAGAAACGTCAGTGTTTTGTAGCATATAATACCACTTCCATAAGTTAAACTTTTACCACCAGTAAAACTTTTACCACCAGTCATTCACCATACTGGCTGGGGGTGATGATAGTTGGGACTCCAACAATATCTGGAGAGTGCCATGTTGGCCGCCCCTGCCATAGAGGGTCTGTTGATAGCCAGTTGTATAGATTTTCCCTGTTCGCTGAAAATGAGGGTGTCTCCATGGGATCTTTGGCTATGCAAAAGCTTCACAGAAAAGCTGGGTCGCCATGAGGAGGGATTTGAAGAAAGAGAAAAGTGATACCCTAAAGGTGCTGTAAGAGGCACTTCGGGATGGGGAAGAGATTCAATTCAGTTTACATTGAAAGGAGAAGCTACCACATTCACACTTTCCAAAACAATATGCAAACTCCAACACAGCCATCCTTTGAAATTCACACATCTTTCAATTTTGCAGCACCGTTATCCTGTAAAGTAATGTGTACAAAAATGCACATACTAGGGTAAAGTGTGGATCAGTTTGCATGTATTAGTGAAAATAACACAGAGATACACAATGTAAGGGGAAGTTGGTTTGCACACATGCATATATTAGGCAAAACTGCATACAGATGTGTTTATTAGGAGAAATTCACACTAGGATGCTGAGAAATTTTCATGAGGATTTTGAAAAGAATGCTGCAGGAATGCAAAGAACTGGATGCAAGATTGGAAAAGTTAGAAACAGAGAAAACAGACATTGACAGAGCCACCCATTCCTAATGGCAATAAGGTGGTGCAGGGCAAAGTTGTTTGAGGTCAAGGAGATATTTAGGTAGCTAAGGAAGGTGGAAAGGCCAGGGGATATCAGGATATGAGAACAGACATGGCAGAAGGCAGCAGTGCTGCAGCTTTTAGATAGCATATGGTGTTGAATGTGAGGACAAAGCAGAAAACCAGCTTAGGTTCTCCATGAACTCCCACAAAGAATGAGAATGGTAAATACCCAAGGAACACAAAAAGCTGCCCTAGTCCATTTTGCTCCGTATTATCCACACTGATTGTTGTTCTCCAGGTGCCCAAGTTAAGTGTACCTGCACGTAGGACCCTCTGCATGTGCTCCACCACTGAATCACAGCCCCTCCCTAGTTAAAGCATTGTTTTATCTAGCTCAATATCAAGGGTTTCCAATGTGGCAACCACAGGCCCCACAGTACCCTCAGATACATGCTTGGCACCTGCCAAGGTCTCCTACCCTTCCCAATTTCTGAAAAATTATTTAAATATAAAACGAGGGGAGGTTGGTTGCTTGTGTGGAGGATCTGCCTGTTCTTTGAGGGGATGCTGTCTCCTCTTTTAATGCGTGTTTCATTTGTGGTTTTGCCTGTTGTGAAAAGGGGGGTTCCAAGCATTGGGTTTTTCCTTCTTGGACATAGGTATTTTGGTGGTACCTCTGACCCAATAACAGCTGGAATCCCCAATCTACACAATGACCTGTCATAGGCTCTCTGGGGTTTCAGGTGGGAGTATTCCTTAGGCTCTATCTGGAAATGCCAAGGAATGAAGCCATAACTTTTTGCATGCAAAGCAATGCTCTCCACTACTGAGCCATGCACCTTTCCCTGATCCATCCCACTAAGGAAAAAATGTTGGTTTGACGACATGTTAAGAGGAAGCTTTGAAGGTTACTAGCATAGAAATCCCATCTCACTTCCACATCCTCCTTTGTGTTGGGCATCCATGGGCAGGGGCACATCAAAGGGCCCTGCTTTCTTTTTCTTTTATACAAATGAACAATCATAAGGAATGCTCAACTCAACAGCTTTTATTAGGCATTACATTAGGTGTTACAGCACACTGCGAATAACCCGGTCCATGCCAATGATCTCACTCAGTGATGTCATTCTCCTGCAAACAATAAGTGCAGTCTTAACTTTACTTCAAGCAAGGCTGTCCTTTTCCTGGCAGCTCTGACTCAGCCTTTTTCTGGGACAGGCTTGAATATGGGGAAAGCCCTCTTGCAATTCCCTTCCAGGACCTTCCCGCATTTCCATGTAAGCAAACATTGAGGTAAAGGGGTTCACTGAACAAGGTCTGCTTCCCTATATGTACTCACTCCCTTAAGGAATTCAGGATCACTTTGCACCCATGTTCCCTTCTCCAGAGGTTCTCCATCTGTCTCTGGCTTAATAGAGACTCCAGCTTGCCCCTCTGGTACTACTGCTCTCCAGAGCTCCTTCTGAAAAGGTATCTGAGACATTTTCCAGGTCATTCCCCAAAGCTGCACCTAACTCCAGGTGTTTTCTATCACAGCCCCTACTAGCAACTCCTCTAGAAGGGAGTCCTGATTCTGCTTCCAAGTAGGTAGGTTTGTGAGCTGCACTGATACAACCCTAGACAGAATCCAATGCAGGAGCGGCATTTCTGTTTCTTGTAGCACCTACTTTTATGCAAAAGGATTTTTAGGATGAAAAATTGCTTTAAAACAGTGGGTGACCCTTCGTGTCTCCAAGAAAATCACAAGGATATTACATGCAAATTTTGGTTTTCATTAAAGCACCCATTATCTCCCCCAGCTGTATTAATAATTGCTCTGCAGCCAGAAGTACTTTTTTGTTTCAGATTTGTACTACGAGCTCTCTGCTTTCAGCTCCCCCTTTCCTCAAAGTTCTTTTTTCAAGAGACCTGTTTACACACAATCTATTTGCTTTGGGATACCAAGTCAACTATATGGTTCCCCCATGATCTAGAAGCATGACTCACGTCAACAAAAAGTTCCATTGTCTGGAACTTCCTCCCAGTAGAAACCTGGCAGACACTGTCCCTGCAAAATGTAAGATGTCAGGTCAAACCAGATTTGTTCCAGGATGCACACTGTTCTAATGTTTTTATTTTCTGAGGCTTTCAACTATGTTTTCAGTTTTGCACACAGTATGTTTTCTTTTTGTAAGCCAGTTTGAGGCACGTGTGAAAAGCAGGGTATAATGGTTTAACTAATTCTCCTAATCTTGTTTATTTTCTTCAAAATATGTATATCCCCAGTGATTAAATTACAGGATTCAAAACCTCCAGATCAACTTGCTTCTATTCCAGCATCTCCCATCAAAAAATGTGTGAGATGTTCGGCTTCCCGAAAACCCTAGATGACTAGAGGTTGACTCATCCGAGTGATGATGCAAACAGAGAAACGGATAAAGAATCCATTGTCAAGCAAGAGCCTTGGTTTCCACAACATTAGCTCATGCCATCCTTGCTGAACTTTAGCCCAGGACACCAGCAGTCCTTATCCAAAAAGGCCAGAGAGAGAGAGAATGTTCTGGGCTTGCTAGTTTCCAGCTTTCCTTTGCTACTAAGGAAGGTGGTTTCTTTCTTCTTCTTTGTCTGTACTCCTTCCACATTGGACATTTCCTGCAGCTCAGAGATCACTTGTTCCCAGAGTTTTCATGGAGAGCCCAACTGAGATCACTGCCAAACTGTTGCATTTCCAACTTCCTACTTCAACACTTGTACTTCCACGCTATGCATTTGGGTATGGAATTGCTACGCTTCATTCACTCACATTTTAAGCAGGGGAGGTGCTGCCTCGTTTTCACTATTTGCAAGAGGGATTCAAGCCTGCACTGGTAATTTATGTTTGCTCATTTGAAGTGGGTTAAAGTGCTGGGTTATCCTAGCAAACCCAATCCACTTTATTTACAAAACAGACTATTTGCATTTGAGAAAGCGATGGGGGAAAGCGTTGAAAATCCATTGAAAAATATGGGCTGGGCGGATGAATAACAGGAGGAAGTGGAAAGCAAATCAGGCTGAATGTTCATAGTTATATAATTGTCCCATAAACAAATCAGAATTAATGCTCAATAAAGACCAGAGATAGTCTAACCAGATCGTAAGCTTTGTGCACTCAAATTAATCTGCTATATGTTTTGGAAAGTTGTTTGTTCACTATACATTTTCAATCTCTTAAGATATTGCACCCAGATTTTCTAAAATATTTGCAGAACTGTGCTTAAATGAGGGGGTGGGTCAGTGTTTTGGCACAAAGTAAAACATTTCTGGTAGGCAGTGTCTATGTGAGTTGCTTCGAGACAAGCTACTTATTGAGCATTTATCCTGATTAGTTTGCACAAAGTCTGCAAGGAAGTTATATGACGCTGCACCAAGCTAGCAGTATCTCACACTTTCCAGTGCATTTTGCTATCACTCTACTTATTGCAAAATGTCAGATCTTTTGGGTGGCGGGGAACAGATTGGTTGTGCAAGACCTCCTAATCAACTTTCAACTTGACAAGCTGAATTTGTCAATATGTGACTGAATCCCATCCAAAAATAGTGACAGTCAGGAAGCACCCTTGGTATCGTGAGGGAGGGATTCAGTTGCATACTACAAATGTAGGTTTGTGCAATTAAAGTATATCAAAGGGCTCCATTGAAACAAATCCACTTTGGGGGAGAAAAAGACTTGTTGCAGTTAGGAAGATGACAGGGAAATGCACTAAAAACTGTGATAAATGTTGTGGAAAAGAACCATGTATTATGCTTTGATTAGAACATGACCTGGTCCTCCTCTATTACAAGGGGGCAGGGAGAAACAACTCAACAACTGAGTGTTACAAGCTTTTCTACCCTAAGCAGAGAATACCAACCTCATGTAGAAAAACAACAACCCCATACTAGCATACTTCTTTATCTCATTGTACAATGTGTTTTCAACACAAGCTCAAAACACGTTAATCAGCTTAAATAATATCCTTGTGATTACAGAGCAGACTGTATGTTCTCGGAGCCTTCCCATTTTCTTCATCACCCCTCCCATCCCCTGTCATGTAAGCAGTTTTCTTGACCAAAGTCTAGGCCTAGCCATTTTCCCTTGACATAAACAGCTGATCAACTGGAAGTTGCATACAACCACCATGCAAGCAAATCAGAATGAAATCAGGATGAATGTTCCTTGTCGTATAACCTCTGCACAAGCATATCAGAATGAATGTGCAACTTACGCATCATCTGGAAGAGCCCAGCAACTGGAGAGCTCAGTGGAGGGAGAAGCCAGCCAACTGGCTGAGTCTCAGGCGGAGGTACTTGCCTGTAGGCAGAGTCCATATACAAGGTTCAGTCCAGTCCTAAGGTCAGGAATGATCACATAGTCAGTTGATCTGGGGGTCAAGAAAGCAGAGGCTCCAAGGTCACAAGAAGCAGCGAGCTCTGGGCAGGAATGACTAATGTTGTTTCCAGGCCCAGACAGAGGGGGGCCATATGGGCCACTTGGCCTGGGCCTCCAATTCCAAAGGGGGCCTCAGTCAGCATATTTATCTATATTTTCCATTTTGTCTTTACAGTGGTACCTCAGGTTACATACGCTTCATGTTACATACGCTTCAGGTTACACACTCTGCTAACCCAGAAATAGTGCTTCAGGATAAGAACAGAAATCGGGCTCTGGCAGCACGGCAGCAGGAGGCGGCCCCATTAGCTAAAGTGGTGCTTCAGGTTAAGAACAGTTTCAGGTTAAGTACGGACCTCCGGAACGAATTAAGTACTTAACCTGAGGTACCACTGTATATGCAGATACGGTTCAATCCTTGAAATAAAATTATTTGTCAGCATAACCTTTGTGAAAATTATTTATATACTTACTTATTTATAAGACTTCAGTTATTCCCAGGGTAAAGAAAGGGGGGGCACATTATCTACCTGTCCCGGGCCTCTGCCTGGCTCTGCAAGGCCCTGGTTGTTTCCAGCAACTGACTGAGGCTGGAAACCCTGCTTAAGAAAGCTGGAGCCAGCTGGTTCTCATCAGGAGCAAGAAGGCTGATCAGCTGCAGCTGGAGTCACTTCACCTTCTGCCCCTTCAGGCTGCTGCTCAGCAGGTGAAGCCAACTCCTGGCCCATGACACCCTGGAACTATACAGAGCTCCCTATTACAGTCATAAGAACGTAAGACGAGCCTGCTGGATCAGGCCAGTGACTCTTCCCGCCCAGGATCCTGTTCTCACAGTGGATGACCAGATGCCTATGGGAAGCCTACAAGCTAGACATGAGTGCAGCAGCAACCTCTCCTCCTGTGAATCCTGGCAACTGGAATTCAGAGACATAATGCCTCTGACCATACAGGTGGAACATAGCCCTAGTGGACAGTAACTTAGAATCATGGCTTAGAATCCATCATCTTGCCACTCTGTAACTACCTAGATTGTGACTATGACTACTACTGAAGCAAACTAATCACAGGTCACACCCACACCCATAAGGTGAAAGCACATTTAACGTATTTTGCTTTCCCCAAAGACCCCTGGGAACTGCAGTTTACCCTTCAGAACTAGCTGTAATTCCCAGTGCCTTTAAACTACACTTTGTAGGATTCTTCCGCGTAATCCATGGGCACTAGATATATGGTGTGGATGTGTCCAGATGTAACATGAGAAGGGATCTGGTCACCTTGCTCTGCAGCCTGGCTGATCCAGGATATTGACAGCAATCACCCATCCCTACCACCCTTCTGAGTAATACCCCTCCCCACCCTCTCACTATATATAAGGGTCTGGTGACTTCTGTTTCAGTGTATCTGAAGAAGTGTGCATGCACACAAAAGCTCACACCAAGAACAAACTTAGTTGTTCTCTAAGGTGCTACTGGAAGGATTTTTTTTATAGCATTTTCCTGGTTAGGGCAGGATTCCCAAGGAGCTGACTCTTGAGAATAGCTATGTTCTACACTTCATTTATTTATTTATTTGCTACGTTAAACAGAAGCCTAATCAGGGGGTCGGGGGGTGGGAATCACAACAGCAGCAAACGCGTCTCTCATAATCACATTTTTTCCCGCTCAGCAACAATAGAATTGACCTGTCAAGACAAATTACAGGAAATGGGAAAAGCTCTTCTCCATGATCAACCTGCCTGCCTGCCTCCCACTCCTGGATTTCACCCTCCACACCCTGTCTTATATTTGTGGCAGCTGCTATTGTTCAGTCTCCTTCCATCCAAAATGCTGATGGGGATGAATAACTATGTTAAAAATAGCAGAGCTGTTTCAAAGAGAAGACATTTCTCGCCAAGCAATAGAAACAGGAGGAAGCATATGTCCAAGAAAAGGGACCAACCTTTGCAAGCTCTCTGGGCCAGGTCTTGGGGGGAGGCTCAGAGTAGCTCTTTTAATTTCTCATTTTTCCATTCTTGAATTCAGTTTGCTAAATTTCTGCATCAGTTTGCATTTAAAAGAAAAAGAAAGGGGGAAAGTCCTCATTAAAAATTATCAGCATTTCTCCCAACAGACATTTTTGCAAGCAGTTTCCCCTAATTTTTTTTTGGTATGCTATTTTCTCTAATGCATACCCTTTTTGCACACTTTTTCCTAATGTACACAATTTTTTTTAATGCAGCTGCAATCAAGTTTTGCTTAGTGAACTACATCACAAAATTCAGAGAACTACGGATTTTGAAAGACAGGTGTGTTTCGGTACATGTTTTGGCCCAGTAAGTGTGAATTAGGTAGGTTCACATTAAAATGCCAACGGAGGGCTTATCCTCACTTCCTCTTGCCCTGCTGCTTCCCTCCACAGAAAACCCACTCTTTAGCACTCAACTGGAGCAAACAGCAATTCAGGGTTTCTCCAGATTTATGTTTGCTCCGATTTAGCACAAAAGAGCGGGATCTCCCTGGGGAAGGAGCGTGGCTAGGAGAGAACTGATAAGACCCATGCCTAGAAAGTGTGAATCAAGAGGAAAACCAATCAGACCCACACATTCTAGGACAAGCCCTAAATTTCTCCTTCATTCCTACTCTTTACTCAGGTAAGTTTGCCACACCTTCCCTCTGTTATCCTAATCTTTAGCCCCCTCTACTGGTGGAAATGAGCGAGATGAGCTCCACAACCCCAGAGCCGTCTGTGACTGGACATAATTGTCAGGGGTCCCTTTGCCTTTACTGATGGAAAATGAAGCAAATAGCATCACCTTCCTACAGGGCAGAGGTCAGCCTCTGACATCCTTAAAAGGTAAAGGGAACGCTTGACCATTTGGTCCAGTTGTGACCGACTCTGGGGTTGCGGCGCTCATCTCACTTTATTGGCCGAGGGAGCTGGAGTACAGCTTCTGGGTCATGTGGCCAGCATGACTAAGCTGCTTCTGGCAAACCAGAGGAGCGCACGGAAACGCCGTTTACCTTCCTGCCGGAGCGGTACCTATTTATCTACTTGCACTTTGATGTGCTTTCGAACTGCTAGGTTGGTAGGAGCAGGGACCGAGCAATGGGAGCTCACCCCATCGCAGGGATTCGAACTGCCGACCTTCTGATCGGCAAGTCCTAGGCTCTGTGGTTTAACCCACAACGCCACCCGCGTCCCTGACATCCTTAGGCAGCTGCTAAGACCCTGGGGGCCCCTTTTATTTTTTCACTGCAGCCCAGTGCTCTGAACAGCAGCCGGTAACTGGTTCTAGATGCCATTTTAATTTTCCCACAATGCCCCTGAAGTAGCATTACCGCTGCATTCACTGCCAGGTCAGCCCAGCAGGGTATCAGAGGAAACCCACGCCCTGGACCTGGACCTGGTCCTGATTCCTCGGCAGGGATGCTGGGACATGTAGTCCCAGTACACTCCTCAGCCAGAAATGACATTCTGGTCGCTTCCAGAAGACCCGTTTATGGAGCGTTCATCCTAATTTATTTGCAGAAAGTGTGTAGGGAGGTTAGATGACATCAGCTGTTTAATGAGCATTCACTGTGATTTGTTTACAAAGTGGTTACACATGGTTGCGTCAAACGATGTTTCCCCAATGTTACTGCATTATTGCCGGCTGGAAGGGCACTCGTGCGCTACAGCACAACAGCGTGAGACAAAAAAATAACCTGGAACATTCGTGGCACGAAAAGTTACAGGGCTTCAGAAGGAAGCTACAGGACGTGCACTGACTGGAAACAAGTCTGTTGTGTCTGTATCAGAACTTTTGTTGGCGCAAACAACACGCAGGGTCGCATATAACCACCCCGATACTATTGCGAGCACAGACCATCATCATCTGTGCAGCATAAGAATTGCATCCAGAGAGGCTGGTTTATCTGAATATTACTTGTGAGCTATTGACTGAGGCTAGCAGCAGCAAACTTCTTAACATTTTTAAGCTGCGATGCAAACCAGAGGAAAAGGTTTTGGGATAATAAACACATTCACAGGAGCAGATGCTCCTCTGAAAGTGAGCGCTCCTGCATAAAAAGGGACAGGAAAGCCACCGCCCCCCCTCAGGTGAAACAATTAAGCTTCTCTGCAGGGAGAGCGCTGTGCAGATTTTACAGCAGGAGGGCTGGTGTCTGAAAGAGAGGAATGAATTATACTGATCTGGTGCCCCTGCCTCGCTTGCAATTCAGAATTACATCATCCCAACGCGTGTCTGATGAATAAATCGTGGTCTTAGGCTATTTCCTTGGTTTAGAAAATAATCAAATCTGAAGTAATGAGAGAAAAAAGAAGGCTAGGAAATTTTTACCCTCTTCCCTACCCCTCTCTCTGGCACAAATACATATAGCCAACCACTACTTATCAGAATTTATTTTTTAAGGGGAGGGAGGTTAGAACGGTGTGTTGTTCTGAGCATCTTTGCACTGAATTTATTAGAATTCTTTGTAATGCAAAGAGGAGCTAGGATATTGAAAGGTTTAGGAACAAGAACACAAGCTGTAATCCAAATGGGAACAGGAATATACAGGCAAGACCCACCCGTGTGTACTGAAAATATCTCTACAATGTTAGCAAAAAGCAAAACAAAGCTAGTCAATGCAAGGAAACAATTTATTCATTTGTTCTAATCCCCCAGAATTCCCATCACATTTTGAAGCAACGTTAGCATTTCAGGAAGCTGAAGAGGCAAGCCCCTTGTTCAGCTATCAAAGCAGCTTACCTCTTTAGCTTTCAAAACAAAAATAGTATAGAATTCCTAGCATTTCTTTTTATAGAACTCCAGGGGGACAGAGGGAGAGATGACGTTTCAATGAAACTGGCAGCAGATGCAAGATATCTCTCCTGCACCAAAAAAGGAGATGATGGTGTATTTTGCAATGAAAAGTCATAGAGAAAACACATAGAAAAAAGGTTTTCTCCGTCTCTCGTAACACTAGAACTTGGAGCCATCCCATGAAACTGAATGCTGGAAGATTCAGGCCAAGCAAAATAAAGTATTACTTTGCCTAGCACATTGCTAAACTCTGAAACTTGCTCCCACAAGAAGTAGTGATGGCCATCAATTTGGCTTAAAGAGAAGATCAGGCAAAATAAAGGAAGATAAAGCTAATGAAAGCAAAGGTCTGTATAGTTAAAGCTATGGTTTTCCCAGTAGTGATGTATGGAAGTGAGAGCTGGACCATAAAGAAGGCTGATCGCCAAAGAATTGATGCTTTTGAATTATGGTGCTGGAGGAGACTCTTGAGAGTCCCATGGACTGCAAGAAGATCAAACCTCTCCATTCTGAAGGAAATCAGCCCTGAGTGCTCACTGGAAGGACAGATCGTGAAGCTGAGGCTCCAATACTTTGGCCACCTCATGAGAAGAGAAGACTCCCTGGAAAAGACCCTGATGTTGGGAAAGATGGAGGGCACAAGGAGAAGGGGACGACAGAGGACGAGATGGTTGGACAGTGTTCTCGAAGCTACAAATATGAGTCTGATCAAACTGCGGGAGGCAGTGGAAGACAGGAGTGCCTGGCGTGCTCTGGTCCATGGGGTCACGAAGAGTCGGACACGACTAAACGACTAAACAACAAAGCTAATGATGGGCTGGGCTAATCTTAATCCTACTTAGAGCAGCCCCATTGAAACGAATGTGCATGACTAACCAGTCTGCTCATTTCAATGGGTCTATGAATGTAACTTGGCCGAATACAACCCAAAAGCTACTTACTAGTCATGGTGGCTATGCTCTACTGCAGCTGTCGGAGGCAGAATGCTCAGAATTGCACATGAGAAGAGTGCTGTTGTATTCATGTCCTGCTTTTAGGCTTCCCTTCGGCATCGGACTGGTCACTGTGAGGATGCTGGACTAGATGAGCACTGGCCTGAAACAGCAGGCTCTTCTTATGTTCTTAAAACATAATCACCTCCTATCTGCATCATAATGAGACTAAAGGTGGTGGGGAGAAAGGAATAATAATTATAAAATGGAATGCTATCATGAAAGGCTTAGAGGACAAAGGAAGATAGACAAAAACTTAATTGACTCTCACAATAACTGGACACACTGAACTCATGACTGCACCTAGATATAAATAAGTCCAGTGCCATCTGGACTTATTTATGTGCCTAAAACATATTTTATTTATGGGGAGGGGACCCCTAGGTGACCTACAGATTATATCTAGTGGGGAGTGCCCAGGAATTTGTAAAAACCCAATAAATGTGATTTTTAAACGGAAAGTATAATTTTTGAGTTTGACAAAGTCAAGCCAAAGTCACATTTTGGTCCGCCATGTTGGTTCAAAATGGCAGCTAGTGTCCAAATGTCAATGACGACCCCTGCCCCCACCTCAGAAACCCTCATGGCAATGGTCTCTCAAGAGGAGGCCAAACATATAGAGAACAGATAGATGGATGGACAGACAGACAGACCAACCACTTTCCAAAATATATAGCAGATAAATACAGGAAAAATCAACATGGAAATTCTTTTTTAAAAATCCCTTAAAACCCCAAATAAGAAGTAATAGCAGATGACTTTACACTTTGAAATAGCTAAAAGAATACCACAAAAACTAAAACAGCCCATCACCTTCAACCACAAAGACAAAATAAATTAAATAGTTCAAAAGATCACCTATACTAGGGTTGCCATACATCCAAAATTTCCTGAACATAGCCAGTAATTGGCTGTCGCAAACAGTGTCTGGGCAGAAATTGCTTAAATGTCCAGGAAAATCCAGACGTATGGCAACCCATGTTGGCAGTGTCATTTTTTGTGATTTCTCTTAAAAATAGCTGGCAATCTTCAATTTTTTGAGAGATTGTCAAAAAAAATCTCAATGACTTTTCTGTCCAGATTTTCACTTTTTGAAATATGGTAACGCTAACCTACACATTCTTTAAAAGTTCCACGGATGGCAAAATAGATATTTAAGATTATGTTAAAAGACCTGGGAGAATAAAAATCTTTGCCTAGCACAGAAAATACAGCAGCGTGAACACCAAGCAAACCCCTCTATGGACAGCAAAGCCTTCCTCCCGTATGGCACCCTCCATATCTCAGGCTGACCTGATTCTTGGAGAAGGACCTCTGTTTATTATTTTAGGACAAGGGCAGGAAGTGGTCCGCCAGGTATCAAGGTCTCGATCGCTGCAGAGTTTATAGGTCAAAACCAAGCCTTTGAATTGAGCCTGGAAACAATCAGAAAGCCAGAAAAGACACATTAATGTCTTCATGATGCCTGTGGTCCCAGTTAAAATCATGGCAGCCATATTCTGCACCAGTTGAACTCTGGACTATCTTCAAAGGCAGCCCCAAGTGCAACACATTGCAGTAATCCAACTGGGAGGCTACCGGAGCACAAATTACCAAAACCTAGTAATGTGCTTCCAGACATAATGGCACAATCCACACCAACAATTTCAAGCTAAAAGTTGGAGCCACACAAACACAGGCTAATTTGCCCAAATTTGGAGGGGGGAGGACCCAATTAAGGCCTCAGTAATTTGCAATGTAGACTGGAAGGAGGCACCACCAAGCATTTATTTAACTATGCTAGGAGCAAAGTCCACAGAAAAAGCAGCCATTCTGGCTTCGGTGGAATTACTTCTCATTTGCACGGAATAATAATCAAGCCCTTTCAGTAATGCGGAATCAGAGCCCATCAGGAAGATGCGAGCTCTTCTGAAGAGCCAGGAGATCAGCTTTAATTTCCTACCAAGCCATTACAATCAGGGCTGAGATCCCCCTTTCTCTTCTCGCTCGCACGAAACATATTCTGCCGGCTCAACGCAACCATCTTTTTTTCCGCACGGAAAAAGGTTCAGGGCAAAAGGGAACTCTGTGTATGAGGTGACATCTTCCCCCCAACTGCAGCCACCAGTTTCTTCCCTCCCTCCCCAAAGCCTGTTAGGTTACTTTAATTTAAACATTCTACAAAAGCTGTTATATTTTCCTCAGACATTTTAATCTGAGCTTGACATGACGGTGGCAGCCATGTTTGTTTGTTCACTTGTCTACTCCATTCAAGCACTACTTCAGCAGTAATTTTAAACATTTGACTAAAGCTGTTAAATTTTCCTCAGATGTTTTAATTTGAGCTTGACATGATGGCAGCAGCCATGTTTGTTTGTTCACTTGTCTTCTACCCCATTCAAATATAAAGCATGGAGTGAGGCAGGGTACTCTGGTGTTTGTGGGTTTTTTTCATCAAATGGCATACATGGTTGAAGGGATCTAAACCATTTCTCCATCTTATTTCTTCATGCTCTGTGGATGCAGAATTTTTTCCCTCAAGAGCGGTTCACTTCTGAGAGAAAAGTCTAAGGGCAAGGGAGGGTTCAGCTTTCTTAATAAGTGTTAGCATCAAAAAGAGGCTTTCTGAAGGAGGCATTCCACATACAGGGCAGCGAGAAAGCCCCCTTTGTGTCATGAGTAATGCAACCAAGTGTGTTATGTTCATAAAATGCCTAGATCAAATGTGGAGAACCTCCATGGCCCTTCAGATGTTTGCTGGACTACAATTCCCATCATGCATGACCACTCGCCATGTTGGCTGGGGCTGATGGGAGTTGGAGTTCAGCAATATCTAGATGCGCACAGGTTTCCTACCCATGGCCTTAGATGTTTAACAAATTTTGACTGTAATGAAACCTAAAAGCAGTCTACAAAAACCCCTTCAAATAAAAGACTGTTGAAAACATTCAAAGGATAATTGAAGTCAACAATAAGCTAAAAAGACGTGTGTTTTAATCTCAGTTTCTGCATGTCTAGATAGACTTTCCTACTGAAAAACCTTTTCAGTGGGTCCCAAAAAGTGTACAGTGAAGGCACCTGCCTGATGTCAATAGGCAGTTCCAAAGAGTAGGTGCTGCCACAACAAAATAATGGTTTCTTATTACAAGCGTGGAATGAGTGTTATGCGATACTTGTAACAGCACATATGGAGTAAGGCAAGCAAACCCTGCCCTATCAGTACTGTGGTACCTCGGTTGTCGAACGTCTCGGAAGTCAAATGTTTCAGTTTTCGAACACCAAAAACCCAGAAGTAAAGGCTTCCATTTTCGAATGTGCCTCAGAAGTCAAACGGCTTCCACTGAGTTGTTTTCAATTTTCTCCATTAAATTTTCAGGCCGCCCTTTGCGCCTCGGTTTTCAAACATTTCGGAACTCGAACGGTCTTCCAGAACGGATTGCATTCGAAAACTGAGGTACCACTGTATTTCTGCTTCCATCTTTTTTTTTTTTAAGTATCAATTTATTTAACAAAATTTATATACCACTTAAAACCTTTAAGCTATTTACAAGATCTGACACCCTGTTGCAAAGCCAATTGCAGATCACAATCTATTCATGAAAGAACAAATTTAAAACTATTAGTTTTCCTAGGGTTTTGCTGTTTTTTTGATAGATTGGTGTTAACACTGGGTGGGATCCAAACGAAAAGCACTTCCATTGATCTTGCCTGACCCACTCTGCACTGCACTGATCCCTGGGAAAAGCTCTGGCTGATAGGAAGACAAAGTCCAGGCACACAGAGAGTGTTGCGACCGCTGCATTTTTAGAGCTCTTATTTACACTGGCAGTTTAAATTGGTGTCACTTGCAGTATTATTTGTGGTCTTCCATGGGCACCAAGTAGAACGGCAAAATATATTCACTTATTCACTGTCAATAAATAAAATAGTAAAGCAAATAGCAAGAGGAGCGGAGTTGGTTGGTTAACCCAAATGCTGATTCCCACACCCTGCTGCCCCACTGTTGGGCCATTCCCCAATTTCCTGTTTTCCCTCAATGCCATGCACTTTTTAGGCAAAAGGATGTCACATCTTCTAGACCAGGACACAAATTTTTAAACGCCGAACCGAAAAGGAACAAAGGAAAGGCCTCTCGCGCTGGGGAAAGTGGAAGGAATCCAGGACTGGGGGGAACTTAGGGGATCCTTTCCCGCCCGACCGCCCCACATCACAGACAGCAGGTGCTCTCCAAGATGTGGTTATGGCAACAAAATAAATGACGGATAATTGCTTTTGTGACAACTTGCCAATTAAATTAGACTCAGCAGAATAACATAATGACAATTTGTTATGCTCTGGTGGGCACTAACATACCAATCATAATTAAATGCTATGACTGAAATAGAAGGTAGCTTCTACCCAGGAATATATAACCCCAATTCCCACCCTGTGAAACATTATAGGTTTGGGCCTGATATTTAATTTCGGGAGGATAATAGCATTAGCGCACAGCAGAATGAGCTTGCAGTATGCTCAGCGGCGGAGGCGCACGGGGGGGGGGGGGGAGGACAAAGCAAACTGAGAAGCTCCCGTGGATTGCCTCCCAAATGATCGACACATGCTTGTTCCAGCACAGCGTGGGTGCAAAGCAGGGAGGAGGAGTATGCACAAGGGGGTGCATCCTTGTTTGCTCTCCTGTCCCTTCCATCCCGACTGAGGAAGTTTTACCAAAAGGGACTGGTTTTCAAGAAACTATCCCAGTGTTTAACATACAGTTCAGCATGCACTGATGCAGAGGCCTGCCATAATCAAGCCCTGGGTTAAATATTCTCAAGGCACCGAACTGCATCAGGGAAGCAATGTTTGTTAATCAATCAATCAATCAATCAATCAATTAATATCACTCAATGTTCCACACTTCTATTGCCTTGGTTTTAATGAGCTACCATTTAACTCAGAGAATTGTTGCCTACAAACCACACATTTAAAGCACGTTCCTTCCCGCTCGCCCACAATAATCATGGTAACTGTAGCTTACCCCTCACAGAGCTACAGCTTCCAGCACACTTAACAAACTACAGTTCCCAAGATTATTGAGGGGGGTTGCTTGAAATGTGCGGTGTATATGACAGAGAGAGAACATCCCCCTGTTTTTAAGATGATGGACGCAAGTGCCATAGCAGGAACAGTCGCAGGAGAGGTATTTCCTCCTGTGTGGGAGAAGTAGGAATGCCCCTTCGTGTCTGCGACCTATTGATTTATAAGTACTTACAAAAGCAACTATTCGAAACAGAACAAAACACTGGTACTTGGTTAGTCGGAGGCTTTTTTAAGTGAGCAAGATTTTAAATTGACTAAATGTTGCAGCTCTAATACATATTATAAGTGTGTGCATGCATGCACACACAGAGATACACTTCTATTACTAAATGCCCTGGTCTCCTAGAAGAGGAAAGTGTAAATTATTCCAATTAATGTCTGTATCCCCTAATGACCTATTAGATATTTTACCTCAGACAAATATCTGGCGGCACTTAAAGCTGTTGAGGAACACAGCCAGAAATCTTTTCGCAATAAAACAGAAGCTGCCAGAACATATTCCCCTCTGTTAGCCTCAAATTCCTTCTCACATCAAATCTTTTCAACAGCAATCCTATTCCTAACAACAAATGGTAAGCCCTATGTTTCAATGCACAGAGGCTGTTTGCCAGTGCACCTCTGTATAATTAACTGCTCTTCCCTTGGTTTCTTCCAATCAGCCTCTTCCAGGGTAGGATTCGTTCTGTATCAGGTATGACAACCTACAACATAATGTTGCAGTGTTGACTGTTCCATTCCATTCTTCTCACCAGTCAGCAGTCTGTGGCTAGCGTGCATGCTCAGTTGTAGCTGAAATGTTTTCCAGGTTCCTCACTCCCTTGGCAGACCTCCACCCCAATAAAGGGTTGTTTTTTATACTTCCGTAAAATTGCGAGTTCTCCCAAGCCTGCTGATACTTTTCCTCCTGTATGTGGATGGTACTGTTTAGGATTAAATGACCCATTTGTTCCCAAGCAAAGTCAAGACAGAATCGCTCGCCCTCAGAAGGCTGCCTGTTGCATCTCTGTATGATATACTGCTCTGGCCTTGGTTCCTTCCAGTGAGATTGACAGCTGATTTTAGAATGTTTTTAGAATAGACGTTCTTTTGTTGTAGATGCATTCACCACTGGATGCAATTTAATTCTGCTTCGTCCTAGCACTAGATGCAATTTAATAACTACTGTCCCTCCTACAGAGACACTGCTGTGGCTTCTGATTAGGAGGCATAACCAGATCAGTAACGGGGCTATAAAGCACTATTGGAACGTGGATGAACCTCGTGTGCTTCCAAAGGATGTCTTTTCAGCGGAGCAAAGGGTGCCTCAGCTATCAGAAATTTGGGAAACCTTTGAGAAGCACAGGCCCATCTGAATGCCATTTGGGGAGGAGGCAGAAGGGGGTGACAGAGTTCATTCCTGCTCTGAAGCGTTTAAATGAGAGGATGTTATTTTAAAGCTCCATTGTGCCTCGAGGCATATGGTGGAAGTGAGAAGCTGACCTCTTGCCACTGACTGTTAACTGGCTGGCTCACAATGTGTTCTGATGAAGCTTGCCAGAAGCTTCGTGTGGGGCTCGTGATCCATATCCCTTTTGGTTAGCTTCCAGGAAGGAGGTCACCAGCAATTTAGCCCACAAAGGTCAACTGGGTGCTCTCTTAATGGGGTATAGGATTCTAGAGACAGATAAAGCCCAGCTCTGCTCATTAGCTATAGAGCCGGAGACTTGGATGGAAAGCTTCCTTTATGCCCCCCAAAAAGACAGACATTTTGCCCGCCTCCACATCACCATGGGTCTTAGACCGGGAATTTTAAGTGAATTGAGACACACACACAGAGAGAGAGGAGATCTCATCTCCTTGTTTTGTGCAAGATTAAGACAGGCCCTCTTATTATATACTATATTAAGCTCCCTTCCCATTACATATCCCAGGGGAGGGCCTGTTGTTTTTACTTAAATGGTTTCCCGACGAAGGATCTCATTATCCAATGTAGCGGCAGGCTAGAACTGACAATGCAAACCATCATGAAAGCTGATTCTCGCACTGCCATCTCAGCACATGGGAGCTTCAACTTCTGTCAACAACAGAGAACACGGCTAATGGTCAGGGATGATGAGAACAGAGAGTCCAGCGATATCAGGAGGGCTACGGATGTTACCCATGCCCGATCTAGACCAACATAGCCTTAGCAAAGCGGGTGCATTTCAGAGGTTTTGCACTATAACTCCCATCAGCTCATTCTCTGCCATGCTCGGTATTCAGCTTGAAAAAGGATGGTTCCAGTGACTTCCACAAAACTGGGTTTTGAATGAGGTGACATATGCACGTGACAGGCAGGGCAGGGCTGGGACCTAAATAATGAATTACTGTATTCTCAGAAATTAACACCTAACCATGTGTGCTTAAACGGAAGTGGGAAAACTCAGACCCCAAATGCAGCCCTCCAAGACTCCCTACCTGACCCTTGGGGCTCCAGGAGCCTCCCCTTTCCAAGCCACACCTTCTACTGCAGGGGTAGGCAACCTAAGGCCCGGAGGCCAGATGCGGCCCAAGCGCCTTCTCAATCCAGCCTGTGGACGGTCCGGGAATCAGCGTGTTTTTACATGAGTAGAATGTGTGCTTTTATTTAAAATGCATCTCTGGGTTATTTGTGGGGCATAGGAATTCGTTCATTTTTTTCTTCCAAAATATAGTCCGGCCCCCCACAAGGTCTGAGGGATGGTGGACCGGCCCCATGCTGGAAAAGGTTGCTGACCCCTGTTCTGCTGGCTCTCTTTGCAACTTCCTTGGATTGTTTTTGTTGGGTGAAATGTGTCTTTGAACTGTGATGATGCCTCTTGCTTGTCTAGATGGAGGATAGAGAAAGGTGTGTAGAAAACTGGCCAATGGGACAAAGGCCAAAACTATACTCCACCCACTTGTTGTCTCTGGCACCACCCACCACTAGACTATGACCCCCCCTTTGAAAAGTTGCCCAGAAGGGAATACAGCTGCCTTATACAGAGGCAGACCACTGTTGCATGTGGCATACATTTTCAACACTGACTGGCAGCAGCTGTCTGGGATGTCAGACAGGACACCTTTCCCAGCCCCACTTAAAGGTGCTGGGGAATGAACCTTGGACCTTCTACTTGCAAAGAAGACACTCTTAACACTCAGCTACAGGCCTTGCATTCCAAGTCTTAAAGTCATGAATAGATTTTCCAAGTTGTTATGATTTAATGCATGCATATCTTACCTCTCCTCCAAGGAGCACAAGGCAGAATACATGGTTCTCCCCTCCCTCCATTAACTGGCCCAAGGTCACCCAAGGTCCCTAAGTGGGGTTTTTGAACCTTGACCTCCCAGGTTCTAATACAACACTCTAACTGCACTGGCTCTCCCTTTGCTCTTGCCCCTGCGACCTTCAGTTCAGGGCAAAATTATACAAGGCAGCATGGGTTCTGTGTGTGCATTTAAACATGGAAGCACCCCAATAATGTAGATAGATTGTTGGGATGTGTATCAAATTTTAATTCACAAAACAGGGACTCTGTGCAGCCAAAGCAAGAGAACTTGGTGCGGACCTCAACTAGCAGATTCCTTCCAATGGTGTCTGCGCATAAAGAACTATGTGCAAATTGTGCGCTCCTGTTAATTGCCAGAAGGGTTAGAATTCACATTTTCACCTCTGGCTATAATGTTTTAAAATTAGATAAATATTGGGAATGTTTTATGCACATGCACGCACACACTGTACTTATACGGCCGCCTATCTTGTATTTTGATTGTATATAAGCCACCTCAAATACATTCATTAAAAAGGCAGGATATAAACAAACAATAAAACAGATATGCTTCATGGTATTTAAAAACTGTTAATTGAACAATTTAAATAAATCTAATATAGACCTGTGGATTTATTGGGGAGGGGAGACACTGCTCCTTGAAAACATGGTACTGTATATAAAAACAGAAATTAACAGACTGTCATGGCAAACCCTACAGTGCCACCAAGTGGACTGAAGCATAACCGGCAATGTTGCTTGCCAGCACGGCTGCCCTTCCAGCAGTGACATTTGCAAAACAATCAATATCTCATTATTGGCCATAATCACTAGCCGGTTGTTTGGTTTTTGCGGAAACAAACACCAATGAGAAACACACTCTTTTTTTGTCCCTGTATGTTAGGCAGGCACAGCATCCTAAAAGTCAACATCATTATTGGCAAGGAATGTTGCATGCATTCAAAAAGAGAAAGAAAAAAAACCCACCCCAAGGTTAGTGGAGTGACTGATCGAGCATCTTTCTCATCTAAGCTAAAGAAAAAGAAAAAAGGGGGGAATGAATTTTAAAAAGCACACACACTCATAACTCCTAAAGCATCAGCTGAAGCTAGTGACCTTTTGCTAACAGCTGGAAGGTAAACGCTTGATAAATAAGTAAATAGGTCACCCTTGGGGGTTTTGCTTACAACCTTTTAATTAAAAAATACTCCAGCTTCTGTAAGGTCACTAAGGACGACAGAGCCCAGAGTACAAAGGACTCACCCAACAGAAAGGGAGGATTAGACACATGGTTTCCTTCTGAGCTGTTTCCTTCTTAATGTGAAAGATACTTGCAAATCACATTGTGTATTCAAAAGGTGAACCCCCAAAGATTGCCCCCCTTCCCAGCCAGCTGGAGGAAATGAGACTTGAGCTTGCCTGGCAGCCACTACCCCAACTGCTGTGTTCTTTGGGATTGAGGTCAGCCAATAAGCAACTTAGATTCCAAAAAGCTATTTCCAATTCTGGAAGCTGCCTTTAAAATTAAAGAGCGGCTGGGGGGGAGAGAAACAAGCAACTCTTTCCCCATCTCTGTTGCCACAGAAGAGCCAACAAACCGCCCTCATCAGCAGCAAGTCCTGACCCCTGCCAGCTCATTTAGCTTGGCTGTTCACTTAGGCATTTCAAATCTTTCCAGTTAATTGGACCACATTACTAGCTACACGGAACACCATCATGCCTCTCTCCCCTCCGGCGGCAGGCCCAATGGCTGCAGCTTCTCTCGAGAGGTGGCAACGTGTCAAGCCAAGCCATGATCATAAAACCGGCAGCCAAGACGACAGCTCCAGCCTTGGACGAGTCAAATTCCTTGGGACTTCTTCTCCAAGTCAATTTTAATTTTAGAACAAGTGTTTAGTTAGCAGCATTCCCAGTAGCCCAAACACTGAAGAAAGAGATGAGGGCAGGGAACATTCCCTAAATTCAACCATCTGGGTACACTGTGCAAACCGAGATGGGGCTCCATGGGGCTCCTTTGCACCAGAGGTTTGCTGGAGCCAACATGTTCCCCAGAGATACGGCAAGCGTTTTCCATTTAGTGATCAGGTTTAAGAAGACAGCTGCAATTTGGTTGGCCCGTTAGGTAAAATCCCTGCCTCCTTGCAAAATACAAAGCCAAGCAATACCATTTATTAGAACCAACTGAAGAGCTAAAAGAAGTGGAAAAAACTTTATGGGTTTCACAAAACCCTTCTTCAGTCAGGATGAACAGAAACACAAAAGCAGGGAGTGGAGGCAAAGGGAGAAAAAAGATGGTGCTGGATTGAATAACATAGGAGTCCAGTTTTAAAATTAACAGAACTGAAAGCACAATCCTCGGTGCTGAGATGTCCCAATGTGTACAAACAGGGCTGACCCCAAGTAAGCACGCATAGCATTACAGCCTTAATTTGCTTAGGTGTGCTTGGTGTATAACGATCTCTGTTTAAGCTGACTATTGTATTTTAATATTCTGTTGAAAGCTGCCCAGAGTGGCTGGGGAAACCCAGCCAGATGGGCAGGGTATAAATAATAAATTATTATTATTATATTTTTATTATAAGCTGCAGGCTGTGGCAATAGAGAAGCAGGACTGGCCTCCCTTGAAAAATTCCAGCCTTTATTTGACACTGAGGACAAATTCATGGAGAAAGCTCTCAGTAGCTACTAACGCTCACAATGACCATGTCCTACCCCAACTGTGGAAATTTTAGGGAGTGCGCCATAACTAAAAGGGGAGGTCCATGACTCAGTGGCATAGTCGCTGGGTGGCTTGCAGAAGATCCCAGATTAAATCCCAGGTGTCTCTGGAAAGACTTCACTGAATCCATGCAAAGAATGCTGAGCTAGATGGACCAGGGGTCTGGCTTGGTGTAAGGCAGCTTCCCCTGTTTACATGTCTCCAGATATTTTATTGTGAGGACTGGAATCTTACTTTATCTTTATGGGGAAGGATCAAAGCACAGTGGCAGTGCACCTGCTTTGCCTGCAAAAGGTTCCAAGTTTAATCTCCAGGTAGCGCTGGGGAAGACTCTAATGCCAGTCAGTGAAGACAAGGCGGAGCTAAATGGACCCAGGGTCGGACTCCATATGAGTCCTGTTCCTGTGCTTCTGTACTATCAGAGGCAGTATGTCAGTAGCTGGAAATTGTAGTTGGGAGAGTGCTGTCATGCCCATGTCCTTCTTATGCGTTTCCCTTGGGTACCTGGTAGGTCACTGGAAGAACAGAGTGATAGATTACATGGACCTTTAGCCTGATCCAGCAGGGCTCTCCTTATGTTCCCAATTCCCTCCCACCTCCAGTATGCTTTAAACCATGTTGCTTACACAAAGATTTCAGGATACAAGCTGCAAAACAAAACAAAACATACTGACCTGTGGTGAAGAAGAACAGAAGGGCAGGATGAACTAAAATTATTATTGTTATTATTATTGCTGTGTTCTGGCAATTCATCTGCAATTACAAGTTATTGTAAGAGGCTTGCTGTACTTCATCCCCAAGAGACTGCAACTGTCTGAAGGTCACCTACTCAGTCGAGATTTGGACAGGGGAGGGAGAGGTCTCCATGGTATCACTCTGCCCATCTAGAACTATCAGTTTTGTCCATATTATATGCCATAATTACATTCTGCAAGGGACAAAGAACCCCCCCCAAAAAAGGATGCAAACAAAACTTCAGTTTGTCCTTTCTTGCTATAATCCATCACACAGTGCAATCCTATCCACTAAGGAGTCAGTCCTACTGAGTTCAATAGGACTTCCTGCCAAGTGAGTGTAAAGGATAGCAGCCTAGTGACCAGACGACTCCACAAGCCCTTCACCTACCGCATAACTGAAAGCTCAAACATCCAAGGCAAGACACACTTCTGAAGGAAGTTTTAATAATCAAATCCATCATATTAGGCACATGAGTGTGCAGGACTGGCCCCTCCTGTGCCATAGCAAGTCACAATGAGACAAAGTCCTCGTTATCCATTTGCTGCAAGTCAATGTGTGTAACAACATGAAATAGTGAGGTGGATGGAAAAAGGCCAACCGCTTGTTTGTAAGTGTCTCTAAGTCCAGCCAGTCATATGCCCACAGAGAAGACATTCAGTGGCATCTAACCCTTCTTTTACAAGGCAACTGAAAAATGTGGAGCCCTTAGGATGGGGCAGGACCTTTCTCTGGTGCATCTGTGGTTTCAAGCTCCTGCTCCTGCTTGCCGTCCTGCATCTCCTGCAGCATGCTCTGGAGTCGCATCTCTAACATCGGGTCCCTGGTTCTGGCTTCCGGAGAAGCCTGCTGGGCTACCTGGATGTTACAAGCAGATGAACAAGACAGAGGCAAGAATGAAACAGAGTCAGCAGCTCGAGTCTAGCCCCTTACACGGTTGCTGTAGCATCCTTGTGGGTGGGAACCTTCAGCCCTCCAGATGTTACTGTGACTGTAACTCCCCTGATCCCTAGCCACTGGCCATGCTTGCCAGGGCTGATGCAACCTGTAGATCAGCAATATATGGAGGGCTGAAGACCTCCCACCCCTGCTGTAGCATCAGGAAATTAAAGCACATGATGCTTCCTTACACAAAGTCAGGCCATTAATCCATGCAGCTCAATACTGTTTACACCGACTGGCTCAACTCTCCAGAATTTCAGACAAGGAATCTTACACAACCCGACCTGGAAAAGCTGGCAATTGGACCTGGGACTTCCTGCATGCAAAGCAGTTGATCCACTACTGACCTCAGCTATGGGCAGCGATATTAGGGCCAAACTAGATGAGATGCTATTCACAGAGTTATCCACTGAAATAATAGTTTTTGGAAGTAAGTGGGTGAGGACTCTGGGACAGGGTTTTTGTTTCAAACCCTTTGTCCGCCACTGTGGTCTTGATCTAACTTGAGGCATCCACACCTACTATTTTGCTTTATAAAGGGGGGGGGGGTTCCATTAATGCCAATGGAAGATCTTAACCAAGAACACAGCATAGGAACATAAGAAGCTGCCTTATACAGAGCTGGAGCCATTGGTCCATCTGGCTCAATTTTGTCTGCAATGAGTGACAGCAGGTTTCCAGGGTTTCAGGCAGGGAAACTCTCACAGCCCCATGTGGAGATGCCAAGTATTGACCCTGGGACCTTCTTCATGCAAAGCGGATGCTCTGTCACTGAGTGATGGCCCTTCCTCAGGGAGCAAAGGCTTAATCAATCCCCACCAGCATTCTGATCCAGATCATCCCACATACCCACACTTTCCATTTATTTTTTTAAAGGCACCCACACAATTTATCTGTGTGTATTGGGTCTTGTCTAGTTTGGCTCTACATTTATAGGCCAAAGTCAAGCAAAACATTGGAACACCAGTCCCTACTCTACCCCAAAGGGTCTCCTCTATGTGACAGTGCCCCCTGGATAACCAATGTGCTACAAGGACCACCACTGTAACCTTAAAACTGCCTGTGTTATATCAGGACTTATTCGTGAAAGTAAATGTGTATCAATAGTGGACAGAAATAAAACACGGTTACCCTCTGAGTAGTAAACTGCTTTTTAAATTTATCTTGTATGGGTTTGCACGCAATGGTTACTTAGTTGTCAAGTTAGCTCTGGAGAATCGCCAACTAAGGCCATTTCCAAAGCTAAACTCTAACCACCAGTCTTCAAGTCCATGGCCCTCATACACTGAGGCCCCAAAGACCATTCAAAAACTTAATTCAGCCCCTGCCTCTCCTTTAGAGCAACTCTTTGGAATACTTACATTCTCTGTCACTTTTCTGCGTAAAAGAAGTCCCTCGGCCAAGAGTGCTTTCCCTGTTTCTTCAAACAGTTTGTCATCATCGATTTCTCCCTGTTTCTGCAGTTCAATGTATTTCTCAACAAACCTGAAATTCAAGGCACCCGTCACCAGTCAAACAGCAACAAGCAGGGGAAATGAATCCCTATTCCTCCATCATTTCAGGGGCAAATCTTCATGTCAGAGTTTGTTCACTTACCTTTGGCAGGTGGATTTGAAGTTTAATCTGGACAGTTCAAAGGCTCTTGGACCATTTCCATAAGCTTTATAAAATTTCCTAATAAATAAGACAAGAAGTTTCAGTTTGGGACTGATCTATATAAAGACAGTAATGTCAATAAATGTGTAGATCCAGTAGTGATAAAGCAAATGTAATTTCTAGAGGGTTTCCCCCCCTTCATGATCTGAGCTAGATTCCTACACCCTTCAAGACTAAGTCAGGTCACATTCTGTTGGGGACTATATACAAGCAGTGAGTAGTGGGTGCAAATGGTGGGTACAGCCAGAAGCAAAAAGGTTGCAAGTAAACTAATCCATAATAAAGATAGTCCCCCTCCCCATGCCTACCTCATATTAGAATTTCCAATCCTCTATAGGGTCATAAGCATCAACTTATGAAACTGCCTTCCCTGCTGACCAACCAATGCCAAAGTTGATTATTGATTTAGCCAACATAGGACAGCCTTATGGCTGGCTGCCTTCTGGCAACACAGATTTAGATAAAGCATGCAGGTGTGTATACAAACAGTTTGCACAAGACTACTGCTGGTTACTCCAAGCACTTGGGATGGAGTTCTAAACAAATCTTTTATTTCCTGAATGTAGGTTCAGGCATGGGTGATGAGCAGTCAGATAACATATTTACATTCCAAGGAATACTTGAAATTCCAGTGGACATTTCTGGTTACATCCACTAAAGACTTCAAACTTATTCACAGGAGACTGAGAGTGGCAAACATTTTTGAGATGTGTGCCCTACTAGAAGTTCTGCTCAGGCAAGAATTTTCTCATATAACCAGGCAGCCAAGCGACCAGTAATTTCCTTGGAATTAAAAGACAGGGGAATAATTAACAGAAGAGCCATCTAATCCTCCATTCTCCTTTTCACAGTAGTAAATCAGATGTGTCAATGAAGCTCAAAGTAGAACCTAAAGGCAACAGCCCCCCCCAAAAAAAACCCAATTGATATTCAGCATTTGGGGGAAGAGCTAAAGCTCAGTGGTAGACCCTGAGCTTTGCATGCAGAAGGCCCCAGGTTCAGTCTCCAGGTAGAGATGGGTATTTTCCTTGATTGAAATCCTGTAGAGACACCTGCCAGTCAGTGCAGACAGAGCTGAATGTACTAAGCATATGACTCTGCATAAGGCAGCTTCCTATGTCCCTAGAAGCATACTACCTCTGAATGTGAACATGGCATTTGCCCTTCATGGTTAACAGTCACCAATAGGCCTTACCTCTTCCAAAAATTTGTCCAGCTCTGCTGGAAACCTTTTTATGCTACCAACCTTACACAGGCAATTAACAACAACAGCAACTCCAGTCATGGTTAGCTGATCTCCATTTTTAACCATTTTTACATGGTTTTTATTGCATATATGTTTGGTTGCACTTTAAAACACAAGTAGTTTTCAAAATAAATAAACACTTCCCATGGTGAAGCCCTCTTCAGTTAGTTGCCATCACCACATCTTGTATCAGGAAGAAGGGCGCCCTTTTCTTCATGTTGAATCTACTGTCCATCAATTTCACCGCTAGACCACCCCTAGGTTCAAATCCTCACTTGGCCACAAAGCTCTCACTGGGTGACCTTGGACCAGCCACACTCCCACTCAGCCTAACCTACCTCACAGGGTTGTTGTGAGGATTATATGGGGGCATACACCACTTTGAGCTCCTTGGAGAGAGAAAAAATGTGGGATATAATGATGCAATCAGCAAATGAATGAACGAGAGCAGAAATGTGTGTAGCAGAGGTGAGGGCGTGAACTTACGCTCTAATCTCGTCCTCCTTGTACAGGATGGGGGGGACCACATCTTGGATCTTGCCATATTGCGGACGAAGTTCCCGATAGAGAGGTTCCCTCAGCGGAGGAAAAGCGACATAAACATCGAACCAGATGGGTTTCTTGGCTTCAGGAATGACCCCTGAACGTAGCAGGTCCCGTGTGCTGCGGTATTTTTAAAAGGGAATATACAGAGGAAGAGAGAGAGAAAGAATGAAAGAAAGAAAGAGTATGACATCAACAACAAAAACAAGGTTAGGGTGTCCTCAGTCTAAGATAGGGCAAGGAAGAAATGGGGGGGGTGAATCTGTAGCACTCCAGATTTCTATTTGACTCCAACTCCCTTCAGCCCCAGCTAGTATGACCATGGTGAGGGATGATGGGAGCTGTAGTCCAGCAACATCTGAAGGGCGCGCAGGTTCCCCCCCCCACACACACACACCTGAGCTACAAGAACATTTGTTTCCAACCAAAAGGGCCCTTCTTGCGTTCTCTTATGACACCTCGCTTCGAGCCCGCTACACCAGCCGCCCCGAGTCTGCAACCTCGACAGTCCCTCCTCACCATCCCATACCCCCGAATTGCTAAATGGAGGACCCGCAAAGCTTGCCTCACCGGCTGAAGACGCTGCCCAGCTTCTCCAACCTACTCCCCGCCATAACGCCTTCGGGCCTTCGCTAGGCCTCTCTTAGCAACCCGGAGCAGGCCCTAGCAACCGGCAGCACCCGGAACCGGAAACGCAAAGCCTCGCGAGACGCCTGCCGGACGCGAGCGCCTCACAGCCTTGTGATGAACAGTTGCAAACAGAAGCAGGAGAAGTATGGATGAGCGAAGGCAGGCAGAAACAATCGATGGAAGAGCTGGGCTGACTGAAGAGGGCGCTGCCTGCCTTCTGTATGATAGAGGAGGGGGAAGCTGTTTTCCTTTGATCTCTGCCCTAGAACCCATTTGCAATATTATGGCTCAGCCATAGAATATACAACTGGTAATGCAGTGACTATCATTAATAATAATACCATGCATGTTTACTGGGAAGTTGGCTTACTCTCAGGTTACTGTTTGTAGGCTTGCTTCCTTAATAGTAAAGGAGCGTGAGCGTGAAATTGCTTTCCCCCTTCGGAGTAGAATTTAGTTCGACCTAAGAAACTGCAAATGTGCTGTAAAAGGCACTCCCCAAACACACCATTTCTCCAAATGGAATCGGAGACAGGACAATCATATATCAAAGAACATTGTATTTTTAATATTTTGTTGGAAGCCGCCCAGAGTGGTTGAGGAAACCCAGCCAGATGGGCGGGGGTATAAATAATAAATTATTGTTATAAATTATTATTATATAAAAAAGAACCAAAGTAAATTCACGTCAAAACCCATATGGTATACCTATCAACATTCAAAGTGCATTAAAAGCAGCTCAATAGCAAGACGACCCTTGTGGTCCCTTCTAATTCTACCATCCACCTGAACCACTGCGCCAGACAGCCTGGCTTTGGGGTGTGTGCAGGGACGGGGGTCCTGTTTATCTTCTCTTTGGAGTGGAAGCTGCACCACGGAGCACTGCCCGGCCAACCTCACCTTTTCTTGCATGCAACCAGCCCAGGGGCTTCCTCCTCCTTAGCCCCGGGGTTGCCTCTTTTGGAGCTTGGGAGGGAGGAGGTGGGTGGGCCAAACTGGCTTTAGTTGGCTCTGCCTGTCTTTGGCTCTGTCTCCGCCCACTGTGGGGCTCCCTGCCTTCCGCCCCACCAGCCCCACCGGGCACCAGCCAAGGCGGTCTCTCCCTCTCCTTTCACACTCCTCATGATCGCGAAGGGGCACGTGAACTGGTTCTACGGGGACAGAAGTCTTTTCAGCTGCTTATTAGTCCCAGAGCGCGACAGTGAGAGGGAACAGCGATGCTGGCAAATGCCACTTTTCTTCCCATTAGGAAAGAAACGCATCTGAGTAGAGGAGGAGGAGGACAGACGCTCGGTGTGCCTTGCAACTTAACACAAATTAAAGTCCTTAAGCTCAGACCATATGGCCGAGCGTAGAGTCCAGATGGCTCCCAAACCTGAAAGGCTTGATGAGGCTTCTGTCAGCTTTGTTTCCCCGCATAAACATAAATAGATGTGCACTTTGTGGCAATTATCTCGTAATAGGAAGACATTGTTACGGATGTCAAGGAAGGATGGGACTTTCCCCCCTTCTCTGCTTGACTTGTTGAGCACTTTTGCTAAAGATGGGCGTCGATTGCTTTAAAAACAGTTGCTTAGTGAGCATTGCTGGCTTTTGATGGCTGCTGGTTGCTGACTCCCAGATACCACTCCACATGCTTGAATTGAAGATTGGTGTGTGTTAGGTGGGTGGAGGGGAGAGTTTCACAGCTGGAATGCAGCCAGCGAGAGAGAAAGAAGATTGAAGTTGTGGCTACAGGCAGAGAAGGACCTCTGTACAGTATGGGACATTCCAGCCATAGGAAAGTCAGAGGTTGCTGTATTTTTTAAAATCACTATTAAGTTGCCTTATGATCTGAAGATCACAGGGTAGTTTACAATATGAACATACAAACAAACAAACAAACAAACAAACAAACACCCCCCTCTCTATCCAGTCAAGCAGAAGGCATTATCCCATGCCGAGGACAACATTTCAGCTAGGCAAAAACATTTCAGAAGGGCACAGTGCAAGCCTGGTTTATTGAACTGTGATTAAATTGCTATATGATATTTTAGGACACACTGTGTTTTGGTTGTTGCAATCCATAATTAAATTGTATACCCCTTTGGAAACTTGTACTGAAAAACACACTTTAATAGATCACCAGATATTAGCCTCACATCTGGGTGACATACACCATGCTTTAGAGCAGGGAAGGGAAACCCTGCAAATCTCTTCTTGTAGGTAGTGGTAGGTAGGCCCAGAGGCAAAAGTGGGTGGGGCAACAAAGGTAAATGTTACCTTTGTACTGTAGGCTAGTTTCTACACACTTGCACACAACCCTCTTTGTCCTCCATCCAGGCAAGCAAAAGGCATGCTCAGAGTTCAAGGACACATTCCAGCCAGGCAAAAACACTCTAGGAAGGTGTGAGGAGGCAAGGGTGGCGAGCAGGGAAGTTCTGAGGGCCAGGTGGAGAAACCCAGGGGGGCACATATAGCCACCAGGCCTGGGGTTACATCAACAGGCTGAAAGCATGGCTGGAAAAGGAGGTGTCCACCAAAATGAGTATTATTGTTTTATTCTGGTTTTTATTATTCATTATCATACCTTTTCCCAATGAGCTCCTCCCACCCCATTTTATTCTCATGACAGGTAGGCTAGCAGATGTCCCAGGGTCATGCAGCTTCATGACTGAGCGGGGAACTGAACATTAGATCTCCCAAGCCTTGAATCAGGCACTTCATTTGTTTCTTCGCTTTACTCATTTGTTGCTCTAGGTTTTGGTTTGTTTGCCTTTGTAATTGAAAGCAGGGAATTGCTTTCGAAAGCATTGCAAAATTACTCTGGGGATGGGCAAGTTTGTGACCTTACAGGTCCTAGCCAATCAGTGCTATGCAGAGTAGGGTTATGCAACTAACTTGGCTTTCCCAAGCCTAGTTCTGGTGAGGAAAGATTTCATCTGAGCACAGCGCAGGAAGTTTAGCTTGGCATCATTTTACACAGCCTAGGAAGGCTTGAGGCCTAGTCTTCGGGGTCTCTGTGCATGTTTTCCTGAAGGCTTACCAGCACTTCTGAGATGTGTCCACCAGATGTCACCAGATGTAACACTTCACATCATATTCGTTGTATTCTCACCCACTCCCAACCATCCCCTTTGATTAATGCACTGGAACACCTACACCAAGGTTACTGGAACAAGCAGTCTTCTCATACCTCCAGTATTTCCAGGAAATGTCTATGAGAGACATCCTAAGAATACCAGTAAGCCAGATTTAGGTTCCTACTGTTCTAATTACAGACCAGCCGCTGCACAGCCCACATTCTGTATCTAAAAAGGATGTCTGTCTCCCTTCTTCCAAACCCAACATTTGGGATGCAGGAGGTGGGCTTGACCTTTGAATCTGTTCTTGCACCATATTCTAAATGAGCAGTCTAAGTTATGGAGTCATAGAACAGTCATCCAGTCCAACCCCCTGCAATACAGGGATCTTTTGCTCAACACGGGGCTCAAACCCACAAGGCTGAGATTAAGAGTCTCACGCTCTACCAACTGAGCTATTGTCCTTGCTTTTTGCACTTCTTTTTAATGTTTGTGTTTTAACAAGTTGCCTCGAGTTCCCCTTTCTGAAAATAAATAAGCAAACAGTGGAGATTCACAAAGCCAAAAGCATTACGAGAGTACAACATGACTTTATTATATGAATTACTATTAAACATATTTAAGAGAGAAAAAAATAATGTATGGAAATAAATTCTAAAATAGCAACACTCACAAACATCACAGAAGTCTCTTCTTCTTTTTGTTGGTTTGTCTCCTTTTTTTAAAAAAAAAAACCCCTCCCCCCCTTTTTTAAAGAAAGGAATACAAACATTATCAAGGACAGGACATTGTTTGGTGGTCAGAGAAACACAGCTTGGTTTAGGAGCCCAACTTGGTGGCCTCTAAAATGCATTTACATTAGATACTTTAAAAATGACATCCGCGCCCTCATTCCCCTGGGCTATATGCCTCATGGGCTCAGTTGGTCCAAATGTCCAGAGGCTGCTAAAGGAAATGTCTGAAAAGTTTCAACCCACCTGCACAAATACAAAACCATTGTTTTGGCCATTCCCCAATTGCTTTCCAAACGTAGTGATGACATAGGGAACTTTCTTGCACGGAATCCATCCTCAGTCCACCTGGCTTGGTATTGTCTACACTAACTGGCAGCAGCTTCTCCAGGGTTTTTCGTTGGGAGTCCTCAGCCCTACCTGGAGATGTCAGGGATTGAACCTGGGACCTTCTGCATGCAAGGCAAGTGTTCCATCACTGAGCTACAGCCCTTCCCAAACTTCTGTATCTCATGTAGCCTACATTCTTCAGTGTGCGAGGCTTAAAAGGATGTCAGTAGGACCCAGGTTCTAATCCTGATTCACCGGGCATTGGGGTGTGTGCGTGCTTTTATTTATATGGAAGCCTCCTTTGGAAACAGTTGCTCCCTTCCATCCATGAAACTCCCAGAAAATATTGAAGGAGCAAATCCCTTATTGTTCTTGCCCAGCTAATCCAGGAAACCACCCTCTCTTTAAGAGACCTATCCCAGCTACCAAGGAGAACTCAACTACGCTTCTTCCACCCGCCTTCCTGGCCCCATTGCCCACCTGCTCTTCTCACCTGCCGAAGGGCACAGGGCCACAGTTGCATCCAGACCGCCAATACTCTGCAGGAATGTATTCAAGCTCGTACCAGAAGCATAGAGTTGTGCAACTGAAGTAGATCAGAGCGCTCTGTTCGCTCGAGCGCAACAAACCCACTTTTTGAAAGATCAGACTTTTTTTGCGGTTAAGGTTGTGATGGGGAAACACATTGGAAAAGGTGGGACAAACAGATGCTTAGTGGGGAAGATGTTAAACATGCTGCGCGAGCAAATCGAGACAAATGCTTGTCAGAAACAAACAAATGAGAATGGATATTCAGTAAAGGCCAAGTGTAGCCTAACCTCTGCATAAGCTTTATTGCAAGCAAATCAGTAAAGGTAAAGGTAAAGGGACCCCTGACCATTAGGTCCAGTCGTGACCGACTCTGGGGTTGCACGCTCATCTTGCTCTACAGGCCGAGGGAGCCGGCGTTTGTCCGCAGACAGTTTCCAGGTCATGTGGCCAGCATGACTAAGCCGCTTCTGGTGAACCAGAGCAGCACACAGAAACGCCGTTTACCTTCATACCAGAGCAGTCCCTATTTATCTACTTGCACTTTGACGTGCTTTCGAACTGCTAGGTTGGCAGGAGCAGGGACCGAGCAACGGGAGCTCACCCCATCACGGGGATTTGAACCGCCGACCTTCTGACCGGCAAGTCCTAGGCTCTGTCGTTTAACCCACAGCACCACTCGCGTCCCTTATAAAGCAAATCAGTATGAATGCTCAATAAACGGGTCATCTGGAGTGGGTGTGCCATTTCAGGCTGCAGTACTGTTAAACAGCCAGGAGGGGTCTCCAAAAAAGAACTTTCCCCAGCCTCTAAGCTGGGCATGGGGAACCTTTGGCCCTCCAGTTGTTGCTGAACCGCAACTCCCATCAGCCCCAGAAACATGGGCAATGGCCAGGGGTGATAGGAGTTGCAGTTCAGCAGCATCTGGAAGGCACAGGTTCCCTGCACCTGCTTGAAACAGCCCAGGCTTCATCTGTGTAGACTCACAAGGATTGCAGGGTTTCATGGGAGCTGAACAAATGTACCAAGATTCTCATTTGTATGCTGAAACTATCAATCAATCAATCGCAGCAAGGGGCAGCCAGCACTTGTTTTAAAACAGAAGCGAGGAACCCAAGAGCCGCATGTCCTCATTGGCAACCTTCCAGGGGCCACATGCCAGTGGTGGGCAGGGACCAGGGGCAAAAGTAGGTGGAGCAATAAGCATAGATTTTACCTTCATACAGGAGATTTCTACTCACCCCTCCTCTCCCTCTTCCATCCAGGCAAGCAAGCAAGAACAAAGACATGTTCCAGCCAAGCAAACACACCCAAGCAGGGTGTGAAGGAAGGCTGGTGAGAGGGTGTTGCCTGGGGAAAAGTCTCAAGGGCCAGGCAGAGAGGAGCGACCACATTGACCTGAGGTTTTAAATGTAAAATAAAATAAAGCAGGACAACAGGGGAGCAAAGAATTTGCAAGGAACCGATTGAGCCATGGCTCCGAGAAAGGAGTCCTGGTCAAGCCAACGAGGGCAGGATGGAGAAGCAAAGCTTGCTAAGGAGCAAGAGCTGGAAGAACAACCTCCTGGCAGAAGTCGGTAAGGAACAGCAGCCAGAAGCCCCGAGGCAAAAACCACCCTCCTGCCTGAGAAGTATCCCTTCCCACCCATCCACCCTGTAAAAATTAAAAACTGCCAACCCAGAGTCAAGGACATTTGTTGGGAACTTTGGTGGTGAAACTTTGCAAGAGCCCATTTTGGAGTAGCCATACAATGGGACCCTGGCCCATTCCTCCTTCCCACCTGCAACCTTAGGGCCATAGAAAGCTGGTTCATACCAGGTCAGACTGTTGGTCCATGTAGCTCAGGATTGTCGATTTCCAGGTTTCAAACGAGGGATATTCCCAGCCCTGCCTGGAAATGCCAGGAACTGAACCTGGGTCCTTCTGCCTGGAGGTGCTCTGCTACTGAGCTATGCCCCTTCCTCAACTAGCTGCCAGCTAGAGCGTTAAAGGCACAGGAAATCTGGCAGGGAGAAAATGCAGCAACTGCATCGCAGCTTGTGGGTGCAGCTTACTCATATTTCTGCCCTCCTGCCGTGAAATGAATCCCGTATAGTCATTTCGCTCTAATCAGGTGGGGCCATTTCCCCACCTCTTGGGGAAAGCTGTCTGCATGGCTTTTTACACTGTTGGAGGCTAGAGGGATAAGACACAACAGGCAGTGTGTCCTGAGGAAGGGCAAGTACCCTTGACATGTCCTCTTCCCCGTCACACTTCCTGCAAAGTTGCCTTCATGGTGGGGTGGAAGGCAGGGAGCCCAGCAGCAGGGGGCGCCAGAGCCAATGACAGGCAGAGCCAGCTAATTCTGGTTTTGCTCTTGTTCTCTCCTCCCTGCTGCCTTCTGTAAGGGGGTAACACTACTGGCAGGCCAACCCCTCCCTGCCCCATACAGGTTGTTCTTAAGAAAGCAGGCAGGTTGGGGGGCTGGCTGAAGACAGACGGAGGTTGGTGGGGCAAAGCCCCATTCGCCCCTAAAGGAGCAGCCTCCATTGCCATGTAGCAAGATTTTTTCCCTGGCTTCTGTCTGCGTCATAAAAATAAAATGGAAAGTTTAAAAAGTTAAGCCACGAAGCAATGGAGCCTTCAAACTAGCAGATCCGATTCCAGAACTTGAATGCTATCCAAGCATTCAGATAGAGAGAGGGAGAGAGAGAAAGTCCAGCTATAGATGTCAAAAGAGGAACAGCCGGTGGCTTATTCAGCTAGGAACCCACGGGGAAGGGGGGAGAGGGAGAGAGGCTGGAAGGCTTTTCTACTTCTCTGGCTGTTTATTTCCAGTGGCCACCCTCCAGGTTTCTCCTTGGCAACTAGTGGATGCTTAGCCTCAAAGATGGCTTTGGGTGAGGGGGGTTGTCTTATCCTGAAGATCTCTCTCTCTCTCTCTCTCTTTCTCTCTGCTTACTCCAGTTCCCCTCCCCAAAAGGGAACCGTTTCTGCCTGGCAGCCCCTCAAGTTTGGGGATCTTTTTAAGCAATACTGCTTTCTCCCAACTCTCCCTGGAAACTTGGATCCCGTACAAAACAGCCCTGCGGAGAGAGTCCAAGAGGCTGAACTTTTGTCTAAGTTGCACTGACGTCACTTCTGTGCTGGAGAACATACAAACCTTCATTCAGGGTTTTGAGGGTTTGGGTTGTTGTTGTCCGTCCCCCCCCCCCCCTTGTTAGAGCCCGGCTGGGCATTCTCTGCCTGTGATTTAAAGCAACAGGCACAGGTTCTGCTGCTGGCACCACTTTGGATGGGCATTAAAAAACCACCAAAACAACTCAGATCTCTATGGTCAGTGTCACTTCTGAATGGCAGGACGAGTGTCTGTTTCAGAACAAACCTTGGCAGTCATAAGCAACAGGCATGGTGGGCCTGACAAAGGGTCATTTGCCATTAGGGCAAACGAGGCACTGCCCCCACTAAATTCAGTCTGCCCTCTCTGTCTTCTGCCCCCACCCCCAGTCCCAGGGGACGCCACCCAGACGCTGTATCAGAGGAACCAAAGACTTCTGTCCCAGCAGGACCTTCTTGTGAAGAGTCCCCTCACACATGGCCTTGTCATAAAGCACCAAGGTAGCATTCAAAAGCCTGTCCCTAAGTGGACGAGGACAACTGTGTACTTCCTTCCTACTTATCGACTGGCTCCAGGCTTTCAAAGCATCACCCGAGCAACATGGGACAAAAACCACATGGCTTTCACACCATCACATGAAGAATGCCTTATTCACAGAAACACATACAGAATACAACCCTTTACATCAATCCTATTTTCCAGTCATAATGTTCAGCAATACAAGGAACACATAGTTAGGAGAGGGGCCACGCTGAAGCAACGGGATGAAAGTGGTTTCTAGCTGGAGGGACGGCGATTCCGAGGCCCACTTTAAAAATAATAATAAACAAGGCCCAAGGGCAGGGGATTAATCCACTGTGAGGCATTTCTGGTTGTTAGTTGGAATCAGCAGAAACTCTCTCTCTTTTTTTTATGTGGAGAGAAGTTTATAACATCCTGACCATCCAATCTCTTGATTTGGGCTTATTTTCTGTTAGCAGCAATAATTATGTAATGATAATCATCAATGATACAATGAAATTCTGAGGCCGTCCTGTGGCTGGAGAAAGCTCATCTGTTAGTTAAAGAGATATGGTTTAAAAACACCAGGCCAGAATCCACATTTGAACGGCATCTCCCCCGCCCTTTGTTCAGACGTCTGAACGCTACAGTATAACAAAGAAAGAAAGGTCCTTGACCCATCCTTAAGATCTCGAAAATTCATTCTGCAGTTTGCAAAGATTTGACGTAGAAAAAAAAATCAGGTCAGCTGTAAAATCAGATCTCTGTTTCTTTCCTCCTTTTGGGCTGGTGATTCTTCAGATTGGAGGAGGAGGAAAAACCAACCGGTAACTGTTTTCGAACCCAGCTGCTAAGAAAGGACCAACCATGTGCCTGGCATTATAAAAAGCTTGGGCTTCGGGAAGCATCTGACAGCTCCAGGGGAGGACAAAAGCACCTGACCCCATCGTGCTTCTCTGACATCTTCTAATTCTCCCATTATTCACCTTTTCTTTAAAAATATATATATTGGCCAGCTCAGGATCTAGAAGACAAAGGAGGGCAGATTTCAATGCTTAGTAAAATTGAGCTTAATAATAATAATAATAATAATAATAATTATTTCTACCCCGCCCATCTGGCTGGGTTTCCCCAGCCACTCTGGGCGGCTTTCAACAGAACATTAAAAACAGAATAAAACTTCAAACATTCAAAACTTCAGATGTTTTTTGTGCCACCCCAAAACCAGAATTGAAACCAGTCTTGCTGTTCTTTAGCACCGTGCTATGACCAAGACAGTGGATTTTAGTGGCTCAAACTGGAAGGGTCAATAGAAATAAAAAATAGAAAAAAAGAACACCCACTTTCTGGAAACATCTTCTTTTTTTTTTAATGGAATATTCAATACTGAACCCAAGGCAAAAGTTCTGCATAGGAATCCACCCCAAAGTGCATATAACCTCAGTATTGGCTACCCTAGATGTGAGGAACCTTTGGCCAGGCACAGGCAAACTCGGCCCTCCAGGTGTTTTGGGACTACAACTCCCATCATCCCTAGCTAACAGGACCAGTGGTCAGGGATGATGGGAATTGTAGTCCCAAAACATCTGGAGGGCCGAGTTTGAGGAAGCCTGCCTTTGGTCTTCCAGATGCTGTTGAACTTCCTCCCATAATCCCCAGGTAAGCATGGCTGACAGTCAAGGGTGATGGGCATTGTAGTTCAGCAACATCTGGCAGGCCAAAGCTTCTCCACACCTAGTCTATACTGAATACCTGTGGCTCTCCAGGGTTTTCAGACACTGAATCTTCCCCAGTTCTATATGGAGATGCCAGGGATTGAACCCAAGACCTTCCGCATACAAAGCAGATGCTCTGCCAGTGAGCTACATCCCTCTCCCTAATCTCCAAATACTCTTCACCTTACTGTGCTTCTTTTGATGTTTCATCTTCTGTGTGTAGCTGTCGCCTTCTTGCTTGGCCTTCTTCATCTGAAAGGCAGAGGAAGGCAAGAGAATATGGAAACCTGCCGGTGAGAAGCAGCTCACTCTGCAGTTATGTGGAGCTGCTGTCACATGGGCCCCACAGAACAAATGAGAGAGAGAGAGAGCACAGAATAAGCAGGGAGACTGGGAAATCTTGTGTTAGACCAGCCTCCACAGGTGAAGATATAGGGCAAGGTTTTTGAGCTATGCAGAAGTCTACACCAATAAAGGATCAGGCATCGTTATATACAGTTTGAAAGGGTCTTAAATGGGTGAATCAGTCCAAGCAGCAGCCTTATGAGCTGAGATCACAAGTAAATCAGCACACTGAGCTTAGCTGGGACCAACCCAAAGGTAGCACTCACATTAGTAACAGGGCTCTCGCCTTACCGCATGAATGTCCTTCAACGTCATCAAGAAGATTAGCTGTCGAAGCTGCTGTTCCCATCCTGCACTTGCGATTAAGGAGGAAAAAAGAGGAAACCAATGGCATGTGGAGGGCATAATCTAAGCCAGGCCTCAGATGATCTGCGCTCCAGAACCAGGATTTCCATGGCTATGGCTCAGCCCTGGGAGAGTAGAAACCAAAGCTAGGGTTCCTCTGTGTGTGCGCGCACACATGTGCAAGATTGTCTTTCACTCAGTGATCTGCAAACTCAACTGGGAATCCAAAGATTCCCAAGTCACACTGCATCGTCATCACCTATTATATATTTTGGAAAACTGTTTGTTCTCTATGCATCTGGCCACCTCTTGAAATACCGTAATCCTGAGATCAAGAAGCAGGTTCACAACGACATATGCAGCAGGGATGAGGATGGGGACAGAACTAGAATGAGCAGGCCCTGCCTTTCCTTGGCTCTGCCTACTGTTTGGTTTCCCTGCTATCTGCCCTACCATTGCCAGTGAACACCAACCACAGCTGGTGCTGACGGTGACATCAGCAAGAACAAGCAAAGAGTGTTGTGAATCTAGGTCTATTACATTTTCAGCTGAGCTGTTGAAGTCTATCACAGCACAGGGATTTAGCACGGTGACTCTCAAGTTGGAGGAGGAGAAAGGAGTTCAACTCCCTGCTCAAGCACAAAGCTCACTGGTTGCTCTTGGGGTAGGCATGGGCAGTGGAGAAAACCCAAAGGGAGGCCCCTCTTGACCCCTGGGCCATGACACAAGGAACTTGAGTGCAGAAAGCCAGCTCTGTGCCAGCAACATAGCTTGGCTGGCATGGCCAACCTCACCCTAGAATGCAAGGGGGGTGGTTCTGAGGGTCACATGCACATCAAACATTTAAAGCGTATTTTACACACATGGTTTTCCCCAAAGAACCATGGGAACTGTAACGGTGGGGGTAAAAGTACAGTTTCCAGGGTTCTTCGGGGAAAACCATGTACTTTAAATGTGCTCGGAACTGCAGGGAATTTAGCACCCTCAAGACACAATAGCAAGACTTCACGTGGAAGGATACACTTGATGCTTCAACAACTGTTTTCTTTTCGATTTCCTCATTTTGGTCTTCTCTGAGAAAGCCCTGGCAAGTTCAAAGAGCTTCTTGCGTGTAGCTGGAAAGGATGGGTGGGGTGGAAATAAAGGTTTGTTGTTGTTTTTTTAAAGGAGAAAGAGGATGTAACCATGCAGTATCTCTAGGGATTGTTAAATCAAAGACCACTGGAAACCCTACTCACTCTGGCTTTTGAAATTAGGGTCAGGGTTCTAGCCTTAAAGACTGGGAACCTGTTTAAAATAAAAGACGTGATCTTCTCGGGATACTGAATTCCGCACCTGGCTTTCTGCACATTGCAGAATGTATCCATATCCCTGACTACAGAATAAGAAGAATGAGGAGGAGTCCCTGGTAAAGGCATACATCCCCCTGCACCACCCAGGGGCCAAATGTGGCAGGCCAGGAAAATGGTTCCGAAAGCCTGAGCTGACTGTGCAGTCATCCCCATTCACCCCTCTGTGCTGGCAAAAGCTCCTGCCTGCATTGTATACTGCAAGGGTCACATGCACCCTCCCCAAAACTCCAGTCAGTTACAGGCAGGTATTAAGATTCCCATATACTGTCAAAGTAATTCAATGGTCTAGCGCAGCATTTACGATACATTCACTCATGCAGGCCGGTGGGGGAGATCCCACCGCAGCTCCAAATCCAACCATGCTGCCCACCATGACACAACTCACATTTCCCCATGTGTTTTAATTTGTCCCTGAATAAGGCATCATCGGAGACGGCACCACTGGAGCGAGCTACATCGTCTGGAAGGCAAAACAAACTCGGGATTAAAACACGACGCTGAAGAAAAAGAGGCGAATTTTCAATGTGTGTTTTTTTAGCGTGCAGTTAAAACAAAATGCTAAAAGTCGGGGGTATTGTGGCTGGAAAGCCGATTGTGTGCATTTTGAAAAACGGAGAGGGGATTAAACATGTTAGGCATGTTGCCATTTACTATGATTCTCGTTAAATTTCTACACTGCCCTTCATCCAAGGATCACAGGGCGGTTTGCGATATAAAAACAAAAAAAATACGTAACGTAGTAACAAAAAACAACACACACCCCGGCACACACACAGTTTGAAAGGTCATATATTGTTTAATTAGCCAAAGGCCTGGGTGAAGAGGAATGTTTTTGCCTGGTGCCTAAAGATAGGTAATGAAGGCGCCAGGTGAACCTCCCTGGGGAGAGCATTCTACAAGCAGGGAGCCACCACAGAAAAGGCCCATTCTCATGTTGCCACCCTCATGTGGAGGAGGCACATGAAGAAGGGCCTCAGATGATTGCAGCGTCCAGGTTGGTTCATGTGGGGAGAGGCGGTCCCTGAGGTATTGCGGTCCTGAGCTGTTTAAGGCTTTATAGGTCAAAACCAGCACATAGAATTGGGCCTGGAAACTAACTGCCAGCCAATGAAGTTGGGCCAGGATTGGTGCTATATTTGCAGTCGTCTTGCCCCAGTGAGCAGCCTGGCTGCTGAATGATAGGGGAGGAAACTATATTTGTCCATTTTTCTCCAGATCACGCAGTGCAGCATTTCCAGCCTCAAGGACTAGGAACTTAATAGTAAATAAATAAAGAACCAGAGAGCGTCTCCTCGCAACTCTTCGGCATTTAACACCAAATTTGGCTCTTGTGAGGTCTGATAGTGGGGTATGCCCAGAATGCCCCAATCCTCTTAAACAGCCTTTTTCAGCATTTTGCCCCTGAATCCAGCCGTGGCTGGTGCCCTCTGGGAATTGGTAGGGCAGAAGGTAGGGAGCCCAACAGCAGGTGGCGCCAGAGACAAAGACAGGTAGAGCCGGCTCAGTCAAGTTTTGCCTCCATCTTCCTGCTGAGTTCTTAAAGGGGCAACTTGGAGACTAAGGAGGAGGAAGGTGGCAGGCAGGGCCACCCCACAGACTAGTTGTAAGCGATAAGGCATGGGAAGGGGACAGGCTGAGCTCTGCCCCATTCGCCCAGACAGACCAGATTCCACTGCCTGCAGCGTAGCATCAGTTGCCGTTAGCATCCTCAGCCAAAGCAGTCTCTTTATAATACTCGGTTAGGCCCCGACGGTTCCACGGTTTTCATGTGATAGCGACAGACAGTGGCTCTAATTCCCTCCTCTGAGGCTGCCGCTCGGCTCGGGTAGTGAAGGTTAAGCAGGATTATTTCCTCGTTCTGCCAGCGAGGCTATATCCCCTTTGTTCAAAGATGAAAAGGAAGGAGGAATCCGTGCTTACTACGACTGGGGACCAGAGCAGGTTGCTCACCGTTTTGTGCCCATTCCTCATGGGATGGGGGAGGATCTGGAGGGGGGGGCAGGGAAGACTAAGTCCTGATCCAACAGTCCAAAGCAAAAGGATACTTATGAGCATTTCCTTGCAAATGTACAGGGCAAGAGTTGAAAACATATTCCAGAAGCTGTTTGTTGCGTCACACCAGCTATTTGCCCCAGATGCCCAAGACATACTAAACCAGGCATGTCCAACCAGGCACCTATGGGTGCAACTGATGCCTGTGGAGGCTCTCACTGTTGCCCTGGGGCAAGATCCCCAATGCTGAGCTTTCATTTTTAAAAAGGTCTCTAGTCTTTGTTGTGTATTGAGTCAAAGGATTTTATATCTGTATTATTATTGTCTGTATTTGCATTAGGGTAAAGTAACTGCCTTTTGGTTCTAGAGGGTACAGCTACTATTGGTTCATTTAAGCTGCTGTATTTGGATCCTCTGTCTTATTGGTTCCCTCCAAAAGGCAGGACTGTGATTGCCTGATATTGTTCCCTCCAAAATGTATCCTTTCTTGCTAGTTCCCTGTCCCTATAAATGTAGCTTTCCTCTCCCCAGTCTTTAGTCTTGTGCTTTAATAAAGAAGTGTTACTCGAGAACTGTCTCCAGCATGTTATATCAGGAGAGCTGAAATCACAAACCCCACGTCACAACAGTCTTCCTAAAAAGGAAGTTTTGGTGCAAAAAGGTGCAGGTTCTTATAAGCTATTTTTGTGAAACGGGAGTCCACATGGTGTGGTTTATTTCTGCTGCTGAAGAAGAAGAATGCTCCCTGTTATATCAGACAGAAAGAGAATGTGTGTGCATGTGTAAAATCAATACTGCGTGACCTCCATGATCTGGACCAGCAGGACAACGCTGACTTCCCATGGCAAGCCTAAATTTGTCATGAGTGACTGTCTAATACTGTGTTACCATCGGCAGCCATTTTGTGTTATGCCACGCCCCCCCCATAGCAGCCATTTTGTGACTGGCACCCCCAGCACTCTCTCAAAATTCAAAGCGTGCCAAATGGTCAAAAGAAAGCTTCCCCATACACAGCTTAACTGTTGGTGTCAAACAAGGCCTGGGGGGGACTCAGGTTCAAATTCTTATATGGAGACAAAGCTCTTCTGAGTGACCTTGAGCCAGTCATTGGCCACACCTGCATAGTCAAAGTAACCTAAGTACTGATTGAACTGGAATAATTTTTTACTGGATTTGCACCCTTACATTCTGGCAGCTGACCACAAAGCTAACATCTGTCCTTTAGGGGGGAAAAACTATTGGGGGGTAATACCTGATATTACAGAGGTGAAAGCAACATCATTAGTGAGGGCAACGCTGCTCATCTTGGATTTCTTCGACTCATACTTCAATCGATCTAGATGGCGACCAAAAAAGTAAGAGAAGGAAATGCATGAGTGTCACAAACTGGCAGTCAAGTGGTCAGGATTTGGCAGTTTCCCTGCTGTGATCTGGGTTTGATTTCCATTCAGGCACCGTAGCTCAGTGGAAGACCTGCTGCCTTTCATTCAGGTCAATCCTCAATGGAATTCCTTGCTGCTTGAGGTTCAAATGGCCCACTCTCTGCCATTTGCCATTGGTCAGTCAAGACCAGGCATAGGCAAACTCGGCCCTCCAGATGTTTTGGGACTACAACTCCCATGACCCCTAGCTAACAGGACCAGTGGTCAGGGATGATGGGAATTGTAGTCCCAAAACATCTGGAGGGCCGAGTTTGCCTATGCCAGGTCAAGACCTTTCTATACTGATAGGCTTTTGCTGCTCTGCCTCAGATAAGACTTTGTGTTGAGGAATGTTCTTTTATGTGTGTCGTCATATATATAAAACACCTGTTTCCTAAAAAATACAGCAGAGCACACTATACAAAAATGACAACAGTAATAAAAACATAAATAAAACGGGGAGGGGGACCGTTCATAAAATTGGTTGGCTAAAAGAAAATCCACATTCCTACAAAAAAAGAAACAAACAAACAAAGCAACATAAGATTCTGAAATATGCCATTACCTCTCTCAAGGGCCAGAAGGAAATCCCGGTTCCTCTGCAGCTCCTTCATAAACTCCTCATTCTGCAGGACGAGCGCGATCCGCTCATCTTCTAGATACTGCTTCCACTTCCTCTCCTGGTCCAATGAGCCGTGGGCCCTCTGGCTTCCTGGGCTTCCTGTTTTTTGGTGGCAGCTTTGCGGACTCTGGAGGGGGCATTTGCGTACAGAGAGAGAAGGAATGGCTAGGGACTGCAGGCTTCACAGGGCAGCAAACCCATGACCACCACAGTGACCCAGAGCCCAGAGCCCCAACCCATCAGAGCGCCTGCCCCCCCGATGGCTGCACCTGTATGATGCATAACCTAGGTTTGCAGCATTCATACTTTCTTTTAAATAGACACTTTAAAAAAAAATCTTGCGTGTACACCTTTACCTGCCCTCCCCCAAAACATAACACATGAAGCTGTCACTCTGAGGACTCAAATCCACAAGGCTTCATTTTTCAGTCCACATAATAAACGAAACTAGATGTTCAGTGGAGAGCCAGATCTCTGCCTACTCTAAAAAGTAGGACTGGGAGCGTGTGATTTGGTTGGGGGGGGGAGCTGGGGGAGAGGAACGCAGGAAACAGGGTAAAGTGTTGTTCCTTTGCCCACGGCATTTCCTCTCCAAATCATACACTCCAAACTTAACGCTTTTTAGATGCTTGGTGGGAGCCCTACTTTTTGAGACAGGCATCTGATACTGGATGTCCAGCTTGGCCCTAAACCCACAAGTCTCCTCTCTTCCAAACACAGCACCACCTAAACTGTCTCTCTTGGGGCAAATGAAAAGGCTCAGCTTTTGATCTCAGTGTGGCGTAATGGTTAGAGTGTTGGACGAGGTCCTGGGAGATCAGGGTTCTAATCCCCACTCAGCCATGAAACTCAGAGGGCAACCTTGGGCCAGTTGTTGCCTCTCAGCCTAACCTAGCTCACAGGGCTGTTGCGATGATAAAGTGCGGGGAGAGAGAACAATGTACGGCTACTTGGAGAAAAGGGTGGGATATAAATGCAGTAAATAAAAAACAACCACCATAGCAACAACTTGCCTACCTCTAAAGCAGGCTTCCTCAACCTCAGCTCTCCAGATGTTTTGAGACTACAATTCCCATCATCCCTGATCACTGGTCCTGATAGCTAGGGATCATGGGAGTTGTAGGCCAAAAACATCTAGAGGGTTGAGGTTGAGGAAGCCTCCTCTAAAGGCTTGTACACTACATTCAACATTATTGGTTTTCCTTGGGAGTTCTCCTCTCTCCTGAATCCTCCTTCGTTGAAACAGATCTTTTAAAGATCAGGTTCACAGGGTTGCCATCCAATCTGATCTGGAACGGTTACAAGTAATAAAATACCCCCCTGGGATGCTATGATTACATATAAAATTGAATGCGTTACTCGAAGCTTAGATCTGAACCCTGCTCCTAAAACTAACCCAAACGGGGAGGAAAAGGGACTTCAAGGACTGGAGGCATGACAGCGTCAGACACAGCTACTTCTGGGTCAAGCAGGGCAGGATGGAGAAGGCAGAAGAGGGGGAAGGGAATGGAGGAAGCAGCAAGGACCTGAGGGATAGCTCAGGTGGTAGAGCATGAGACTCATGAGATCTCAGCGTCATGGGTTCGAGCCCCACCTTGGGTGAAAGATTCCTGCATTGCAGGGGGTTGGACTAGATGACTCTTTTGGTACCTCCCAACTCTACAATTCTATGACTTCTGAGTTGCGGAGATCAGGGAACAAGAATGTCCCAGAAGCATTTATATTGTTCAGCAGGTGGTACCTGAACTATTAAGGCCTATGTGCAAATTGAGGAGAGCTGAAGTGTGGTTCAAGAGCTTGTGGCAACACACACATACACACACACACACAATCCCAAGTTGCTGAGCTATCTAATGCCCTGAAAGGCCGAAACACTGAATATACCTTGTCGATTATTTTGAACTCACAGCCCAAATATAGAAAGTTATATCCACCCTACCTGCACCTTTTCCATTTGCTGGGGTAAGATGCGAAGGAAGTCATCAGGAAGGTTGCCTAGCAACGGTGGATTCCAGTTCCGGTACCGCCTTTGCGCTTGGGGGCCACTGGAATTCTGGATATCGTTCCTGCAGGTCAACAGCAGGGGGGGAGGCATATTAAGGCAAAGCTTTGAAACCTAGTAGTAGAGTATTAGAGCATCTGCTCTGCATACAGAAGTTCCCAGGCCCAACCCTTGTTGGGCATTTCCAGGTAGGAGTGGGAGAGATTCTTCCCTGAAACACCGGAACTGCTGCCAGTCAGTGTAGACAATACAGAACTAGATGGACCAGTGGTCTTGACTTGGAAGAAGGCAACTTCCTATGCTCCTACAGGATTTCCCCTGACCCAACCAAATTTCAAGTTGCAGGGAGAGGAGTGAGGATGACCACCTTGGCTGTGAGTTCTGGATGACATGCTCCCTGCCTTGCAGGCCTTTTCCCACCTGGCCTGGGAGGGCGAAGCCCAGACTGACTCCAGCTACAAAAGCTGAAGGTGTTAGAGGCCAGAGACATCTTGGATGTCTCTTAGTGCAGACCCAGGTCATCGAAGCCTGATCTTCCACAGCTGCCACCAGCCATGTACCATCATTGGCAGGACAGCAACAGCTGTAAGAAAATATTTTTAGTCTCTTGCTAATTATGCTCTTTTAAACATGTGTTTTATATTTGATTTCCATTAGTAAAGTTTTCATTTGAAATGTTGAGATTAATTGGGGGGGGGTTAACTTCGCTGCTTTACATGTGCATTCTTGCACTTGACCTCCTTTGTAATGTTTCCTTTTGAAATCTTTTAAGGTAATATTTTAGTCTCCCGTTGATTATGCTGCTTTGAATGTATACTTTATATTTGACTTTCTTCCATGACGTTTAATTCTGGACTGTTTTATTTGATGATTTAATGCAGATTGTAAGCCACTTTGAGATTTTTAATTTTTTTTTTATTTGATATGAAGTGGTACAGAAATAAAATGAATGAAAAATAAATAAACAAACATGGCAGTCCTTCTCTCTCCAGAAATTCTAACCTCCTGCAGCTACCAGACTCTTGCTGTCACTTCCTGGGCTGCCACTGCTGCTATGATGGCAACCAAGCTGCCTCACCACAGCTGACACTTCTGCACGCTAAAGGTAAAGGTAAAGGGACCCCTGACCATTAGGTCCAGTCGTGACTGACTCTGGGGTTGTGGCGCTCATCTCGCTTTGTTGGCCGTGGGAGCCAGCATACAGCTTCCGGGTCATATGGCCAGCATGACTAAGCCGCTTCTGGTGAACCAGAGCAGCGCACGGAAATGTTGTTTACCTTCCCGCTGGAGCGGTACCTATTTATCTACTTCCACTTTGACGTGCTTTCAAACTGCTAGGTTGGCATAGGGACCGAGCAACGGGAGCTCACCCCATTGCGGGGATTCAAACCGCCAACCTTCTGTTCGGCAAGTCCTAGGCTCTGCGGTTTAACCCACAGCGTTCCAAGCAAAATTCCATTTTACGAGGAGTCTCGAAAAGCCACAGGAGCAGACTAGAAAGTGAACCTAGTGCCCTTGCTCCATAGAGAACTCCCTCACTGCAGGCGTACCCACAGAAAAGTAGGGGATATGACTGATCAGAAATATGTATCTTATTGGAAAAGGCTCATGCCTTTCCTTTGCCACAACACAGCACTCATAGAAACTGATAAAATGAGTGTCACATCAGACATTTACATCTAGCCCAGACAAGTCATAGAGTGCTCTGGCGAGCTTTATCTAGACACCAACAAAAGCAAAAGCTTTGTCCTGACCCACTGGTTGAAGACCTAAGTGGCTGACCATTATTTTTGTGTCAGTAGCATGTTGCAGAATGCACCTGCAAAAAACAAAAACGGGGTCCTTGGTTCTTTGTGGAAGGAAAATCTCCACACAATGAATTGCAGGAGGTTGGACTAGATGGCGCTTTGGGTCCCTTCCAACTACGATTCTATGAAAAGAAACTCAACAAACTCTGAAGGCCGAGGCAGGAGTCTGAGAACACCCATCGAGATCTGGTCTCTCTGCTGTGCCAGGATTTCGAGAGAAGGGAGAGGAAAGTAGCCTAGGCTCCCTTAACTGGCACACGTGAGGGAGGCCAACTCGTGGAAGAGGGCTCAAAGCCAAAGAAGGAGAGGAAAAAACGAGGAAAGAACGCCACAGGGACCCAGGCTCTGCTATATTTCAGATCTTGGCTCGGCTTGCAGCTGCTAATAACCGAGCGTCTCAATGCTGGGAATTCCCCTTCACGGCCCCTTCATTGGAGCATGAAAGTCAGAGAGGGCGGCAAGAGGCAATTATGACTGTACACACAGGTTAGTGTCTTCATTAGGACAGGGTTTTTAAAAAGTGAGCAGGTAATTGAAGACGGGAGTGGAGATGCTGTCAAGGATGCAAACACGCCTCCTCAAATCGGGGAGCGATCCCAAGTCAAAGTGAGCCAGGGGCTCAGCCCTTCCTCAAATTGGGACTCAAACATCTCCCCCCACCATTGCTTTGCAGACGAGAGCTGTGCTGCCCCTCACCTTGGATATCAGGATGCAAAATGGGATGTCAGAAGGCAGTGGTTCCCATTCTGTCCTGTATCCATAAAGACCAGCAATGTTTCTGTTCCTCTGCAGTTCAGTTTCTGCTAAATACTACATTATTCCATCTCACTGTCTGCTTTTTAACTTAGCACTTATTTCAAGGTAAAGGAAATGTTGCAATGTGCTGAAATAAAGTCATTAATTACATATTGTTTGGGGACTTAACAACAGCAACTGTGTGGAGGAACGCAGATCGCGTTGGCTTGGCTCGTAAGAAGAGCATGCTGGATCTGGCCAGTGGCTCATCTAGTCCACCATCCTGTTCTCACAGTGGCCAGCCAGATGCCTGTGGGAAACGGTCAAGCAGGACTAGAGTAAAAAAAGCATTGTCTCCTCCTGTGGTTTCCAGCAACTGGTTTTCAGATGCATTCCTGCTTCTGACGATGCAGACAGAGTATAGCCAGCATAGCTTGTAGCCACTAATAACCTCCTTCTCTACCAATTTGTCTAATCCTCTTTTAAAGCCATCCAAGTTGGTGGCCACCAGTCCCTCCTGTGGCAGGGAGTACCATAGTTTAACACTATGCTGCATGAACAAGAACTTTCCTTTATTTGTCCTGAATGTTCCAGCGTTCAGCTTCAGTGGATGAGAGTTTGATGAGAGAGGGAGAAAAACCTTTCTCTATCTAGTTGCTCCATGCCATGTATCATTTTATGAACTTGCATCATGTCACCTCTTATTCACCCTTCCTCCAAACTAAAAAGACCCAAAGAGGGATCATCCCCTTGATCGTTTGGGGTGCCCTTTTCTGAAACCTTTGCAAGTCCACAATACCGTTTTTGAAGTGAAGCAACCACAACTGAGAACAATATTCAAAATACGGCCGCACCATAGATTTGTATAACTGCATTATTTCCGTTCCTGGCTACAGACGAAAACATGAACTGCAGCAGTTTCTGTTTGCGTGGGAATCCTCCATCATCCTGAGATGCAAACAGCAGACGGTTCCACACAGCCCAGGAGAGTCCCTGCATTCAAGCATCCTCTTAGCAGCTTGCTTTTAGCTGAAGATGGGGCGGGAGGGGAGTAGCTTCCAAAGGCCTGTGATCTCCAGCTGGTGATGAAACCCCTGCTTCTAACATCCTGCCCTGCTCTCCTAATCTCCACGGACTGTGTGCAGAGGAGGGGGGCTTCGCTCTGCTTGGTTTCTGTGGCACGCACAGAGGAAGGATGGAATATTCCATTCCTCCTCTGCCAGCCTGGTCACTTGTTTACATGAAACTCCTGGTTGCCTATGGCTACCAGGCTAGTGCTTAATTGCAAGACTGGATTAGTGGGCCAGATATTGTGGATTCAGCTATTTTTCACTCCTCTCTTAGGCCTGCAAGGCAATGCACTTTATGCGTCAGACGGACAGCTCATGCAAATCGCCTGATTGCTGAACAAAATGCATTAGAATTTTGTGAACTCCCAATAAGAGTTTAGCCTGCTTACCTGGGAGGTGGTGTCGGGGGAGCCTGTGGGTACTGTCTGTCAAACACGTGCATGTCGTAGGAGGGGGGAGAGTAAACCGGAGGCGGCTCTTCATCTGAACTGTCAGGTTCTAGAGTCCGTTCCAAGATCTGAATCAAATGAGAGAGGCAGAAGGAGACAGAATTTATAATGGCTTTGCACATTACAGAGATCCGAGAAGTGCAGAAACGGTGAGGACTAGGGATGTAAAGGAGGCAGTGATTGTGCTCACTGCAATCAGCAGCGTTTCTCTTCTGCTACAGTTTGACTTCTGCTAAGACCTGCCTCTCTATCTGCTAGGGCCAAAACTTGTGCAATTGATATCATAATTCATATTAATGCATTTCAGTAGAAGGGCAATGTCAAAAACGATACAGACAGTAACACAATCCTTTCCATAAGGTTTGCAGACTAAAAATACAACCATAAATACTGTTCCCGACATGAGGCGAAAAAATATATAAATTGTGGCAATTTATGTTCCCATTTCTGACCAAATTCTATGGCATCCCCACTGAGGTCTCATGGCTGTGGCTTCCTCGCATTCACTAAAAGGAGGCAGCTCTTAATTTGTTGTTGTTTTAAAAAGCTACTGGTGACTCTATAAGATGAAGGGCAGGGGAAGTGGGAACTGACACAGCAGAAGGCCAAAGGAAAAATGAACTCAAAAGATCTGCAGAAGGAGCTGAAGGTTAAAAGTAGCAAATGGGGGTTAAGGGAGGGGGCAGCAAGGGACAAGTCATGGAAGAACTTTCCGTCCACTCAGCCTCTCATTTTTCCAACCCTAAATTCACTCTCCACATTTCTGCAGCAATTTGCAATTTTTTTCTTTTTCATGACAATTCATCAGCATTTCAATGCAGTTGCCCTCCATACATTCTACCTGGCCCCCAGGACTCTCCTTGGCCCTCACCACTCACAGGCCCTGCTTCACACCTCTGCTTCACGCACCTGAGTCTCCCTGCCTGTAGAGCAGTGCTTTCCAAACTTGGGTCGCCAGCTGTTTTTGGACTACAACCCCCATCATCCCTGACCACAGGTCCTGCTAGCTAGGGATGATGGGAGTTGTAGTCCAAAAACAGCTGGAGACCCAAGTTTGGAAAGCACTGCAGTAGAGCAAGGCTAAGCATCTTACGATGCCACACAGCTAAATACACTTCAATAGCCACCTTTCAGGGCCTGACAGGTGCTTCACAGCCGCCTCTGTTTCTGCAGCCTCAAACACACAACACAACCAGGCTCCCATTGCCCTCTGGAGGCCCCGCCGTGCCCAGCTGGTGGGCTGAATGCATCTTGCAAGGGCCGTGAGTTGGGTAGACCCCTGGGGAAACTCCAAGACTGGGCAGACAACCGGCCGCTTGGCCTTAAGTCACCCCAAGACAGGACGTGCCCCTCCACACCTGACTTCTCCCGCTACTAGAGCAAAAAAAAAAAGAGTTTCAACTCCACCGAGATCCTGGCAGCCTTGGAGCAGGGAGCGTGTGCTATCATCTTGCCAGGATGTTTTCAAATCCGCAAATAGTCGACGAGCTATTCACGCAACATGAAACCCGCTTGCAGTTGTCCCTCTAACCAAGCGCGACACACAGCCTGCCCTTGTCAGATCTGCTTTGAAAGAATGTGAGGCCGTTGGCTTAATCTCGCCGTGGCTGCTCTGATGTTGTCATCCACCCCTTTCTCTCTCCCCCCCCCCCCCGGTCTTGTCTTTTTCTGCACTGCAAAGCTCTTGCACATAGTTTTTCCTACTGCCATTCTTAAGGTCCGCATGGGGGCGGGAGATGTTATCCTTTAATGCCCTATAACTCTCGTGCTCCTTATTTATTCACAGGAGAGCCCCAAACCCGTAAACCTGCGTGTGGCCTGAACTGGCAGTGGCTGACTAGGAACAGGAGACCTTGCAGTCCAGGCATAGGCAAACTCGGCCCTCCAGCTGTTTTGGGACTACAACTCCTATTATCCCTGACCACTGGTCCTGTTAGGTAGGGATGATGGGAGTTGTAGTCCCAAAACATATGGAGGGCCGAGTTTGCCTATGCCTGTTGTAGTCAGTCAGAGTAGAGAGCTCAATGAAGGACACTGACCCAGTATGAAAAGGAACCCAATATCCTAATGCTGTTATACAAATCCATGGTGTGACCGCATTTGGAATGGGCGCCTCACCTCAAAAAAGATATTGTAGTGTTGGAAAAGGCTCAGGGAAGGGCAACCAAAATGACCAAGGAGATGGAGCCCTCATGAAGAAAGGTTGCCGTAGTGTTTGGGGCTCGTGGGCAGCCAATGAAGCTGAATGTTGGAACATTCAGGATAACAGACTTTTTCATGCAGTGCAGAGTTAAACTATAGAACTTGCTCCTGAAGGAGGTAGTGGTGGACACCAAATTGGATGGGCCTCAGAAGAGGACTAGACAAATTCATCCTGGCTGGTTATGCTTCTGAATACCAGTTGCTGGAAACCACAAGACGGGAGAGTGCTCCTGTGCACAGATCATGCTTGAGAGCTTCCCACTTGCATCTGGTTGGCCACTGCGATTACAGGATGTTGGACTGGATGGGCCACTGGCCTGGTCCAGCACAGCTCATCTTATATTTTTATAGAATTTTTCTGTCCCAGTTCAGGCTGATGGGAGTTGTAGTCCAAAACATGGGGTGGGGCGGGGCGGGGCAGGAAGGATTAGTGTATTTATTTATTTTAAATATATACTGCTATATACATTGCAAACTGCTAAGTTGTCTACATAAAAACAGCGGGAGGGGAAAAAACCCCCCACAACATTCATTTTTTAAAAAATCCTAAAAACTAGGAAAAAATATGAATGGCTTAAAATGGAGTAGTGTGCGAAACACAGACTTATAAAGTAATACAATCCTCACGCAGCAACAGTACATTAGTGGCGGGTTTATTCCACTCTATCAGTCATTCCACAATGCTTCTCCAATGCTACCACATGGCATTAATGCAGCGAATGTTGAGAGGGGAGAGAACCAGAACATTTGGGGCCTAAAAAGTTTCAGGCTTTCCGCAGCAAGTTACAGGATATTCACTGATTAGAAACAAAGCAATATGACAAAGCGTAGTATAAAATACAACCACCACCTCAGCAATCACAGTCCAGTTTGTTGACTCCATAGTTCCCTGCTCCCCCAAATCCTCTAGTTTTATTTTCTCCACACAAGAAAAACAGCCGACCCCTGGAACATCAGCTAGTAAACACCCAGGCCTGGTTTCACCACAAAGCATCATTTCTGGCACCAGCCTTGGCACCTTTCATTGGATTTCCCCATTCCCCCCAGTATTCACTGCTGGGCTGGGCAGCCGCCATTTTCACTTCCCACAATGCCCCACAGCAGTAAAAACAGAGGACACCCAGCAGCAATCGAAGAAGCACTGCCATGTTGGGTATGCATGGCACGCAAGCATAAGGAGGGGTCCACCAGAGGGCATTTTGCGGACGGCCTCCACAACACAGTGAGGTTTACCTCAGGAGGAATACTGTCATCTGAATCCGAGCTGTCGTCATACCCGCTGCCGTCTAAGTTCATCTGCAACAGCTGGTCAATGGTGGCATCCACTGCGCCATTGTTCGCCCTCAAGACACATTCAATGATGTCATAATCCATGTTGGGGAACATAGTCTTGAAATCTTCCATGGCCTGGTTGAATTCCAGCCGCCGGACTTGCCTCGCGGGGCGGCTGTTGTTGAGTTCCTGGGCAGAGGAGCCGTTCCTTGAGCTGCCATTGCTGCTGCTCCGCCGGAACAGACTTGTCATTTTTGATAACTGCTTTTGGAAAATGTTTAGACTTTTTTTTCTTCAAACCAGCTTTTGAGGTAGAAAGGAAGGAAAGAGAATAAACGTATAAATCCCCGGGCCAGGAGGAAGAAAAGGTGAGGAGGCACGCAGTCTGCCTTTCAGATTTGTCGTCAAGAAGCTACGTCGACATCTTCCAGCGCCGCTAGCCAGTAATCCACAACAAAATGGCGGGACATTGGCGATGCCAAAATGCAACGTTGCTGAATAAGCCTGGAGAATTTCGGACCGAGGTGAATCTACCACAGGAGGAAGTCCGAGAGAAGGCCCTTCAGTATGGCGTCCGAAGCCTCAGAAACATGTTTGACTGAAAAATAAAAAGTTTTTTTTATTTTGTGCGAGAAATGTAACCAGAGATAGCTGGTTTTAAACAGTTCACCTGCCTACACAACTCCTGAGACAACTGGAACTGGCAGAATTTGAGCTGAGTTTGGGGGTGGAAATCCTCAAATAAAATTTATTCAAACATCTAAACAAACTTTCCACTTCAGTGGATGTCCCTGAGTTCTGGTATAATGAGAGAGGGAGGTCTTGTGTTGGCTATGCCTCTCGCCTCCTCCAAGTGTGTCATTACTTTTAGGATCATACTGAGTCAGACCTGTTGGTATCTAGCTCAGTATTGTCGACACTGACTGGTAGCAGTTCTCCAGCGTTTCAAACAGGGAGTCTCCCCCAGCCCTCCCTGAAGATGATGGGGATTGAATCTGGGATCTTCTGCACGCAAGGCAGATGTGCTATTAATGAGCTGCGGTTCTTGCTTTTGAAATTAGAGGCTGGCAAGCCTGGATATAAATGTGTTTAAAAAACAAGATGAAGTGGATTTTTGCAGCATCAAAAAGGAAGAAGATACTAGAGCAAGCATCTAATATAAAATAAATGAATAAATGTGTCCACAATTGCATAGCAGGAAAATTAAACAACTCCCTTTTTGCTACATTGGTTGTGTTGATTTCAGGGCTAAAAAGAAAATATATAAAGCGCACGGAAACAAAATGGATAGGAAAACAATACGTCAAGACATGTTGCAGAAATGTGCATCATAGGGTTGTATTCAAGCAAGTTCTATTCCGAGCTGACCCACTGAAGTTGGTGGGTTTTACTCAACGTAGCACTAAGGGCACAGGGCATGCATGGGGAAGAAAAGGCAGCAAAAGTAGAAATCCTTGAGCTGAAAGGATGCGTTTGCTGGATACTGCCCAATGGACCTGTGTTAAATATGCCCATTATTTTCAACTGGTCTAACTCTGAGCATGACTTAACACTAGACAAAACCCATAGTATTTTGCTTTGCTGTTAAATACCTCAAATCCACAAGAACAGAAAGCACCACCAATTCAATTATTAGTATTGCCTTTTCCCCCTTTGACAACACAGAAAGAAAATACCATTTATTTCTGGTACAGACTCCACTGATGGATGAAATTACATCAGGAATGAATTGGGCAGGGTTTTTTTGGGGGGGGGGGAAGCGTTCCATCGCATTATCTCATTTCCATTACGTGGCAGGCGGAAGATTTCAAAAGCCAACGAGATAATAGAACCATATTAATAGTGTGTGTGTGTGTGTGTGTGTGTACACACAAAGGAAAAAGAAGTGTCATTAGAACCTCTTAGCGAGACAGCGTGCAGGCAGACTTAACACCATTAGGCAAAGCAATAAGCTGCAAAATTTACCCATGCGTTAACAATTCTCTTATCACGCACACATATTATGCACAGATGTTCTGTTCTTGTACTAACCGATTCATGTCAGCGATAAAACTGCAGCCTTTTAACGTTCTGAATTATTCTTGGAAACATGGGAGGCTGGTCTGGTAGGACAAGTGGGGCGCTGCCCCACTAACCTCAGTCTGAACTCTGCCTCCACCTGCCTGCCCGACTTCTTACATCCAGTCCAGGAGGTGGCCCTGCCTTCCAACTGCCTCCTCCTTATACAGTAGTCTGTGATGGCCTTGTAGAACTAGGCAATGGGGAAGAGGATGGGGACAAAAGGAGACTGAGTCACCTTTGCCTGTCGTCTGCTCCAATTCCGCCCACTATGGGACTCCCTGCAAAACTTGGGTCCCCAGCTATTGTTGGACTACAATTCCCATCATCCCTAGCTTGCAGGACCTGTGGTCAGGGATGATGGGAGTTGTAGTCCAACAACAGCTAGAGACCCAAGTTTGGAAAGCACTGCTCTACAGGCAGGGAACTGCAGGGGTGTGAAGCAGGGCCAGTGAGTGGTGAGGGCCGGGGAGAGTTCTGAGGGCCAGGTAGAACGTACGGAGGGCAACTGTATTGAAATGCTGATGAATTGTCATGAAAAAGAAAAACCTTGCAAACTGAGAAACACTGGCCTAGAGAGACCCCTGGTCTCATCTAGCAGGGCTCTTCTTTGATTCCAGAAAAGGGAGGCTTCCCTAACTGGTCCTTTTTCCCTGCCCTGGAGGCTGCTGTTGCAGGCAGAGCGAACCCAGCCCCTAACCGTGCTGCTCTAAAGCTTGCACCAGCTGCGTATACTCTTTCCCCCACGGCTCAGATGCACAGCTCATAGCCACCAGGGGCCATTGTGGGTCCGATGTCATGCAACTGAGGCCAGAACTTCTGGTGCTTACTGAAGACTGTATAACCCAGCAGATTTTTCAATTAAATTATGATTTTGATTATGGCCTGTCGCTGCAGGTCTCTTCTTATAAAATGAATTTATTAGAGGGGGGAAACCTTGTGTTTTCAGCTGAACTGTTTTGGAATACATAGAAGACTTACCGGGAGAATTCACAGGGGCAGCACCACCATCTCATTCTCCAGTGATTCCAGGAGAGCTACTTGTTACCAAGAGAGGGAGATTCTTTCATTGCCTGTTCAGACCGAGAGTGGGGGAACCATAGCAACCTGTAAGAAAATGCTTGTGTTAGTGCTATGTCATTCTTTAGTTTGCTGAACGGTTGTGGGGGAATGTTTTGCAGGGAAAGTAAAGCGGCAAAAAAGAGACCCCAACCAACAAAACAAGGTTGGCATGTAGACAAACCTTCCCCAACAACTTTCAGTGGGAATTCAGGGTGCATATTGCTATTTCAAATTGTGGGAAACCTATGTGGGGGTGTTGCAGGGCAGTGACAGTTTGCAGACTGGTGATTAATATTAAGAGCAAAGTTGTTCCAAGCACAATTATTACATCTTGTAAATATGCTATCGCAATTTCTTCATACCTGCCGTACTCAGGAAATATTACAGAGCTTTCTTTTATCACATGTTGGCAGTAACTAGAAAATGATTTGTCAAAGGTTGTTAAAGGATCCACAGAGTGGTCTGACCCATGGGGCATAATCCACAGGGCCCTTCTGCTCAGCTCCCTGCTCCACTAGCCAGAAAATAAAGAAACCACAGGCAGTTCTAGCTGGGACCCTAGGAAACAACCCAGAATCCTCGGGGGGGGGGGAGCGCCATTGGAGGGCAAATTTGATGCCACTGGCATTGCATGAGTATACCTGAGATCCTCCTCAAACAAACGCTCCTGGTGTGGCCCTTATCCTGGGAGGTGGTGGTGGTTGCAATGTTAAGGGAATCCAGACCAGGTTTTATGTGTTCCAGATTAGCAGAGCATGGAACAGTTCCAGTCCAGTTTTTACACAGAGCATGGGTGCTGCAGAGACTAGGCCTTGGGTGGGTGTGGCTTTTCTCCTGCTTCATATGCGAGTTTGTTCTCAACCAAGCGGCTTGGTCACCAACCTTCATACTAAGACACTCTGGTGAGAAAGTTGGGTTGAGCATGGGAGGCTGTCCCACAGTGATGTGGCTTTTAAAAACACACTGGGCCAAATACCTCCAGGCTAAAGGGTTATTGTTTTCTTCCCATGAGTATTCTGCATCACGTCATTGATGCAGTAACAGTGCATTGGTGGTGGACCACCAATATACTGGACCACCAATACACTGGACCATCCACACATCATTCAACTTTATTAGTTGTTCTGTGATGATTCCCTGATGTTACCACATTTTTGCCATCGGGAGGGTCACTCCTCCGCTATAGCACCATGAAAGCAGAACATCTGTGGTGAGAGCCAGTGTGGTGTAGTGGTTAAGAGCGGTAGTCTCGTAATCTGGAGAACCGGGTTCGCGTCTCTGCTCCTCCACATGCAGCTGCTGGGTGACCTTGGGCTAGTCACACTTCTCTGAAGTCTCTCAGCCCCACTCACCTCACAGAGTGTTTGTTGTGGGGGAGGAAGGGAAAGGAGAATGTTAGCCGCTTTGAGACTCCTTTGGGTAGTGATAAAGCGGGATATCAAATCCAAACTCTTCTTCTTCTTCTTCATATAAAGTTACAGCGCTTCAGCAGGAAGTTATGCAAAAGGCACCAATTGGAAATAAAGGCAGCATGACTGCTTCAAAACTTTTGCAGGAACAAAGTGGGATTGCATATACCTGCCCCCAAACCATTGTGATCACAAATAATCATGAATGCACAATAAAAGACATCTGGATAGGTCCTTTAAAAAACCCCCAAAAAACCCAAACCACTTCTGTTATGTTTCAGGTGGCTACTTCTCTGCAGGCCCAATGTTCATCTGCCTTGCAGATGCTTTGCCTTTTGAATGGATTTCAAAGAGTAGCCCAAGCAAATTGAACATTTCCATGCAAGCCTTTGGAGCTTTCCTGCTGCAAGCTGGGGAAGGAGCCAAGGAGCCTTAGTACCAGCCTCATTAACAACCAAGCAAAGGGACGTTAAGCTGACGGCAGACTGAATTCAATTAAGTGAACATCTCCAAGGTGCCGCGGAGCGGGTTATTACAAGCTCGCAGAGGAACAAAACTGGTTCACCCGTGTCTCTTTTGCATCCTGTTCCGAGTGCTCACTTGCACGAACAACTTTTGCTTTGTATTGTTCACCGCTGGACGTGAATTTAGCATGCCTCCAGAAAGAGGCAGTCCAGCAAAGGCGATGGGACTTCCCAGTTTACTTATCAGAAAAGTGTCTTAGCTCAAAAGAGTGGGCTCAGCTACAAGAAGGAAGGAAGGAAGGATAGAATTGTAGAGTTCAAAGGGACCCTGAGGATCATCTAGTCCAACCCCCTGCAATGCAGGTATATGCAGCTTTCCCAAATGGGAATTGAACCTGCAACCTTGGCATTATCAGCACCATGCTCTAATCAACTGGGCTATCTGCTTCACATTCAGAAGGTCCAAGGTTCAATCCACTACATCTCCAGGCAGAGCTGGAACAAACCTCTGCCTGGCCCAGGGAGAGTTCTAAGGGCCAGACAGAAATGCCTGGAGGGCCACATTCAGCCCCCCAGGGCTTGAGGATCTCCACTCCTGTTCTAGGCACTCTCTCCGGGGGCTTATAAGAAGACAACCCTGCTAGACTAGGCCAAAAGGTCCCATCCAGTCCAGCGTTTTTCACTGCACCCAGCAGCTTCCAGGGAGATGGGGCATTCTCTGCTGCTTGCCCTCGGCATCTGGCACTCTGAGGTAGGCAGTCTCTAAGCACAGAGGTCAATCAGAGCAGGATTACAGCTGTAGCACAGCTGTCGGCTCCCAGCAAGATGGGGAATTATTCCCTTTCATACCCTGAAATGCAGCAACCTGGTTGATCGCCTGGCATTATTTCAATATAAGCCCCCTGCCCCCCACCCGTTGCTGGAAACAGCTAGGTGTTCACGGTTTTATGTCATTCCATCCCCCCCACTTGGATAATACAGAACAGCGCCTGGATAATAATCACCCTCACCATTACGCAGACGGCCCTAGAAAAAACCTGGCACGCACCCGCTGCCATTTTTCAAAACGGATCAAAACCATATTGCGCCCTTCTGCAATTTGTCCATGAATGCCTCATAGAGGGCCCTTGAACACATGCTTCTCCCCCCGCACAGGCATGTTAACTGTTCATTCACAGCTTTTGGCATGTGTGCAGGTTTTCATCGGGCCAATAAAGCCTCCCACGCGCTCCATTCAAAGCTATTCCACCCATTCCAGTGCAAAGAAATGTTGGAAATTCTCAAGAACCCTTGCACAAGAGACCAGAAATGTGCTCACCAGCAGCGACCTCGTTTTTGATGCTGGTGGGCGCCTGCCCCAGGACAAAGCGAGGAGACGGGTTTGATGCAGCAGCAAACAAAGTTAATGAGCACTATTCTAGGCTGCATCAACAGAAGTTAAGTGTCCAGATCAAGCGAAGTAATAGTACTATTCTATTGTGCCTTAGTCAGACCACACCTAGAGTACTGTGTTCAGTTCTGGACACCACAGTTTAAGAAGGGTGTTGGCAAGCTGGAATGTGTGCAGACGAGGGCAACCTAGATGGATAAAGGGTTTTTGAAACCAAGTCTTATGAGGAATGGTTGAGGGAGTTGGGTAGGTTTGGCCTGGTAAAGAGGAGACTGAGAGGAGATATGATAGCCACTTTCAAATATCTAAAGGGCTGTCACATGGAAGATGGAGCAAGCTTGTTTTCAACTGCTCTGGAGGGCAGGACCCGAACCAATGGAGTCAAGTTACAAGACAGGAGATTCTGACAATATAGGAACTTTCTGACAATAAGAGCTGATTGACAGTGGAATAGACTCCCATGGGAAGTGGCGGACTCGCCTTCATTGGCGGTTTTTAAGCGGAGGCTGGGTGGCCACATGGCAGTCAATGAGGAAGAGGTGAGACAGGGAGGGACCCCCCATTGGCTCAGCTAAGACCACCTGCCATTTGGCTCATCCCCTCCACCAATTGCTATCCATGGCCACGTCACCTGATCATTATGGCACTTCATTATGCAGTGGCATGGAAGCCTTGCTGCTCTCAGGTTGGAAGCCATTATTCTACGCAAGCAAACAAAAATCACAGAGTGTTTTAGCGGGGGGGGGACGGGGACATTTCAACCATTTAGTTTAAAAATCTGGCTAAGAGACCATGTTCATCAACTTACATTTTCTGCTGTGGGGTTCTCCTCCTAGCTTCTGATATTTGGCACAAAATCCCCTGCTAATTATTTGTAAACCAATCCCATTCCACATGAACTGATTAGCTTTCCAGCCCTCCAATTCAAGAAGGGGATCAATGGAACAACATTAAGGAAGCACTTTTTAAAAATGCTTATAAAAGAAGGCATAAATGACTGCTAAATATTAAAAAAGCGAGATGAAGCCAGCGGTTGCATCCGGAGAACAGCTGACCAGTAGAAGTAGAAAAACAGAAGCTGTTGATATTTTAACTGAATTGAACATAACACAAGAACAGTAAAATACTGTGGGGGGGTTATTGTTTCTGTTTGTTAGTATGGTGTGCATTTTTGTGTTTTCGTATTGTAAACCGCCCTGTCAAGATCCTCGGATAAAGGGCGGTATAGAAATATACTAAATAATGAATAATGGCTCATCTAGTCCAGCATCCTCACAGCCGCCAACCAAATGCCTATGGGAAATCCTCAAGAAGGGCTTGAACACAAGAGCCCTCTCCCCTGCTTTTCCAGAAACTTGTATTCACAAGCATTACTGCCCCCGACCATGAAGGCAGAACATGACCATTGTGGCTGGTAGCCACTGACAGATTCATCCTCCGTGAATTTGTCCAGGTCCTCTTTTAAAGCCATCCAAGTTGGTGGCCGTAACTACCACTTGCGGGAGTGAACTCTACAGCACCAATTCGCTGGCATCGAGAGGGCCACCAGCCGGCTGAGACAGGAAAAGGATCGTGGAGCATCTGGGTTTGCATGCGGAAAGTCCCTGATTGAAGGAGGTAAACTTGTCTTGAAAGTCTAGAGATTAGCTGCTAGTCACTATAGCAAATATTGGGCTAGATGGGTCACTGATCTGGCCTGCTGATAAGGCAGCTTCCTAGACACTTAGATCCCAGAGCTATAATCCCCCACAGTAGTTTAACAATTCTGTGAGGGGAGAGACTCCACCAGGCAAGGCCTCCTTCCACCTGCCTTGCCCCACCCTCCGGCCCTAGGAGTCCTCATAAGGGAGCTGTTCCTGGAGGAAGAACTGTGAGGGGAGAGACTCCACCAGGCAAGGCCTCCTTCCACCTGCCTTGTTCTACCCTCTGCTTCTCAATGTGTATTGTATTGTTTTATGTACTGTGGCTTGCCGTTGTTTTACTGATTATAGCTTAGATATTATTGTAACTGTTGAGTGGATTTCTGTTTAACTTTTATATGTTGATATTATTTTATACTATTCTAATGATTGTTGAATGATACTTTTTTGAAGGAGGTTGCCTATTTTAAAGTTATGTTTTATTATCACATTTTTGTATTGCATTAGATTGTTATAAGATGTACATTTTTTGTTTCTCCAGCTTGTAAACCGCCTTGAGTATTGTAAGATAGAAATTAAAAATGATGATGATGAATTCATCCCTCTTTGCAGGGAACTCTGGGAACTGTAGCTCTGTGAGGGGAACATGGGTCTCCACACAACTCTCAGCACCTGTCCCCCAGGATGCTACAGTGCCCCAGGATGCTTTGGGGAAAGCCATGACAGTTTAAAGAGGTATGAGAGTGCAGATGGTGTGGATGTGGCCATAAGTGTCAGCATGGATGTATTTGCCAACGGGTACACTAAAAAGAAGATAGATAGATAGATACATGCATGCCACACATGCCCTCCCAGACATAACCCCTTGAGACTCTGGAGCAGCAGCTGAATTCTGAGGAAGGGCGTCGCTACAAGCAATTCAAACCAGCAAAAAGTTGACAAGACGTTCCCTCCGAAAGGCAAAACTGGGTCACACACCCATGGCATACATTTGCCTCCCTGTCCTTTGCGTCATTGTGCCATGGACCTGGGCAGGCCTGCGTGAGTTGTGCGGATTCCTGACAGCTGATCTTCGTATGTGGGAGTCCAAAGCATTTAATACCACGTCGGCTCAGACCTCGAACACCTGTCTTTGGTTTGCAGAGGTGGCAGAAGCCGGTCGTGGAAACTCCCCTCTGTCCTCCTTACCAGGGCTGGGAGCATAATCCCCCACACACAGTGAGCAGAAGGCTGCAAAAACGAACCTCCTAAGCCTACCAAGCTCAGTGTTGTGCAAAAGAGCCTCTCCTTAGAACTGTCAATTTCAGCGTCTCTCCGTTTCTTATTTTTCCAGTCTTCAGTTCGCCACATCTGCATATAAGTTTCCAATTTATTTTTGTTTGTTTTGTTGAAAAAAGTAAAGGTCTCATCCATCAGCATCTTAGTGCGAATTTCTCCTAATAGGAACATGTTTGCAAAGCAGTTTTGCCTAATACCATGTATTTTCACTAATATACGCATTCTGTACACATTCCTTAGCTGGAGAACTGAATTGCAAAATTTAAACACGAGCGCATTTTGAAGAATGACTGTGTTTCAGTTCAGGTACTGTTTTGGGGACTGTGAATTAGGTAGGTTCGCCTTTAAATGCAAACCGGATCTAATTTATCCCCCATCCCTAGAAGTGCTGCTAAATGACAGGAGACCGGAAAGGGTAAGACATTTAATGACTTGCTGAAGTAGCTTTGTGTTCACCTTCAAAATCACAGATGGTTGCAGGAGGTTGGACTAGATGGCCCTTGGAGTTCCTTCCAACTCTACAATTCTATGATTTCTAAGGTAGAAGACCTGCCCATGAAGCTCTCTTGGGCCAGCCACTCACTTTCAGTGAGGTTAAAACGGAGAAGGGCAAAACTATATACGTATGTCACAAGCAGAAGCCCAAATTCTTGCTCACTACACTGAGGGTGTCATTGCTATGAAGGTCAGACCCTGCTTACAAGGTCCTGGTGGCAGCATATCAAACCAACACCTGCTTAGCCTCTCTGCCTCCATTTCAAAACAGTCTCGAGTCTGAGAGCCACCATTTAAATTACTCACAATGCAACTGAAGGACTACTGCTCTGGGGCATTGTGGCAAATTAAAATGGCAGCTCCTGGTTATCCAGTGCCAGTTCAGAGCATTGCTGCCATGCTATCAAAACATGGGGAAGGAGGAGGAGAGCGCTGGCCTCTAACTCTGATAAAATAAAAGCACCTGAGTGATCCCTTGTTAATGCCGTTCAGCCATATATTAAGCTGCAGAGACTAAGCTAGTTGTCGGGGGGGGGGGGCAGGGACGCAAAGCAATCAGGAGGAAATGAAATGGGCAAGCCCTCTGGGGAAAACCAGGCACACAAGCACACACACACACACACACACACACACACACTTTTTTCCAACAAGAATTGATCCTCCAAGACTCCACAGCAGAGTAAAAGCTCCATCAGGAAATGCAGAACCAATGGCAAATTGTAGAGTTTGTCTGTATTCCTCAAAGTGGGGAAAAGAAGCTGAGAGAACAAATGAACAAATTGATACCAACCACAGCAATGGAAAGAATGGGCATACAAAGAGGATCAGGGGATCTAGAAAATGACATGGTTTTACTAGCCTCCTACAGTTAGTCACCAGGCAGCACTTTTGCTGGAGCAACTGTGGGAAGGAAAGGGGCTCTCTGTTCCTATGGCTGCTCTGGGTTACCTGCCACACAGGGAAAACAGTGTCTCCTCCTTGGGGTCCAGGGTCCAAGACTAGTCAGGGATTTGAACCTGTGTCTCTCCGTTCCTGGAGAATGTGGGCGTCTTCCCCCCTCACCACTAGCTGAGCATCTGTATTGCCACCTTATTTGCTCAACTCTCAAGCCACAATGTAAATTTATGTCTTAAAAAAAGCAATACTTCAATGCTACGAAGACAAGGACCCAAACAACCACATCTGGCTTTCAGAAAACTGTGTTGGGGGGCATTGACCCTCTCTAGAACAGCTTCTAAAAATATCTGAAGTCTGGGGGGGGGGTCCCCCTCCCCCTTTGTATCTTGTGACTGATGTGTTGCTGATCCATACTGGAATTCCAGCCTCCTATACTTCTAAATTAAGAAATTAATTGAGAAAAGTAGAGGGACTTAATTGAAAAGTGCCATGCCTCGCAGGCTTGCTCTCTCTATACATTGCATGGGAAAGTAATCTGACCTCAGTAGGATGACATTCTTGAAATAGCTGAGGGAATTCAAACATGAAATAAGATTTACAAGAAGGGAGGACAGCGAGAATGTGAAGGCAATACTCAGTGCTTTGTAACACAGAAATTAGGGTGCGGGTAACTCAAAGTCTGCTTCAGTAACACAAAGCTGGCATAAGACAGGATTATCACACACCAACACCGAACCAGTTAGCTGATGGAGGGGGGGAGCTGAATCCTCCTCAATTTGGGTGCATGAGGGGGTACCATGCACAGAACTCCCTCACACACCCAAATCTGAAGAAAGCAGGACTGAACTCCCTGTCCAACAGGTGAAGAGTCGAACGTCTACTCATGTGTGCCATCTGCCCCCACCTCCACGAGTGTCAATCATCTACTATCATTACGACATCAGATGATTGACAGGTTGGTGGGCCTACCCCTTGCCAAAGTTGGCCCATTCAGTGGGGAGGGAAGTAACAATTTGGAGCATCAGGGGTTCATCAACCCTGCTTCTGTTGTATACACCCTTCTAACCTCTAGGTTAGATCACTGCAATGCATTATATGTAGGTCTGCCTTTGAAGACAGTTTGGCAACTGCAGTCAAACTGCTGACCAACAGAAGATAGTCTGAGCACATAACACCAATTCAGGCATGATTGCATTAGTTTCCACTTAGTTTTCTGGGCTCAGTTCAAGTTTAGACCTACAAAGCCTTAAGCGGGTCAAGACCCAATACCGCAAGGACCGCCTCTTTCCGCATGAACCAACCCGGACCCCCATTAGTCACCAGAGGGCCTTCTCTCCCATTTCCCCTCCAAGGGAGTATAGAGGGTGTCAACAGAAGAACGGGCCTACTCAGTAGTGGCCCCCTGCTTATGGAATGTTCTCCCCAGCGAGACACACTTGGCGCCATCATTACCTGTATCTGGACGCCAAGCAAGTACATTTCTTTTCCACCAGGCCTTTGACCTCCTCCTTCAGTGAGCAGAATGTCTTAGTCCTGCCTCTTTATAAATGTGAATGCATTTTAGCTTTTACTCCGTTTTACCTTTACGTTGGTTTTAGTGTATGTTTGTAAGTCGCTTTGAATTAAGTTTAGTAAACAAAGTGGCAGGTAATTTCAATAAATAATATAATAAGGATTTTTTTTAAAGGTGCCAGAACGCCATACTGAAGTGTAGCAACAGAAAAAAACCCACTGGCACTAATACACATACAATTTAAAGGAGGCAAACATTTAGCCAATCCATCCAATTGATTAATTAAAAGCATCCTGATTGACTAAATGTCTGCACCTTATTCACAGGGCAATGACTGTGGGATTTTAAAAAACAAACAAAACACCATTCTGTGTGATGATTTTAATGCAAGAACCTACAAAACAGGTTCAAAACTGCAGTTGCCCAGGGATGGATGAGGTGGGGAACAAAACAGCGAGATGGGAAGGGTTGGAATGTGAGGAACTGGCTTTCATGTTGTTCTAAGTATGGGTACTTTACTTACTCATCAAAATGAGCCTTTGCTATAGTTTTGCCTGCTAAACTTAACAGGTAGGCAGCTACCTAACGGAAGCATCTCCCCATACCTTGATGGCCTTGGAATCTCTCCCCCTGGCCTTTGGAATGAGACATCCATCAGGGCGTTTTCACCTGCGGTGCATCTACAAACACTTATATCTGGACACGGAGCTGGGAGTTTAGCTGAGCCAGAAGCAGCCTAAGCCATGAAGCGCAGGGGAAGAGGGAGGGGCACTGTTGCTCTCTGAGAAACCAACAATGCAGAAACAACCATTTTCCTGCCTGTTTTGCAGAGCCTTCCAATAAGTGGCACAGCACAAGCTTTGCATGCAAAAGGTCCTCGGTTCAATTCCCCAGCTGCGAAAGACTCCTGTCTGAAACCCTGGAGGGCTGCTCTGATGACAATACGGAGCCAGATGGAGCAATGGTCTGACTAGGAATAAGGCAGCTTCCTATGTTCCCCGAGGATACAATAAATCATCAGAGCTCTCTTGTACAAAAGGAAACAGGACCCTGTAGCTCTGACTGTGGAATTTCTCACAAATCATAAAGGCAATGCGTTTAGCTATTTATACAGTGCCGCCCCTGTACATTGGAGGGGGCCTGACTTATCAATGGGCCTGTTCCTCATGGCGGTGGTCCTTCGAGGATCCAAGAGCTTTGGGTTGTCCTCAGCCAGCAGCAGTTCACGGGGAGGGGAGCTGGGTTGCAGTATAATGTGCAATTAAAACCGCCACTTCTTAATCACACTGGTGGGTCAATTGCTGCTCAGAACCCCCCAGGCACTACACCACAAAGTTATCCCACAGAGTGCAAAAGGGAACCGTGCCTTTGACATCTCTCTCTCCTTCCCAAGGCCTCCACAGAAGGCCTTAAAAGGCAGGAGGTGTGTGTGTGTGTGTGTGTGTGTGTGTGTGTGTGTAGGAAAAGAGAAATAAACCACTATTGATTTGCCGAAGGCGAGGCAAAAGCAGAAAGACTGCATGTGTTTCTATGGAAACAGAATGTGTGCAGTTTGAAAAGAGTTGGGGGGGAGAGAGAAAACCCTCTCATTTATGGGCACTGTAAATTATTTAAGCAGGACAGGGCTCTGTCCATTAAGGTCTAAGGGGAAAGATTTAAAGCTATTCATTATGCAGGGAGACACAACCTGCTTAATTCAGACCCACCAGCCTAATGCCTGGGAAGCAGAAGGCAAGTCATTTAGGTCTTACATTACTGGCTTAACAAAATAATAATAATAATAATAATAATAATAATAATAATGCCCTGCTTGCAAAAATAACTGCAGAATTAAACAGTAAGCACACAATATGGAAAACCACATTAAAAAACCACACCAGCGTAATAATAATACAAGAGTGCACATGGATACTCATTTTCTATTGCCACGAGTAAAGCTGGGTCCTTCTGTACTTAATAAGGCAATAATGTGAAAGAAAGTGCTGGGGGAGGAGCCAGAAATGGGGTGGAGCCTGAGGCAAAGAATCCAAAATGGCACCTTCCACATGGTGGCAAAGATTTAATAAGCAAAGGGTGGTATCCAATTAGAGCTACTCACCCACCAAAACGAGTAGACATGGCTAAGGCCCCATCTGCACTGTACATTTAAAAATGTATTATACTAGGCCCAGTGAGGGGTGTAGTTAGGGACGGGGGCGTGGCCTGGAAGGAGGCCTAAGGGCCAGATAGAGAATACTGGATGGTCACATCTGGCCCTGAAACTCGGGTTGCCCATCCCTGACAACATGAAGCTAGCCTCACTCCTCTTTTGACAGACAGAAAATGTGCAGCTAATTTGTAAAGATAAGTGCTGGGGCTCACATCCATGTTGAAGCCACACTCTCTCTCTCTTTCCTGAAAGCCCCTCTCCCAAATAAAAACCTCAGATACATGGAGGGCAGTTTTGGTTTCGCAGGAACAATGGAAAGGAACTCCACACATTATTACATCACACATTCCAAGTCGCAGCAACTCTTAACGCTGTGATTGAATCCTGGCTCATATTTCACGACAACAGATAGGTTTGGGGGCTTAGTCGGCATTGCCAAGAGTGAATCAGGTCTTCAAAAGAAGTCTATGCAACAAACAATCCTCCTACTGTCTTGCAAATAGAAATGGCTCATAGTGGGGGTGTTTTTAAAAGAAAAAGGGTTTATCCCGTGCATCTGGGTTTGGTTTATTTCCTGGAGAGACAGCCAACATATAAAGCTATTACAGCAGTTATAGTCCCATTTTTGGGTAGCATGCAGCTCTTAAGAGAAAAGGCAAGGATCTATAGAAGAAGGCAGTTCTAAGAGGTTCCTTTTCCCCCCTTTCAGCATTCCTCATTCAGCAGACCATCCATGTTCCCCAGCAGAGCCAACTGGTCAAACTAAGCTGATTTTATAGAGTCAAGCCCCGTCTTCTAATAAGCTCCAAATTTCCCATTGTCCCTCCCCCACAGTGATCATCAAGGCCGAGAGCACACAGCTTTAAAAATTGTCAAAGAGAAAGAAAACAAACAAAAGAAGAAGAGTGAATTTAAAGATCGTTTCTCTAGGCGTAGGAAATCTGACAACCTCCTATTGATCTTCTCTTGTTGACAAATGCACCCATGTTGAGATATTATAGGAAGCCAGCCTGTATCGTAATTGCTGCTCCGTGGCAAACCTCCACGATCTCCAACTGTTGCTGCTTGACAGGTACAAGCGTCTGCTTCCTCACCCTGTGCAACAGCTGCTAGAGCCCAGCAAATGCTGGAGCATCCTGTCCAACTGCACCTATGTGGCAGGTTGCCCCACCAGCAATCTTGTTCCATTGGTGGACCAATTCATCCTTGCTGGAAGGAGAAATCACAGAGAGACGAGTATCCAAAACACCAGGCAAAGATGCAGCCAGTTAACTTAACTAGGACTAGGTTAAGCCAGGATGCTTTCTCAGTGCTTTTTTTTTTCCTCCAGGGGGGAGGAGGACACAGGGGTACGTATATCCCTAAACATTTTGTGAATCTTTGTACTTTTGTCCATTTACTGTATTTATTTCCCCCGATCTGAACTATAAAATGGTGGTTTTCTTGAGTCAAAATGAGAGTACACCTAAACATTTTTTAAAGGAAAAAAGCCATTGTGCTTTCTTATAGGGGTTCCCATAACCCAGGCATAGGCAAACTTGGCCCTTCAGATGTTTTGGGACTACAATTCCCAGCATCCCTGACCACTGGTCCTGTTAGCTAGGGATGATGGGAGTTGTAGTACCAAAAACATCTGGAGGGCCGAGTTTGCCTATGCCTGTCCTAACCACTCTGGTTGCTGTTGTTTTTATTTTGATTATGTATTTTGTGGTTTTATATTCTAATTTTATCCATGGAACTGCCCTGAGACCTGTAGGTATGGAGAAGTATATAAACTCAATAAATACTACTACTACTACTACTACTACTACTACTACTTCTACTACTAATGATAATAATAATAATGTAGCCCAGAGTTGCTGGGGAAACCCAGTCAGATGGGCAGAGTACAAATAAATATTTTTTAAAAATTATTATTATTATTAACTATTAGTTTCCAGGATTCTTTGGTGGAAGCCCTGACTGTCTAAAGCGGTATGATCCTGCTTTAGATGTGTGGTGCAGATGTGGTCCTAGAATCCTGGTGGCAGATCACACCACAACTGAGAGGAAGCCAGAAATCCCTGTTTCCTCTCCCAACAAGTAAATCATAAGCCTGCAGATTGGGGCACTGTGGGTTTTTCATTAATTTCCTACGTAAAACACCAAGTCGTTGGCATTTTAAAGAAAACATTAGCGAGTGACGACGACACTAGGGGCCCCTCAGGCCCACGCTGATTTGTTGGCATAACCAGATCATCGTTTGGGGGAGGGGAAAGAATAGGGATTATAAATATTGATGAGGCAATTACCTTCAATTAGCACTGGCTGGCTGGCACCCCTTAGGAATCTACTTGGAACGATGCCCACTTCCTGCTTGTTGACTGCTTTCCGCTCAAGCTGGAGTGTGAAGGCCCATTCTTCAGACACAGCGGCACTGAAACAGAGAATATCCTTTTTAAAAAGTGGAGGTTCCAAGGATTAGGGACCTGGGACATTCGGCGTGTGTTCTGCTGCTGAAGCTACGACCTGTCCTGATGTGTGCTGGAAGCACTGTGCAAATAAGTTAACGGCAGTAACAACACGATTGCACACGCATCTAAACATGGAACATTTCCAGATATGGATTGTGCAGTTTCCTATCGAGCAATGAAGCAAGGCAATGCTTCACATGAGGAGCTTTAGATTTCTGGGTCTTTTCTCAAGATACCGCATAACCCTCTGAGATACAATGGGACAAAAATGGGCTTAACATCAAGCAATAAATGCACCCATAAAATGAGCAAACCCATTGCCAGGTGTTGGGGCGCGGGATCGTTAAACGCCGACCAGAAAAACACAAAAGTGCTTCCAATTTCTGCACATTAAAGCTATTTCTGCACACGAAGACGTCACAAACGGTGTTGGTTTCTCATCACCCCTCAGTTATTCACCACCTCCTCAAATATTAATGTTTGCAGACAGTCAGCGTTCGATATGTGCCAGGAAAACCGGTTCCCCAGAGTTGGAAACTAACGCTCTGTCCCCATCCTTGGTCTGCTTGTGGTAACTGGGACTAGGCCTCAGTCCTTGTGATGCAAAGGAGCTGCCTCATGGAGCAAAAAATATTTGTGGGGCCTGCCTGGTGTTTTTACATTAGTAGAATGTGTCTTTTTATTTAAAATGCATCTCTGGATTATTTGCAGGGCATAGGAATTTACTCATTTCCCCCCTCCAGAAAAATATAATCCGGCCCCCCACAAAGTCTGAGGAACAGTGTACCAGCCCCCTGCTGAAAACATTTGCTGACCCCTGGTGAAGAGCGTCTTCTGAGGCCAGGGCTTTATAGGGGCTGGTGGCCTGGGATTGGCCCTCAAGAGTCAGCTGACAGAGTGTCCAGGCAGGCTGGTACTGAAGCCTAGATGGCGCCCTCAATGCCTAAATACAGTGGTACCTTGGTTTACAACCATAATCCATTCCGGAGGTCCGTTTGTAAACCAAAACAAGTTGTAATCCAAGGTGCGCTTTCGCCAAAGGGGTCTCCAAAAAAAATTTGTTCATAATCCCAAAAAAATGGGTTGTAATCCAAAAAAAAGGTTGCAAACCGGGACATGCACTTCCGGGTTTGACATGTTTGTAATCCAAAACGTATGCAAACCAAGACGTATGCAAACCAAGGTACCACTGTAATGGAAATGATGCTAAGGTAGCTGAGCATTGACCACCAGGTAACCCTTGGTTCAGAGGACCATCCTCAGCACCATAGAATGACACGTTTTGCACAACTGTAGCTGAGGTCCATAGAGCACAAATTTAAACAACCTGGTGGAGGTGGAGGACTGGGAAGCAATATGAATATCAGTTGCTGGGAATTACAGGCAAGGAAAGTGCTATTGTGCTCAAATTATGCTTGCGGGCTTCCCATTGGGGAAAATATTCGGTGACTGTGAGAATGGGATGGTGGACTAGATGAGGCATTGGCTTGATCTTATGTTCTTATAGCTCCCATTGGAAGAATGGGTCAATAATTTGAAGTATTGGGGAGGCTTTTCCTCCTCTGGTTGTCAGCAACTACTGAACTGCCCCCCGCCCCGCAACACACATTTCCCCCCCCCCTTCTTAATTTTGTGCATGAAAGATGCAGCCAACCCAGACTCAGAGCCTGCAGCCCTATATCCAGCCCGTCAAGAGTAATCTCTGTTCTCCATTTTTACTGGATAATCTAAAACCAGCTTGGCTAAAGAAAACAGCTTGTCATAAGGGGAACATTTAAGAAAAATATTCAAGGGACGAATGAAGGAGGTGAGGACAGGTGACCCCACCTTGGCCCGAAGTCATCCCCCCCCTCAATAATCACCCCAGGCCTCAAAACTGTCCAAAATTCCTTTTATCTTCTAAAAATCCACAGCTAAAGCTTTCCTCTGCTTTTCTCACAAGATGCTGTGCATAGGCAAAAATGTTACTTTTATCAGCACGAGAAGGCTTCAGAAAGCTAATGAATAGGCTCTGTTCAAAGCAGGCCTGAGAACTGACTTTTATCTCATTCAGTTGCAACATCTTGGACATGCTGAACCACAAGGTTCCTCGAGCCCCCTTGGCTTCTCACCCCCTTTCCTGGGAAGAGTCCAATAGTCCCAAGACAGGAGCTTTCTGTACATGCTCAGGAAACTCAACATGGGGCATGACTCCTGAAGAGGAGGAGAAAGGGGAGGGAACTAGAAGGGGAATATACGCTCTGTGCAAAAGACTGTGAACCAGTGCTTGTTTTATGAATCTATCACACTTGCTCCTTCTACCAGTTCATGGATGGTAGAAATAAAGCTTTTTCTCTGAAACTATTCCTTGAGTGTCTGTTGGCTCCCATTTTCCCTTTCCCGGGCGCAATATTTTTTCCCACCCGAGGGCAAAGCCTCATAAGGCTACACGAGGAAGAGACGTTTGTGCCTTTTCTTGGTGCATTAATGTCACACACACACACACACACGGATACTAAATGACTTCATCTCTGACCTTACATTGTATATCTGTTTTAGAAATACACAGGAAAGCAAGCCCAGATTATCCCGATGCACCAAAAAGGGATTAACACACATACGCAAAATCAATTGCGGGTTAAGAATAAATGGATGGAATCTATTCTAAATTCCTGCCAACTACCAACTTTCTTGCTTTAAAGTCAAGTGCCTAGTCCTCCTGGTTATGAGGATTGAATGACATTTTGGCCTCTTGTAGCAACTGCACCGTGCTGTGATAGATGCTGTATGTTTTTTTAATTGTATCTTTATAGCTTCCTTTATTACATTGTATTACAATTTGCATTTCACACATTTCAAATTGCAATAGAATAAAATACAGTACAATAAATAAAAGCTGCAACGCAAATACAAAAACCAATATATTGAAGGTGGGCTTGCCAGAGACTACCTCAATGAAGCTTGCAAACCACTGGTGGTCCATGGAGCTGTTCAAAAATCCCTGATCTATAGGAGCTGTGAGACTCCTGGCTGTTCTGCTGCAACACTGATTGAAAACAACCACCTCCTTTTCTGCAGGAGGCGCTGGTGTTTTGTGAGAGAGCCTCCACACCCTATCTGGGTGGTTATCCTTCCTCCGTATTTGGGCTACTGCCCCAACTCTGGCTGCTTTTAGTAACCTGCAGATAAAGGAAAGCTTTGGTTTCCTCAGTGTTGCTAACCAACAACTCCCTTCATGCTTGCCCACTGCCCATGCTTGCAAGGGCTGATGGGAGTTGTAGTTCAGCAACATCTTTTCCCCAGATATATCCAGGATTCGTCCATCAGAAAAAAGCATCCAGGCGGAATTCCCAATATCGCTAAAACTGTACGGGAAAACCTGGATGTATGGTAACCCATGCCGAAAGTTTTTTTTTTTTCCAATTTCCTTAAAAAAAAAGGTCTAAAACTTCATTTTGGGGGGAGATTTTGCAAAATATTTTATTATAATTATCTGAGCTCAACAACTTTGCCAAAAAAACCAACAACTTTTGTGTCCAGATTTTCACTTTTTAAAATATGGCAACCCTACTCTACAGCTAAGTGAAAAGAAAGATGTTTTGCCTCTGGGAACCTTGTACTGACCATGAGTCAGACCACTGGGTCCATAAAGCTCAGTACTGCCTACACGGACTGGCAGCAGCTCCTGGGGATTTCAGATGGGGGTTCTTTCTTAGTCTTACCTGGAGATAAAGGGCATTGAACCTGGGACCTTCTGCATACAAGGTGGAAGCTCTTCCTCTGAGCTACGGCCCTTAGTGCTCCCGTTCTTCCATCATGCATTGACACACACACTCCCAAAAAATAAAACAACAGGATTCCGCAATATTGCAAATATGTGGCTTGGAAGAAAATGCAAATGGTGTGCCCTACTGACAAGGACCCGGGAGAGCAGGGTTTGAATCCCCCACTCTGCCATGAAGCTGGTGGTATATAAGTGTAATTAATAAATAAAATGCAGAATACAAGTTTTCCAGAATTACAGATTTTAAGAATACGGTTGGGAATAGGATTCTACCGAACTTCCTATGGCAAAAATCATGGCATATCATCTAGCAGGAGATATCTTTTTCACGACCTGTGATGAGACAGCCATCGCCCTGTTTGCCTCACAGAAGACACACAAATATTTAAAGGTGATCTTCTAAATAAGCCATTGAGGGTTGCGAAAGGGAGCATTCCGGCTTTTCTTCAGAACCACACCTGATAATGAGTTCGGTGTAACACAAACGCCTACATCCTGCTCCCTCCGCTGAACAAATAAATAAATAAAGTCAATAAAAGGAGATCATCTTACCTAGAGTGCATTGCATGTGCCCGTAAGGGCGAGTGGGAATCCCTGCATTTCTCAGATGGAGGAGGCTAGGTCATTGACTAAGCCATATGCAAATGAGGCAGAGGGGATTAAAAAGGGAATCATACCAGCTGTCTGCAAAAGAACCATTAATTAAAGGGGCAGCACTGATACATGCTTGAATTAAAGCTCTGAAGACAGCAGAAGGGATATATTCCAGGTCGTGGAGGCAGAAAATGGGGCACTGCTCCACCAACCTCATTCTGCCCCAACCCCCAACACCTGCCTGCCTCTGTACTTGCAACCAGTCCAGGTGCTGCCACTGCCTGTCAGCGTCCTCCTCCTATGTTCCCACCTTACCCACATAAAACTTAGCAGGGAGGTGGTGAGGAGAGAAAATTCACTGGCTCTGCCTGCCATTAGCTCTGTCTCCACCTACTGCTTGGGCTCCCTGCCTTCTGACCCACCAGTCCCAATGGGCACTAGGAATGCAGGGGTGGGTGGGGGGAGATTAAATTCAGTTTGCATTTAAAGGCAAACATACCTAATTCATGCTTTCCAAAACACTATGCAAACCAAAACACAGGCATCTTCCAAATTCGCACTTCTCTGAATGTGGCAATGCAGTTCTCCAGCCAAGTAATGTGTGCAAAAATGCATGTATAGTAGTACCTCGGGTGAAGTACTTAATTCGTTCCGGAGGTCCGTTCTTAACCTGAAACTGTTCTTAACCTGAAGCACCACTTTAGCTAATGGGGCCTCCTGCTGCACCGCCAGAGCACGATTTCTGTTCTCATCCTGAAGCCAAGTTCTTAACCTGAAGCACGATTTCTGGGTCAGCAGAGTCTGTAACCTGAAGCGTATGTAACCTGAAGCGTATGTAACCTGAGGTACCACTGTACTAAGTGTATATAAAAATACGTAATTTGTGAAAACAATGAGCTAAAAAAAATATTGTAACATGGGGAACTGCTTTGCAAAAAATAAAACTAGGCAAAACTGCAGGTAAATGTGTGCATTAGGTGAAATTCACACTAAAAATGCTGATATGTTTGGGTTTTTTTAAAGGCCTTCTGAAAACTAATCACAAATTATGTGGAAAGGTGGAGAACTGAATGTAAGAGTGGAAAAAATCTGAGTATCAGAGAGAAACCAAAATTGACAGATCAGCCCATTCCCAGCATTCAGAATAACATTCGTCATAAAATACTACCTACTGTGTAGCACAGTGGTGGCCAAACTTGGTCCTCCAGCTGTTTTTGGACTACAACTCCCATCATCCCTAGCTTCTCCCTCCAAGGGGTGGTGGTGATTGGACTGGACGCTTTTGGAATACACCCAACTGTAAGGAACATGTAACGGATTGTACAGCTGACCCAAAGACCTACCTTCTCTGATCACACAGGACGAACAGTGGGCTAAGCTTCTTATCGAGCCCACACCAGATACCAAATGGCAGAACCAAGAGCGATGGCTGCCTCTCCAGCCTCAGCTGCTGGATCTGGTCTTCTTAAGAGCACTTTCAAGATAAGAGAACACCTGGTCTCCAAACTAGGTAAACAGACAGCTGCTAGGAGACCAGTGTGATGAAAGAGAATTCCACCAGATTCCTCTGAGCCATCCCTCCAGGATTATAGCTCACCTTTTTCCATGGATCTCCATGACCCCACCTTATCCTCACAACAACCATGTGAGGGAGTTTTAGACTAAATCCCAAGGTCAGGTTCATGGCTGAGTGGGGATTTGAACGCTGGTCTCCTAGGTTCTTATCCAACCATTACACCCCACTATACTGGTGTTTATTGGTCGAAACCTGACTTTTGCTGGAATATAGTCTCCTCAGCTGGGGGAAAGAGCCGCTGTCAGAGACGAGTTACAGCTGTCTTAGAGGAGGTAAAGAACACTGCAAGAATTTGAACGGAAAATAGCAAGTCTCCTAACCACCTTCCATATTTCTTTGGAGGTGCTCCCAAACCCTCCACAACAGATCCTTGCAGGATCCTAAAACCTGCGCTGCCTTGCAGGATACCTTCAGGAGATGAAAAGGCTAAGGAGTAAGCTAGGGTCGCCATATTTCAAACAGTGAAAATCCGGACGTAAAGATTCATGGAGAACAAAACTATCAATGGCTTTCAGCCACGACAGCTAGTTTCTGCCTCGGAGGCAGTATGCCCAGTATGTCTCTGGATACCAGTTGCAGGAGTCGAAGGAGCGGAGAGTGCTGCTGCGCTCAAATACTGCTTGTGGGCTTCCCTTTCTACTTGGACGCTGTGAGAACAGGATGCTGGACTAGAGGTAGCCACGGGCCTCATCCAGCAAGACTTGTTGTGTTTGAATTTGTCTGAAAAAACAGCTAGCTTTGGGAAATGGTGAGGAATTGTTAAACTCGCACACACCACAATCCTGCATGTTAGGATGATCATAGTGCAGTTCACGGGCTAGGACCCTCGTGCCTATGGGACCGCCTCTCCCGGTATGCCCCATGGAGGACCTTAAGGTCCATAAATAGCAACACCCTAGTGGTCCCGGAGTCCTAGGAAGTTAGATTAGCTTCAACCAGAGCCAGGGCCTTTTCAACACTGGCTCCGGCCTGGTGGAACGCTCTGTCTCATGAGACCACCTGATTTCTTTCCGCAGAGCCTGTAAGACAGAGTTGTTCCGCCTGGCCTTTGGCTTGGAGCCAATTTGATTCCCTCCCCCTCTTTCTTTTTTCTTTTTCCTTTCTCCTCCTGTGATGAGGCTGCATTTTAGTATTTTAATGTTTCAATATTTTAATGTTGTATTTTAATCTTGTTTTTAAGTTGTATTCATTCAACTTGTTTTTATTATTGCTTGTTAGCTGCCCTGAGCCCAGCCTTGGCTGGGAAGGGCGGGGTATAAATAAAAATTATTATTATTATTATTAGTGGTACCTCCATGTACGAACTTAATTCATTCTGGAGGTCCATTCTTCAGCAGAAAGCGTTCTGAAACCGAGGCGTGCTTTCACTAATGAGGCCTCCCGCCGCCAGTGCCCTTCCACCATTCAGATTCTGTTCGTCTTCCGGGGCAAAGTTTGCTAGCCGGAGCACCTACTTCTGGTTTTGCAGAGTTCGTTCCCCAAATCGTTTGTTAACAGGACTGTTCTTACCACTCTATATAGAACATTCAGAAATGCAGGGTTTAATATCTGCAAGGCAATGGGGGGGGGGCGGAGTAGCGGTCAGCTTCACACATTCTTAACCACCCGAGGGCCCAGGAGCGTAATGAGAATGAAAATCTTAAAAGAATGCCCTTTTGCTTGTCTCATACATCCCTGTTTGCTTTCTCCTGTTGCCACCAACAACCCCATTAAGACTCATTCTTCCCTTCATTCCAAAAAGCCTTCTGTGTTTTTTTACACCATGTATCAAAGAACCATGAGGTTTCACTGAAGGCCAAGACAGTCACCAGTTTTGTTTTGTTTCGTTTATTTTCTGTTTGCACGTTACCAAGCAGGAAGTGGCCCAAAGCATTTTAATGCCTGAGATGGGGGGGGGGGGATGGAGCTGACTTACACCGAGTCAGAACATTGGTCCATCTGGCTCTGTACTGTCTACACAGACCGGCAGCAGCTTTCTAAGGTTTTCAGAACGGGGAGATTCCCCACCCCAGTCCTAATTGGAGATGCCGGGGATTGAACCTGGGACCTTCTGCAGGCAAAGCAGATGCTCCACCACTGAGCTACAGGGGAATGATGGACCAGATGGTGTCCCCGTTCCATGTATGGAAGCTGACTGTATTGGCAATTGAATCTTACTTCAACACTGGCAATGGGACAGCATCCACCACCACAATGGTGACTGCAGGTGTAGGGAACCGTCAGATGCCATTGAACTCCCTTCAGCCCCAGCTATCATGGCCAATAGCTAGGGATGCTGGGAATTGTAGTTCAGCAATATCTGAAGGGCCAAATGTCCCTCACATCTCACCTAAGGGTAGGGCTGGCCCCATTTAGCAACTCTTCTTCTAAATCAATCCCCAACAGCTGCTCAAGGATGCTGAAGCTGGGCCTGTACTGGGGACAGACAATTCTGCCCATTTTGGTTTCTCATCCCCTCCCCACAACCTTCGGTTCAGTTCTCCCCATTTTCACATCGCTTCGCGATTAAAGAGTCTGCATAAAAAGCCACATGTCTTCCACCTAATGAAACACAAGCAATTTGCAAGTAATTTCTTCCATGTAAAAGACATCTTCTTACAGCATTTTGCATTAATGCAACAAGCATTTGTGAGCACACCCTTCTCTAATACATGCTTTTTATATATGCATTTGGGGGGGCTTGGGGTTGGAGGAGTGCATCACAAAATTCAGAAAAGGGTGGCTGCGTTTCAGTTTGCATATTGGTGTGGCAAGTGAGAAATTGGGTAGGTACACATTAAAATGCAAACGGAACAAATTTCTACCCCATCCCTGGCCTGTACTCAGATCTTTAAGGCTCTATTACACCTCTAATAAAGAAGTGGTTGGCATGTAGGCAGGACAGAGCCTTCTATTAAGGAAACAGTGATTCTCCCCCCCGCCCCCATCCTGTGCTCGTTGCAATCTGCGCTGCTTCTATTCCACTACAGTTCGGTTTCCACTAAAACCCACATTACTCATCTCACTGCTGTGGCTGAAAACTTGTGTAATTAATTACAGTATGTGATTAATTAGCTTGAATGCACCTGACTGGAAGGGAAACGTCAAAAACAATGCAGAAAATAATGTGATTTTTAAGGCAAAGTCACATGGGGGGGAATGGTAGAGAATATTTCTGAAAGAGATGTAAGGCAGAACAGAGAATTGTGCCTTATTACATCCCCAGTGGTGTGGCCCTCCTAATTTTGCTGGTCTCCAACTCTCACCAACGATAGACTGCTCTGCCTCCTTTCTTTTAGCAAATGTTTTGTGCCACTGGGGAAGTGGTAATTCTGTATTGATTTGTTTTGGATGTTTGTATATGATGCCAATAAAAGGTTTGATGATGAGGATGATCTCTCACCGACACTGGTAGGGAGTGATGGGAACTGTAGTTCATGAACGTCTGGTGGGGGGGCACAGATTCCTCACTAGTGTAGAAGATACTGAGCTAGCATGGACAAGTCATCTGACTTGGTCCTTAAGAGAGCATCTTATGCAAGAGCACTACAGTGGGCATGTGCCTTTTATTACAAAGGCAATACCAGCCTTATAAAAATCATTGCGGTAGCCTGGATTGTGCTTTAAGAGAGGAGGAGGACAGACAGAGTTTGCTGCCAGGCGGGAGACAGAAGGGAAGCACCCTGTGGTGCGATTTCGGAAACCTGCCTGGCCAATTGCATCCGTGCCCAGAGTTCCCTTTGAGGCAAGAGAGCGGTGCAGCAGGTACCCAGAGAAAGCAACAAGCTGTCTACCGACAACAGCGCTCCCTGCTACACGAACACAGAAGCTGTCCCTGCAGGGCTGCCGGCTGACAAGGTTGCCATCGAGTGGGATTGCTCAGGCAGTCGTCTCTGGTTCCCCAGGATTTCTTTTTTTAAAAAAGGATACCAGCTGCTGACATGAATTATCTACTCATCCTCCACAGCAGCTGGCCCAGCGCTAGGAGGGTAGGGAGCTTAGGAATGGAAGGGGGAGGGGGAGAGATAGGGTGAGCCAATGTATTATACATACAGGGCTGAGTATGCTTCTGATGTCCATTCAAAATGCCAACTTTGGCATCAGTGGTTTGGGGGGGAACACACCCCTGGATTTTTACCACTTTCCTGCATCATGCAAAACTCACACACAGTATGTATACGTTTTGCACTTGGTTGTCTAGTACTGCGTATGAAACATAAAAAGCAGCCCGCTCCCGGACCCCCAGACGTTTTGGCAAATTCAAAAAATCCACCTGGACAGAAATTTTACCCCTGGAAAAGAGGACCTGTCCTGGAAAAGGAGGACCTATGGCAACCCTAACTTTGAAAACTTAAAGAAGAAAAGTCACTTGATCCAGGGACAGTCCACACTCACCGTATTTTTCGCTCTATAAGACGCACTTTTTCCCTCCTAAAAAGTAAGGGGAAATGTGTGTGCGTCTTATGAAGCCAGAAGAGCAGAGAGATCAGTGCACACCGATCCCTCTTGCTCTTCTGGCTTCAGGGATAGCCATGCAAAGCCTATGGAGCGCTCCTGCCTCTTCGCTCAAGAGGCTTTGCGTTGCTTTCTTGTTTCTTGTTTTCCTCCTGTAAAAACTAGGTGTGTCTTATGGTCGGGTGCATCTTATAGAGCGAAAAATACGGTATATTGGCCTGGCTCTTTTCTTAATGATGACACGCACCATTCATAACATAAGAATATTATTCACAACTGTGAGCAGGGCGCTAGGGTGGGGTAAGTAAAGACAAGCTGCAACAATTAACTGTAAAGCTTTTCACTGCTCCTGCTCCTGCACAGAAAAAAACATTTTGGTTCCTGAAATTCATTCAGGTTGGACAGATAGAATAGAACAGATAGAATTCTACAGGAGAGGGTATTAGTGTGTGAAAACAGTCGAGATTCAACAATCCCCAGGCGCGCACCTCCAGATGGTGGAGGTGCCAGGCACCATCCTGTGACCCAGGCATCTTCATTTGGTCGCCAGTGGCCAATAGTCAGGTACAAAGCACACCTGGCTAATTTCGAACACTGACATCAGGATTTCCTAGGCTTGCCATAGTTCAGGAAAATTCCTGACATGTCCCAATTTCTGGGTGTAAAAATGGTGTCAGGGGAATTTTGCCGAATTGGCAAAATGTCAGGGAAAACCCAAAAGCTTAAAAGCTCCAAAAACTTTGGTTTCCCCAAAAATGCTCAACAACAAAAAATAAGAAAGCTAGTCTTGGTCTCTTCTGCCTGTCTTCGCATGCAAGTGAAATCCCTCACAACTCCCTAACTCACCGAGGACTTGAGACCCACCTGCTGCCCTCACCTGGTTTAGCCAGCCAATCAAAGCAGTTTCCTGGGGTGTGTGGCCACTGTCACATGCTGACAGCTTCTAGGAGCCACAGGTGAGAGCTGAGTGCAGGATGGGGACCAAAGTTTTCAAGTTTGATCAGCAGGGAAAATTTTTGCCTGCTGACTTCTGCACTGTTAAATTTTTCTGTTAAAAACACAGGAGCAGGTCAGGTTACATTTTTGCTGATCAGTTGGCTACCCTGTCAGTGAGTTCTTAGATCAGGGTTTCCCAAACATGGACCTCCAGCTGTTTTTTGGACTACAATTCCCATCATCCCTGAACACTGGTCCTGCAACTAGGGATGATGGGAGTTGTAGTCCAAAGCAGCTGGAGAACCAAGTTTGGTCTACACTGTCTGGCAGCAGCTCTTCAAGGAACATTCCCATCTGTACCAGGAGTTGCCAGGACTGGACCTGAGACCTTCTGCATGCAAAGCAGGTGCTCTACCAAAAACCAGCCTGCTGAACCAGACTGGCTTTCCCAAACTGGTAACGAAGCAAGAGTGGACTCTACAGGACTTCCAGCCAATCAGATGATCGGGACAAGGGCCAACCAGAGCCTGAGAAAGACGCGTTCCCCATGCACCTCTGTATAAGTGGGAGTGTGGGAAGCCCAAAAAGCCTGCATCTGAATAAGGCAGCCTGGCGGCCCCCAGGTCTCATCCGCCTCAGTCAGCATGTTGGCAAAAGCGAGAATGATTGAGCTGTCAGCAACCTAAGAGGCAGTCCGGTTTTTGCCTTTGGCTGAGGCAGGTCAAACATGCTGTTCGCAACAGCTGCATGCTGGAACTTGCTTGCTTGCTTGCAGCTGGAAAAATGTGGCAGGCCTGTTTTCCATGAAACGAAGGCGAATTCTACAGCCTGGCAGGGATCAGGCCAAAGAAGCAAGCCATTTTCATGGTTCAGGGTGTGCAGAGTGCTGTACAATCCCCACCATCACTCAGTGTTTGTCTTCTGCGTCCCGTCACTTAGAATAAAAATCCAATAAAATACAAAGACAGGAAGCAAACAGAAATATTGCAGCGGAGCAACAGAGTGAAAACAGCACAGCAACACAATGACGCTTGCTTCAGCTCTGTTTAAAAAATAAATAAATGCTACTTTAGAAGGCCTGAGAAACCTGTAGCTCTCTTAAGACGCTGCAGGACTGCAACTCCGCTCATCCCTGACCATTGGCAATTGCTGGCTGGAGCTTATGGGAGTTGGAGTTTAAGCGGGTAAAGGTAAAGGTAAAGGGACCCCTAACCATTAGGTCCAGTCATGGCCGACTCTGGGGTTGCGGCGCTCATCTCGCTTTACTGGCCGAGGGAGCTGGCATACAGCTTCCGGGTCATGTGGCCAGCATGACTAAGCCGCTTCTGGTGAACCAGAGCAGCGCACGGAAACGCCGTTTACCTTCCCGCTGGAGTGGTACCTATTTATCTACTTGCACTTTGACGTGCTTTCAAATTGCTAGGTTGGCAGGAGCAGGGACCGAGCAACGGGAGCTCACCCCATGGCGGGGATTTGAACCGCTGACCTGATCAGCAAGTCCTAGGCTCTGTGGTTTAACCCAAAGAGCCACCCGCGTCCCATTTTAAGCGGGTACCACCACCTTAAAGTTTCATTCTCTCACCCTCCTGTTACCCAGGACCTATGGAGAAAAGTCCTGGATGCTGATCCTGGCAAGCAGAAGGTATGGGAAAAGACAGAAGCTAAACTACCTCACAGGGTTGTTGTGAGGATAAGATGGGGACAGGAAGAGTCATGAATGCCAGCACGAGCTCCTTGGAAGAAAGGAGGAATATAGGTGCAATTGTCAAGCAAGTAAATGAATAAAAATTCAACCCAGGTGCCCCCAAGAGCATACGAACAGCCCTACTAAGCTTTTATGTTCACTGAGTGAATTGATGTAGGGGCAAGATTCGAATTCGGCTTCTCCTGATTTGTACTTCAGTTTCTTGGCTATACAACAGCGACAGCAATGAAAACAACAAGAACCACTTGATCGTTAAGTAAGTACCCAGACGGGCTTACAAAAATGAGACATATATTAAATAATACATCATACAATAGGACAAAAAAACAAACAAAATTAAAATACCATGAGAAGCCATAGCTAAATCATTACACTATTCTAACTCTACGACACACACACGCACAGCTGTCCTAATTACAGGATGAATTAAGAGTGACTCACACACAACCTAATCAACTGCCAGGCCCATTGCAAAGCTACCCAGAGAAATATTTATTTCTGCAGAACATAACTCAATTTCCTGCTTCCCTCCCACCTACTGCGGAAACTTCGTCGTAAGATTTTGGCCTGGATTATTTTTTTTAATAGGAAAAACATGTATCCCAACTCTTCCTCCTCATTAAAAGTAATGCAAGCCTGTGCCCCACCGCTTCTTTGTAATGGGGATTACAGCACATTAAAATAATAAGCTATTACCGCAGCAAAGCCAGTTGTGTTGGCCATTTTAAAAAAATGCATAGCCAAACAGCTCCAGCTGTTTTGGGACTACAATTCCCATCATCCCTGACCACTGGTCCTGTTAGCTAGGGATGATGGGAGTTGTAGTCCCAAAACAGCTGTAGGGCAAATTTTGGCCATCACTGTGCTAGGTGGTTATGAGAGCGCTCTGCAATATCCCTACAGACACCATTGTGACATCAGGTGATTGACAGGAGGGCAGCCCCGCCCACCTGACAAACTTGGTCTGCAAGGACTGCAAAATTTAACAATCTGGAGAGATTTCCTCATCAACTTGCCACCTTTTCTCTTCAACTGGAGGTGCCAGGAATAAAAGCTAGGACTTTCTGCAAGCACTGCACATGCACAGAATTATGACTCCTCCCCAGGGACACATGTTGATACAATTGGATGGCCTTGATTTCACTCCTGCCTCTCAAACCAGCTTATGCCATTGCACCCATTTCACAGACTAATAACACCCATGTCTTGCATTTCCAGTTTGACTCCAACCAAAGACAAACTTATCAACAAGCCCTATGTGTTTTCTTATCTGCCTTGGTAGTTCAGTTGGTACGGCATGAGAAAATTAATCATAGGGTTGTTGGTTCGAGACACATGTTAGGCAAAAGATTCCTGCATTGCAGGGGGCTGGACCAGATGACCCTGCTGCCCCTTCCAGCTCCACAAGTCTATGATTTTATGATGCGCACTAAAATCTGAACTACTATGGCTTTATTAAATTGCATCAATAGTTTTGATAAATTGGTTGTTCTTTGCTTTATATGCTACTGTGTTTGATATTATCGTGATTGCAATTATTGTTCTTTTTTACCGCTATTGTGAGCAGCTTTGAGCACAACATTCATGTTAAATCAAACTCCATCCTGCAACTTTTGCCTGGAAGAGAGGAGGAAAAGATGCAAGAATGTTAATTCTGGACTCAACTGTTGCCTCTTACTTCAGATCCAGCACACAATGTATAACCTCCTTGCCTATTAGAACAAGCTCGGAAAAATTAGAACCCATGTATTATTATCTACTTATTTAATGGGCTGCAATTCTGCCATTTGCGAATGACAACTGGGAACATTCTCACCTGGAATTACTGAATTTTAGAGTCAGAAGGTGTGACAAACTCCCGAGGCAACAGGACTGAGAATAGGAAATCTATCCTTGGTCACTCCCTGTATAAATCAAGTGTGAATGCAGGGATTTTCGATGAGTGACAGCAAACACTAAGAATCTGCAGCGAGGAGTTCCCAAGGCAATTTATTTCCAGTTCTGGGAATAAATTAAAGCTGAGGCACACTGGATACGATACCGTACTTTATTTTAACAGACACTTTCAATGGTTTCACTAATAAAAGCACAACACTTAGGATCGGACATAAACACTGTTACAGGCTTAAAAGAGAAATTTACTTACAAGTCTCTTCAACAAAACCATTCCTATGAAATCTAGTGCTCTCTAGAATGGCTATCTGCTCTACCCCACCTGTAAAAAAACAAAAAGTCTAGCCACTTTCTAGAACCTTTCCCTCCGCCTGAGGAATTTGCCATGTCTAACCTACCAACTTCCCAATCCAGGCCTTATCTTGCAGCTAAAGTGTAAAATCATCCCAGCCATGATTGGCTAAGGGTCTCCAGGCAGCTGACCCAATGTTCTGTACAGTGTTATAAATTAGCCAGGCACCAGATGTGTTTTACGACTAGTGTGGGTCCAATTACGACCACATAGAGATCTCTGGAGGTCCAGCTGCCATCTCCCTCTGGCTGGTATCTCCAGCTTTCTTAAATAAATAAGCCCTTCTGCTTACCTGCTCATTATCCCACCTTTTTCCCCAAGGAGTGGGTGGCCCATCCCCACCCCCTCAGATAATTACTACAAATGACTCTGTGAGGTAGGTTCAGAGGCTGCGACTGACTCCAAGGTCACCCGAGTGGGGATTTGAACACTGATCATCTCCCAGGTCATAGTCCAACACTCTAACCGCTGCACCACACTGCCTTCCTACAGCACTTCCAATTCAGTAGGTGGGTGGCAGACAGTGATTCTCTGGGCTATTCCCTGCCCTCCACCTCCTTTTCGGGCACCACAGACGAACTTCCGGAAGAGGAGGTCAAGCTTAAGTTTTTCTTGTTTTTTGGACCTGTTTCTGGACTTGCGCCATAGCAGAACTAAAAAACGCCGTTTTTTGCTCCCTCGACCAGCGCGAGGGTGCAAAACTGGGACATTTGGGATTGGGAAGAGAAGAAGGGGCATCTTCTGCCAATTTGGTCTGTCCCGAATAATTTGGGACACTTGTGGGGTCTGTAGTAAATGTGGGCACAACTAGACATCCGTTTAATTTGGCTTACCTAGCAAAGGTTCAGGTTAAGGGAAGGAATGTAGATTCCCCAGAGAACACCAGGGCTTTCAAAATTCCCTAGGCTAGGGATGGGCACTCCAAATGTTGATTCTGTTCCAACCAGCATGGCCAGTAGTCAGAGTAGTCAGAATTGGTGGGGGTTATAATCCAGCAACCTCTGGAGGGCAACAGGTTCCCCAGGTTCCCTGCCCCAGACCATTCATTCTGCCCCAGCCCTCTTTTAGAATTTGAGCAGCGCCATCAACAGAGGCCTTCCGATTGCTCAGTCCCTCTGTGACAGCCCAGCAGCCCAACCAATCGTTGTTAAGAGGTCTCAACAACACCATTGCCACCCCGAAAGTCCTTTGCTGAATGCACAAAGGCTATCTTGAAAGGCCATCCGCAGGCCTCAACAACAAAGCGTCCGCTTCCGTTACCTATGACAACCCGACTGCGTGCTTAGCTAATTAGATTTTAAATTAAAAATCTTGCAAGGGAGATTTGAGATGCTGGAAGAACAGAGGATAATAACTCCCCCAACACGGAGCCAGGAAACTAATAGCCAGCCCAGGATTTAGAGGCAGGAGGAGGAGGAAGTCATTTTGTTGCGGTAAATGAAGGAACACCTTTTAATTTATTTTGGATTTAGGACATTAGTTCTTGAGCCATTACAATAAGCATCAGGCGACAAAGCCGTGCAGCGGAAAAGACTGCAAATACCCAAGAGCAGACGTCCCAGAAATGCACTGATGTGGCCTCAGAGAAATGGCTGTGTCTGTATTTGCTCAACTTCATGAGCTTCAGAGGACATAAATGCACCAATTTCAAGAGCTATTTGGACTGCTCCCTAAATTGGTTTTCTTTTACTGAATCCTGCCTGCTGTATCTATATCTTAGCAAATAATTTAACAACAACAACAACAACAACAACAGTAGTAGTAGTAGTAGTATATTTGTACCCCACCCATCTGACTGGGTTGCCCCAGCCACTCTGGGCAGTTTCCAGCATATATAAAAACGTAACAAAACATTAAACCTTAAAAAGCTTCCCTATACAGGGCTGCCTTCAGATGTTTCCTAAATGTTATGTAATTCCTTAACATCTGATGGGAGGGCATTCCACAGGCTGGTTGCCACTGCTGAGAAGGCCCTCTGCCTGGTTCCCTGTAGCTTCACTTCTCACAGCATGGGACCCGCCAGAAGGCCCTTGGTGCTGGATCTCAGTGTCCGTGCTGAATGATGGGGGTGGAGACGCTCCTTCAGGTATACAGGGCCGAGGCCACTTTAAAGGTCAGCACCAACACTTTGAATTGTGCTCGGAAATGTACTGGGAGCCAATGTAGGTCTTTCAGGACCGGTGTTATGTGGTCTTGGCGGCCGCTCCCAGTCTAGCTGCCGCATTCTGGATTAATTGCAGTTTCCGAGTCACCTTCTAAGGTAGCCCCACATAGAGCGCATTGCAGTAGTCCAAGTGGGAGATAACCAGTGCATGCACCACTCTGGTGAGACAGTCTGTGGGCAGGTAGGGTCTCAGCCTGTGTACCAGATGGAGCTGATAAACAGCTGCCCTGGACACAGAATTGACCTGCGCCTCCATGGACAGTTATGAGTCCAGAATGACTCCCAGACCTGGTCCTTCAGGGGCACAGTTATGCCATTCAGGACCAGGGTGTCCCCCCACACCTGCTGGCCCCCTGTCCCTAAAAACAGTACTTCTGTCTTGTCGGGATTCAACTTCAATCCATTAGCCGCCATCCATCCCATTACTCCACCACTGGATTCTGATAGTTTTCCCATTTAAAAAAACACCACAGGGTTGATTTGGAAAATACCAACCAATAACGCAATGCTGGGCTTCCTCAGTCCTCTGCCCCAACAATCCTCCAAGCACTTTATCACATGCAAGTTTTACTTATGTAATCAGATGTGCTGAGCCCCTCTGAGCCCTGGCTGGTGGTGCCATTGGACTCCAGCTCCCATCAGTCCAGCCAGCATGCACAATGGTGTTTCTCTCGTTCCTTCCCTGGGTAGCATGCAGCCGGGACATTTTGCACATGGGTTACCACACTGGTGCACCCAGTGGCAATTTTGATTCTCCTGCTTACAAAGATGATTCAGCCATGGCTTTCATCCCTTACCCTTTAAAGCCCTTCACGGCCTAGGACCCTTGTACCTACGGGACCGCCTCTCCCGGTATGCCCCACGGAGAGCCTCAAGGTCCATAAATAGCAACAACCTAGTGGTCCTGGGCCCTAAGGAAGTTAGATTAGCTTCAACCAGAGCCAGGGCCTTTTCAACACTGGCTCCGGCCTGGTGGAACGTTCTGCCTCATGAGACCAGGGCCCTGCAGGATCTGATTTCTTTCTGCAGGGCCTGTAAGACAGAGTTGTTCCGCCTGGCCTTTGGCTTGGAGCCAATTTGATTCCCTCCCCCTCTTTCTTTTTCCTTTTTCCTTTTTCCTTTCTCCTCCTGTGATGAGGCTGCATTTTAATATTTTAATGTTTCAATATTTTAATGGTTGTATTTTAATCTTGTTTTTAAATTGTATTCATTCAACTTGTTTTTATTATTGCTTGTAAGCCGCTCTGAGCCTGGCCTTGGCTGGGTATAAATAAAAATTATTATTATTATTATTATTATTACCGCAGTTCTCCTTGGTGTCCAGTGTGATTTAAATATGGAGATGTTGCCACCTAAGAAACACATGGCACATGTTATACATGTTTACTCAGAAGTACCCCCACTGTCTTACACAGGGCTTACTCTCAGGAAGGTGTACAGAGGATTGCAGCCTCCACTTCAGATCTCCATCAGACAGATGGAACTGGTTGGCCCACTCTTTCACCACTCATTTTAAGTCTTCTTCTGCTCCATTCAAGGTCTGAACTTGAACTTAAGCCAATCTCCTCTCTCTGATTTGCTGAGCTTTCGCAAGGGGCTCTGAGGTTAGACCTAGCAGCTCAGTTCTTGCAAAGCCTGATTCCCGCTTCTCTTCGACGGCATAGTGACCAAACACTTGGTAGCACCCAAGATTGAAGAGACCAAGAGGAAAACAAAATACAAGGAGGTGAGGAAGATTCAGGAAGTGAAGTGGAAGCAGTTTCTGCCCACACACAGACACCTCTCCCAGGCCAGTTTTCACCAGCACATCTGGAGGGCTGCAAATCTATATATTACTGCAGTATTAGATGGCATCTGGAAAATGTACTCTTTACATTAAGAGGCGAAGAGAAGGTATGTTCCGAGTTGGAAACATTTGCAGACTTTCATCCAAAGCCGAGTTATTGTCAGCCCACAGGAATGTAAAATTCTTTATTAACAAAGGGAAATAAACCACATCGTTTTTAGAAAACAGACATCTGTGATCCAGGCTGTCAGCAAGCAGTTCCCAAATTAATTCTGATACACTAAGAGACATTGAGGATACAGGGATCAAATTCATAGGCTAAGTCCATGCATCTGTCCCACTCACTGGCTTCCACAACACACCTCTGGAGCAACCTAGATCTCAAGCCTGCTCAAAGATGCTTCAGAGCTGGAACCTAGTTCCAGGCATAAAGTAAGTCTCCCAGCATTCAGTGGGGCCTGTTCCAAGGAAAGCACGCACAGGATCATAGCAAACCAACAATAAACTATTAAATGGGATTGCATGCTGGAAGGCACAGTCCCATTACTTGGGAGGGGGTGGTATTCTAACCTGTGCCAATCATATCACAATAATTATGGGTCTTTTAAAAAGTAACCACAGCAAATGCTCTTAAAGCATGCTGTTTCTGGGAAATTTAATTTGGCAATTTAACTCCCAGGGTATCAAAAAAACCTGGCCTTTACATCACCTTTGTGCCTTCCAGATGTTTTCAACTACAACTTCTATCAGCTCTAGCTCACGTGGCCAATAGTCAGGGATGATGGGAGTTGTAGCCTAGCAACATCTGAAGATCGCCAGACTGGAAAAATATGCTTTAAACCCTTGATCATTATCTCTTCTATTTGCCCCCACCACCTTCCAAAATCTGAAATGCTGCCCTGTGATCAAACCCCACTTTTAAAAGATGCTCGTTGGCACCAGTAGGGCAGAATGCAGGTGGTCGCAACTGGGCATGCACCAGTTGCAAAACACGCCAGAGGAATTTTGAACACTGCACAGAAGGACCAAGAGGGTCCCGCTTTGTTGATGGCAACACTCAAGTGGGTCTGTAGGGGAAGAAGGTCACCTTTCAGAGACCTATGCAAAATGAGTAATAAAAAATAGGTCAAGATGTTTTACAAGTTTAAAGAACTATTCAGATATTGTTTTATCCATGGGTGAATTTATGCAAATTTAGTTAATCAACCAACCAAAATTTATACAATCAGCCAACTAAGGTTTCTTTAATTGGGTCACTAGTAAACAGGAGCAGCTGATGTACAGAACACAGGACGAAATATATACAGTAGTCTACTAGTAGCCTCATCCCTGGTATTGCTTGGAGTAGTTACAATCAGTGCAATTTCGAAAGGTTCAGTCCACCATCTTGATTCAAAGTGATGTTCAGTTGTATCCAAACACAGGCAAAAACCTGCTCATGGATCTCAGGAATCATCACACAAATTTTGATTATATTTTAAGAGATGTCCGAATGCATAGCTAACAGGCAGCTGTCCAAATACATAGCAGATTTACGGTGCAATCCTATACATGTCTGCTTAGAAGCTAAGCCCTGTTGAATTCAAGTGTGTACAGGATTGCAGAGCCTGAATAATTCTATTCCAGGAGGGAAATTGTATTTTGTTTTGTATTCATTTCCCACCTTCATATTTAAACTTTATTCCACGTTTTGGAATTGCATCTGCATCTAATTAAATATATTCTGCTAAGGTGTTGCACAAAAGAATGGAACATAAAATCACTTCTGTGTGGTAGAATCAAGGTACCAGTAATATCTTTCAGATGCCTGCAACTAAGCCTATCAAATTGCTCCTTCCAAAATCTTTTATCTGCCCAAGTGAGAGAGGTGCTGTGAGAAACACGAGAGGGTCAAAGTTAATAAACTGATCTTGGAAAACCTGTGGTCTGCCCAATTCTACAAAGAACAGCAACAAGGAAAAGGACATCGGTGACATCACCAGCCAATAAACCAATCCATGGTCTCTGCCACCTTCCTTATTTGCAAGTTTCAAAATTCCAAGCAGATTTCAAGCATTTCCATCCTTGGATGGGCATGTCATCAACAGCTATCAATGAAATAAAATCCTGTCACAACAATTAACAATGAAAACTCCCAGGCAACATCCAAACCATCAAAATGACTTTGATAGAAGAAGGAAGATTCTTCTCAGAAACAAGGTGTCATCCTTCCCCTAGAAAAGCACTTTCTGCATTTATTTCCGTGTGCTGGGAACTGTCTGTGCCATTTTACCTGGCAGACAGTGTGAGCAGCGATGCTTCTGCATCAATTCTCAGGTGGGGAGCAATACTCCAACTGGCCAAGAGTGAGTCAGACAATGAGAACCAAATCTTTTCAATCATAACAGTGCGGCTCGGAAACTCAGAAACAATCTGACAGTTCAGTCACTTCCAACTTCAGCCCAAGAACCCAATGGAACCTAGTAGGCCACCAGTGGATCCCACTCAGCAAGCTTTCTGCTACCTTTTTTGTCAAATTGGAGCATTTGAGAGACACTAGTGAATGCTTTTACCTGCACAAAGGTAGCCAATTTGCCATGCCACTCAAGCAATAGCATTTATATGACAAAGTAGAGAGAGATTTCAGAAATGGAACTGCATTGGTGTATATCAAAATTGAAGAAACTAATAAACTAATAAACCAGCCATAACTAGGTCCTGTTTATTACAACTGATAGCCCACCATTCAGGATACAGAACCTCTCTTTTTTTTTTAACAAAGCACTGGCTACAACCAGAGTAAAATCAGTTCATCTCACCTCCCACAAGAACTATGTAGCCTTAAACAAGCCATTCTCTCTCAGCCTCAGTTATCCCCTCTGCAAAGTGGAGATAATACCATAGGCATACCTGACAGGGGTGTCACATGGATTACAAGAGTACATTATCAGCAGCATCAAAACACTCCAGTTCAATGCAAACACTTATTACTATTACTATATTTAATTTTTAATTATTTTAATTGCTTTTTTTAAACTGCTGCACTCTTCAAAGGCGTTTGCTTTGCTTTTTTTATACATGGATGCTCATTTCAACGTTTCAATCAAATTGTTTTATTGTGCATTCTTATTTACACGCCATTATATTATCTTGTAATTGGTTTTATACTTGTAAGTTGCTTAAAAGGTGTGTTTGGCAATTAAGCAGTATATATATATTCATTCATGAGAATACTGCGGATTATTACTACTATGATGCTGAACTTGGAAGAAATTTGACAGAGAAAGTGAAACAAATGTGCAACTATTGTGGAATGGAGATGGGAAAGTAGATTATTTGGGAGAGGGACTGTGAGAAGAGGAGAGGAATAGTAGAAATACAATTCCAGGACCAGTTCCTCCTAAATAATGAGCTTTGGGGAAAGAGAGGAGGTCCCAAACCTCTCTAAAGCAGCCTTCCAGCGCCTCATTATGCAAACAAGGAATGCCAAAGATGTAAACTTTGAAAGGTAGGTGTCAAAACAACAATAAATCAACTCCCAACTCTTGATTCCCTTCCCACATCAGCCATGCTTCTCTCTCTGCCCCCTCCCAAAGCAATGCTCATTTTGCTTAAAAACACACCCATACACACCCCTTTTTGCCCCTTTACACCGAGCTAAACGCTCTTATCTGCGCCCTCCAAACCACACGCCCCTCGCAGTTGAAATAAGGGGGTGGCGGCAAAAGGAGGTGGGGGGACATGACCCCCTGGAGGAGAAGGAAGAAGCGCAGGGACACCAGCCAACCCACCCGCCTCCAATCCGCCAGGTCCTTCTAGGAGCGAGGAACCGAAAGCAGAGCCGAGAACGCGCCTCGTTAGAGGAGAGGGCCCTCCGAGGCGCAAAGGGAGAGGGAGGCGAGAGGCACCGCGGGCTCCAAAACAGGCCGCTATGGAGGGGAGACGCGGGGTAGGTGGGTGGGCTGGAAAGTCAGCTGCTACAGCTTTCGGAAACCCGGGTGGGGAGGGTAGGCACGGCCGCCGCGTTTCGGGGGTGGGGTTCCCAACCCCCTTTATTTCCCTTTTCCCGCGAGGAGGGTCTCTAAGCGAACGCTCGGCGCGCGCAAAAAGGGAAGCGGCGGAAAGTAGCCACAATTCCGTCCCCGGCGTTCCAAAAGGCGCTTCGGCGTTCCAAAAGGGCCCCTCCCCCGCCCCGCTCCCCACCCCCAACGTTCCAAAGCTTACCCGCGCCACTCGAGGAGGGGAGACGCGCGACACCGCTGAGCTGCCGGGGGAAGAAGCAGGATAGGGCTAGCCGAAGATATGGGTAGGGAGAGCGCGCTGGGTGTTGCAAGGATCCTCCTGCCGCCGCCGACCCCTCCCCTGTAGGAGAAGAGCTACGCCCGCTTCTCCCTCCCCGCTCGCTCCCCCGGTCTACCTACGTTAGTTCCCTCGCAGTTGTTCCTCCTCCGTATCCAAGACCTTGGAGAGGGGGGCAGGTTGGTCGCTGGAGAAGGCGCTCCTTTTAATGTATGCTGGCGTGGCCGCTCGCTGGATCGCCTCTCCCTCCCCGATGGTCACACAGATCCATTGCAAACACAGGAGGGCAACGTAACGGCGGGCGAAGCTGCCTTTCTCTCTGCCTCTCTTAGCCCCCCCACCTTTTCCCCTCCCCAAGCCTAGCGGCCGGTTGTTTGAAACGCAGCTGTGTAACACACCCCTCCTCCCCGTAGGAAGGCCGCCTCGCCACAAGTGGCACAGATTTGAGGAGGAAAGCGGGGGGGGGGGGAGGGTGTCGAGAACACGGCGGGAGGGGGGAGAAAGAGGAGGGGCTCACAAAGGACCAGAGCAGCTCCCAAATTTGGCTGGGAGTTTGCCCTCCCCCTAATTTCCCTTTCCATTGGGGTTCTTCAGACCCAAGACGTGGTGGCCTCGGTCCGTCACGCGCAAACACATGGCATGCGGACCCGAGCAGCACATTATATCAAATTGCGACTCCTCAGCACTGCGCTCCCGGGCTAAGAGACAAGCTCAACAAGTATACGACCAATTTAATAATAATAATAAGGCATTTCGGACAGTGCTGCAAGTAATTGGTAGGTGGGCAAAACTCAGTGTTACTCTGTGTAGACCCATTAAAATTAATAGACCCAAGTGACTCGTGTTCATTATTTTCAGTAGATCTACTCTGAGTGATCTAGCAAACTGGCATTGGCTACAACCCATAATCTAACATTTTGAAAAAATCAAAAACTCATTTCCCGTGTGTTTTTACTAATGAGCAACATTAAAATACTGAGACCTCCCCCAGGGTAGCAACTGGTTTAAGCTGCTGCTGTATACAGAGTCAGGCCCTTAGTGCACACAGCTCAGTATTGTCTACTACACTGACTGGCAGTGGTTTCCCAGGGTTTCGGGGAAGGGACATTAACAGCCCGACCTGGAGATGTTGGGGATTGAACCTGGGACCTTTTGTAAGCAAAGCAGATGCTCCTCTGAGAGATGGCCCTCCCAATAAGATGTCCGGTCCACCCAACCCTCCTAGTGGGTCAGTGCACACTTGTTGGCTTAGAAGACCAAGGCAGTAACATTAGATGCAGTAATGAGGTCCCTGTTGATTCAGGGGGAGGAAAAATCTGTACCCAGTATGTTGCAGGACATCTTCAGGAAAATAAAAGTCTAAGGAGTAAACCCTACACAAATCTGGAATGGAGCCCCTAAGATGGTTGGATGGTGCCTTGTCCTCCTGCTTCTGGCAACTCCTGGTCCTAAATGACTTTCTCTGCTTTCCTTTGGACCACATCAGCAAGGCCAAGAGAGGTATCTTGTCATCTGGGCAGCCCAGGACCTCCATACACACCACCCAGGCTTGTGTCCCAGGGAGGTTACTTTGGTGCTGCAAATGCAGAAGACGACACCAGTTGGAGCCTCTAGACCAGACACACAAGGGTAGCCCCATTGTATTGCAATAAAGGAGTATTGAGACTATCAGTGCTCAGCCTGGATAGTTCAGTTGGTTAGAGCATGGTGCTTATAATGCCCAGGTTGCAGGTTCGATCCCCATAGGGGACAGATGCATATTCCTGCATTGCAGGCGATTGAACTTAGGTGATCTGTTGGGTCCCTACCTGATTCTATGAATCACCGTGGCCTCAACTATCCTTGTCCAAGAATGGCCATAATTGATACACCAGCTGTAGTAGGTAAAAGTCAATCCTGGCCACTGGGCCTCTAGTGACAAAAAGAGATTCGGGAGAACACCCAGACTCAGGAACCTCCAGCCTACAGCGCCTCAGTCTTCCCAGGGTTCAGGATCAGTTTACTGGGCCCCATCCAGTCTGCCATTGTGCCCAGACCATGGTCCAGATCAGTGTTTCCCAAACTTGGTTCTCCAGCTGCTTTTGAACTACAGTTCCCATCATCCCTGACCACTGCTAGCTGGGGTGATAGGAATTGTAGTCCAAAAAATCTGGACACCCAAGTTTGTGAAACACTGGTCCAGATGGTGCACAGCCTCTACTGACTGAGATGTTCTGGAGAAGCAGAGCTGTGGGTCACCAGAACAGTGATGACACTTCCCCCAAACTCCAGTCTGCCTCCTGTAGAGACAGGTGCTTTCCCCCTTCTCCAAAACAACCAGTCCACAGAACATAATGAGCATGACAAAACCAGAGTAGACAAGCATTGCCAGCTCAGGCTGATGGAAATTGTAGTGCAAAACATCTGGAGGGCTTCAGATCCAACACACCCACCTTTCAGATTACGTGTGATAGGTGTGATTTTAAGGACCAAGCTAAAAAGATTAACCGTCTGGTCCTGTATAAGGCAATCTCATGCAAACTGGGTTTGATGAGTCAGGCCTAGTCAGTCTCGCCTTCCGCCCATTCATCACAAGGTACCCAAGCATTCTAGACGGGCAGAGCCCTACTTGTGTCACCTGGGCTGGTATTTTTAGCATCCATTAGCACACTTTGCAAGGTAGCATCCATAAATAGAGCACCATCTCATCTGCCCCAAAAAACAAACAAAAATACCCTCAGTTACTATCCTTTATTGACACATATTAAACCTCAGGTTCCTCTCATGTGCTTTGCAATCTGAACTGTTTGTGGGGAGGGGGTTGCCCCACCAAGCTCAGTCTACCCTCAGCCAGCACCCCACCTACTTAAATGCGCCATTGGGGGTGAGGCCAAGCTTTTGGAAGCTTGCAGCACCTTGCTGTGGTCGCAGAGACCGATATGGGAGAGACATGTTTTGTTTTTCAAAATTTTTTATTCATTTTATAACAAATAAAAAACACAAATAGAAAAACAAACAATACAAACAAATTCTTGTCATATCCTTATTTTCCTAAACATTGTTAAGTGGGCTTCCCCAAGTCCCACCTATCTGATTTTCATTTTACTTCATCTTTAGCAGTTTACATATATCATAGTTTCTAACCATCTTTTTTTTTATCACACTGAAAATAACTTCACATTTTATTGCTTACAAATAATGTTATTTTAAAATAAACTATCTTCTACTTCTAACCCTACAGCCTATATCCACTTCTAAAGCTATTCTAAGATTTAAATATTAACATATTTTTTCAAATATTCCTTAAACTTCTTCCAGTCTTCTTCCACCGTCTCTTCTCTCTGGTCTCAGAGTCTCCCGGTCAGTTCGGCAAGTTCCATATAGTCCATCATCTTCATCTGCCATTCTTCCGATAGTTGGTAAATTTTGTTTCTTCCATTTCTTTGCTAGCAGGAGAGACATGTTTTGTTGCAGCTGGGGCAGATGAAGACATCCAGTTGTGCTGCTACAGATGCACCAGGGCGTTTGCTCTCTCTGTGTTCCTCTCAGCAGTCATTTCTCCTCTGCTCACTGCTATGGATACACGACCTGACTGCCTATCTCCAGGTACTGTGGTTGTCTGCAAGGGATCCCCACAAGGCAGAGTTGGTGTTGCTAGCTGCCACATCATGTGCCAGCTGCAGACATCTTTGTAACACGGATGGTCTGCCAACTGGCCTGGTGCTGAAAGCCAGCTCCCCATAGACCACATCCTTGGGGATCCTGCCATCTTCCATACTGTGGACATGATGAAGCCAGCGGAGACAAAGCGGAGGCACCGTAAAACCAATCAAGGGGGTGGCAATGGTTGTCAGCTTCCTCCTCCTCCTCTGGGTTTATTTGTGTCCTTCAATTACATTCATGCTTCTTGCTTGTCTGGAGAGAGATGTACATGTATGTAGCTGGGCTGTAGCCTACTGTACAAGGGCAACAATCACATCCAGTGCTTCACCTGCTTACCTGCTGCAAACCAGTTGAGGGGGTGGCAGTGCCAACTTCTCCTCTGTAGCAGTGTTGCCTTTGGAGAACTTGGCAGGGAGAGTGGAGGCAAAATTCATTGGCTCCAACTCTACCCGCCGTTGGCTCTGACTCCACCTACTGTTGGCCTCCCTGCATTCCAGCCCACCTGTCCCAATGGGCCACACTCACCATTGGTTTGTGCCCATTAGGGAAAGTGGGCTGAAATCCCCACCCCCACCCTGTACTAGGGATTAAGCGCTGTGAAACAGTGGCTCATATGCCCAGGATTGCACTGCTAGACAAATAAATTGGACCAAATAAATAAAAGTGCCTGTTACTGTATTTATATCGTCTGCAGGATCAATACAACTTTAATGATGGAAAAAAATGGAGCTGAAGTCTGGAACCGAAATAAAGAGCTATTACTCATCTTTAGGATATGACTGTCAAATGCCCAAAAGGTACTTCCTTTGTTTTTCTTTTTAAAGAACGGTTATTCCTATGAATCATGGTTAGCCTGTGGCCAGCTATAATTACTCAAATGTTCACTCACCCAGTGATCCATCCTTTGGAGTGCTGTGCATGTCATTTTCTGTCTGACTTAAAGAATATTCCACGTTTTGCATTTGTGGATTTTTGTCTGGCTTTCAAGCCATTTTATTATAAATGGGAGGAGGGCAAAGTGCACTTTTACAATCAGGCAGATTTAAAAAAAAAAACAAAAACCAACACTGCTATTTGCCTAGCGCCAATGACTTTTTATCATTTCAAGCTGGCTTTAAGTACAGCCAGCAAATGATTGCTAAAATATTAATCATCCAGTCTTGTTTCAAAGCATAGGTCAGAGAGAAGGCATGGAGCTTGATAGAACTGTAGTAAAGTGAATTGACAACACAGCTTACAATACGAAATCCAGAATTTTAAAAAAGCAAGACATCAACAGGACTATTGACAAGAGTTTTAGATCAGATGAGCAGGGCCTGAAACAAAACATTGCACTGTATCCTCATCCCATAACAGAAGTGCTCATCTGTCAGCCAGCCAGCCTCTCCGTACTTGAGACTCTTATGTATTTGGGAAAGTCTATTGCTTGTCTGTCTTGTTTGCCTCCTATGTGTTTGGACACCACTCAATCTATCACCAACTCAGAACAAGGGTTCCTGAGGAGGCAGGGGCAAGCTTTGCTGATGTTTGGATGCCAAGACCATTTTGAATCAAGATGGACCAAAACATGACTTTGGCAAAACTTCATAACATTGGCTTGACGGGTCCAAACTCACGTATTACACCATCCATTTATAAATCACAATTTATTTTTGCTTTTTAAAAATTCCCTGGCAGCATCAGGCACTCCCCACTTGTGTACCATATATTTTGGGAAGCCGTTTGTTCTCTGGTCTGTCCACTCTGTGGGTCCTGATGCCAGTTATCATCGCCAAACTCAGTAGGAGGGTTCCCGAGGTCGTGGCAGCAGTCGATACTGGTATGGCAGACACCATTTTGAATCAAGATGGAAGACTGAAATGTCACTGTGGGGTGACTTCACTCATTTTTGGTGATAGGCTTGTCCACCTCTCACTGTATCACCACCAAACTCAACGCGAGTGTCCCCGAAGTGGAGGCAGCGCTCTTCGTCGAAGTTTGCATGCAGGGTGCCATTTTGAATAAACATGGCAGACCAAAACATGATTTTGGTGTGACTTCACCCAGTTTGGTGTGACAGGCCCAGACTGCAGTGAGAAAGAGCTTGCCTTAGCTTTGGGTCGACTGGCTTCAAGTATTACAGCCGAAAGCTTGGTATAATTGTTCATGTAGTTTGTTTGCTAAAAGCAGAGAATTTTAAAAAATTAATTTTTATACACTGTTTGGTATTTCTAATATATAGCAATTAATAAAGTCTGTAAATAATAAATCTTGAGTAAGCAGATTCCTGTTTCAGAGGAACACCCAATTTGACTCCAATCCTGCTGGCACTCAACTGCTGTTATACATCTCTATGACAGCTGACTGCATCCAGTCTTGACACAAAATGTTTATTATTTTCTTGAGCTTTCACACATTTCAGTAAATAATGCTTTAAAAAATTAACTTAAGTTTATCAACCAACCAGTATTTTAATTAAGCCTACAGGCATCAAGTCTTTGCATAGACTTAAAATATATAAAAAAATGAGCCTCCCAGATTAAATTTAAGGTGGCTGTAATTGCCTATAACCCCCCAAAATGGCCTGGGTCCAGCTTATCAGAGATTTCCTCCACCCCTACATTTCCCCCAAACAACAGTAACCCAAGGAAGTCACGACTACAAGACCACTAACATTTCAAAATGCTCCTCTGGTGAATGAGGTTGGCAGTCAGAGTCACATCCATATCATGCATACAGTGGTACCTCGGTTTAAGCAGTCTGGTTTTAAGAACAATTTGGTTTACAAACTCCGCAAAAGCGGAAATAGTGTCTTGGTTTGAGAACTTTACCTTGGTCTAAGAACGGAATCCAAACGGTGGAAGGGCACCGGCGGCGGGAGGCCTCATTAGGGAAAGCGCTCCTCAGTTTAAGAACGGTTTTGGTTTAAGAATGGACTTCCGGAATGGATTAAGTCCGTAAACTGAAGTACCACTGTATTTAAAGGACATTTGTACCATTAAGTCACAGCTTCTCCAAAAGAACTGGTTTGTTAAGGGTGCCGATAGTACGGTAGCTGTGAAACCCTGATTTCCTTCACAGATACAATTCCCAGAATGGTTTATCCATTTGTCTTCTCAGGGAACTCTGGAAATCGTAACTCTTAAGGGTAATAGGGGTTTCCTAGCAACTCTCAGCACCTTTACCTAACCACATGCCAGGGTACTTTGGGGGGAAAGCTACAACTGTTTAAAGTGACATGAGAGTGCTTTAAATGGGTGGTGTGGATGTGTGCCAGCTCAATTTAATGTAGGTGGGGGGAGCCAAACAGAGGAAGCAATGGAATGGGAAGGAAGCCCTCTGCAAGTGGTCAGTTCAGACTTCTGGAAAGAGCTCTGACCCTCTCCTGACAGCCAGCTGGACAGAAGAAATAATATTATTTTTAAAAACCTTGCCTCACCCAACCTGCAATTTCCATCCATCTGTTGTAGTACTGCTGTTTGGAGCAACAGGAAACAGGAACTGTCTCTGGGTGGCCCACTTTTTTTTTATTTTTATTATTATTATTATTAATTAAATTTCTACACCACCCTTCATATGTGGATCACAAGGTGGTTTACAATACAAAAACACCTGAAACAGAGGCAATAGAACTGCTGAGGATGCTGCCTGCTTTCTAGGTGGATGAATCACTACTGTGAGCTTGCAAAGCACAGGCAGAGTTACATACACACAAACTATTTGGGATGCATTAAGTTTGTAGGAGCAGGGTGCTGCAGAATTCCATACATAATTCATCCATTAAAACCAACACAACCTGGTTGGTCCTTATATACAACCTTCTATATGTATTCATTACCTACAATGTGTAGGAAAGGCTCTTGACAGGACCACTGACCAGCAACACCTACACCTACACCTACACAAGTGTTCTTACTGGTGATCGCCAACTCTGGAGCCCTCCCCCTTTCTTCATCTATGTATGTATAGGGTGTTATGTTTAAGCAAACCGCAAGCAGCTGTGGTTTGATTCACCACTTTACCAAATCACATATCCAGACAATGGATTGGGTGCAAAGAACTGTGAGCGAAGGAGGATAAAATGGATTGGTAATGTTCCAGGAATTATTGTGCAAGAGCTAACAGAGAATGACTTCTCTCCTCTGCACAGAGCCACTATACATCAGGAGTACAGTAATAACATACGTTGATGCAAGGAAACTTGTGGCTGGGTGGGGGAGTTCATGAAAAGAGCTTGTGTAGAGTCTTTCTTCTGTAAAGCAGGAAACAGTTCTTCCAGGGCAGGGAGGCATTCCCACTAATGGAAGAGGGGTTTTTGATGGTTTCACCCCAATCAATGGTTACCTCTTCTGTATAGAACAGGCAGGACATACAGATCAAAATCTTCAAATGAGCACATATGCATCCCTGGAAGAATGCACTTTTGCAACTGATCGCAAGGTTTGCAAGCTGCCTCATGCACTGATCTTGACAAAAATAGAAAAAGGAACAGTGCATAAATACTGTATGGCAATACACACATAACTACGACGTCTCTACATTTCTGTTTATTGAGACAAACTAATTAAAAGGCACAAACATGGGGCATATGTTTACATGACATTATAACAAACATATACATTAAAAGTGTAGGAATGTGTTCTCTTTCTGCTACACAGGAAGTTCCTAAGCTTTTATATATACAAAAGTTGTACAATTTGATGTCCTAAGGTACAAAAGATCATTTATAAAATTATTTTACACTAAGTTCTATTATTCCCCCCCCTTTTTTACTATGTAGTCCAAGCCCCTAGAATTGTTTTCACATAATCTGGCCATCTGTCTCCTGACCCCAGACGTATGCCTCAAAAGTACGGAATATGTTGCTTTTACACCGACACGATGGGTATTAACACAAAAAAAAACACACCAGTGGGCTTGACCCTCACAGGCTTTCCTGCATCCCATTAAAATAAAAGTATTGATAGCCACTTTGTCGTGAGGCCCCTGGTTCCAATCAATAGCCACCTGGCTGCTCCTCCAATTATTTCTCACGTCATCTTGTTTATAGGACAGGTCTTAATGAAGATTAAAAAATGTTTGTGACATGATAGCCTAAAAAAGTAACCTCTTCCCTAGATTTTCCATCCTACTTTTTAAGTACAGATAAAAAAAGTTGAAAGAAACGTGTAGCTGTATTTTTTTTTTTTTTTAAATGAGACCATCGGGTGGGGGAAAGGGGCATTTCTCCTTCACTGGATAGGTCAGATAGTTACTGGGAAACCCCCCACAAATTGATAACTATGGGTTAACACAATTAACTAAAAGTAAAAATGATTTGGGGGGGGGGTTCTCCTGCAAATATTTACAAAGTTGAAGAGATCTGCACAACACTTGATTAAGGAGAAGGGAAGAAAGAAAGGGGCTTTAAAAAAAGAAAAGAACACAAAACAATAAGATGCACACTTGGCTTGTCCTGAAGGGGCATCCTAACTAGTTAGTGGTTAGAATAAAAACTGTATATCATTTTATAATATAAGACAAAAAACTTCTAGTGAACAACACCTGCTCTCCTTTGTCAACACAGTCAGCAGGTTCTGATTGGGAGAATGGGGGGGCATACATACATCATACCCCAGCATCTCCACAGTCTTCTAGCTTAAAGCATTGTTTTTCTGTGTTCCAAAGCCCATTATTTGCTCTTCCGAAAGAGTCCCAACTGGGTTTTGAGCAGAGACCATGCTTGTGTAGGTTTCAAATCCTCTTCCACCAGCCACAGCTGTTCCTTGCCAAACATTGAACAGTTTTTTTTCTCCTTTTTAATGTTGAATATGATGTTATATTCCCTTAGGGTAATATGTCTCGTAGTATTTACATCTCCAAATATCAGGTCACAATCCCTAGTTATGTATATGTTGCAGGTAGAATGATAAGTTACCATATGCTTTGCATATCAGAGCTGGTATCACTTTTCCCATAGGGAATTCGGCCTGAAATTATCATATTCCCAAAAGGTAAAATGCATAATTACTCAAAATGCATTTTCTTAAACAAAACAAAAAAAGGACCATGTAATGCATTTACTTAAAAAAACAACACTACAAACACTACGTTCTGAATCAGAGGGACACAGAGCTGGCAAGTGATCCATCTCCATCCTATGATAATATGGAGGGCCTTTCTTAAGCCTTCTAGTGTTCAGGTTAAAACCGTTTCTTCATTAGATTAAAACTGTTTCTTCATTCGCAATTTCCAGGGCTATCAGCAATGCTGATTTATTTATTTTTTTAAAAAATGACTGGATTCAACTCCGATCTGTTCCTCTTCCAACATCACTGCCAGCTTGAAGGAAACAAATGTGGTCCAGTAATATAGATCAACAGCCAGCTAACTAAACAGAGACACTATAATAGTTTTCCATTTTTAAAAACTGTGCATGATTATTATTATTATTTTTGCCCCAGCTGAATTAGCCTGGTTTCATTACCGCTGTTAACTAAAACGAAACAAAAACAAACGAAACAAAAATATAATTGCTGGTAAGGACTTGCTTTTCATTCCTCTTTTTAATACTGCTGTGAGTTTTTGTTTGCTTGTTTTTACCATGGGGGAGAGGTTGGCAATGCCTGGGGAAGGAAAGGCATGCTCTCCACTGGCCTCATTGCTATATTTAATGGACCAGCTAATGTCATTGGCGTCGGGAGGTTCATGGGTGAGGTTATAGTGACCGGATGTGCTATGTTCACTGGAGCAGTTACTGAAGTTGGTAAATTAACAGGTGTGGTGAGTGTTAACGGAGAGGTCATAGACAACGGACTGGTAATGGTGACAGGGTGGCCTAGGCTCATCGGGCTGGAGATGTTAACTGCGCTTGATACATTGACTGGGCTTCTCATGTTCATTGCAGCAGCCACTGTGACTGGGTTGGTGATGGTCCCAGATGCCACTGAGGAAGTTATATTGAAGGGAGTAGAAAGAGTCACAGGCGTAGTGGCAGCAGTGGACGTTTGGCACAGGTTAGCAGCTTCTAAAAAACAAGAAAGAGATATAAAAAGAGACCAAAGGTTGTTTTTTTCCTAAACATTAAAATTAAAGACACCCCAGAGAAGACTCTGAACCCCTGGCAGGGCAGTCCTTAGAAGGGTCCATTAAATAATGGATGGCTAGTCCATTACATAAACCTTACTGCAATTTTTTGTGGGTTCATACCTGTACTCTTGCAAAGCCAGCCCTCCATCTCTAAGTATCCCTTCCCACTGCAACACACGGTCCCCTCCGGCTCCAGGCCCTCATTGCTGACAGTTCACTCCTGAGCAGAGAGAATGTTTTGATCCCCTCACAGCAGCTCAGCCAATGGCTACGGAGTGCTTGCAGGCCAACAAATTAACCATCAACCTGCAGCTATTCTCAGGTTTCCTGGTAATCTGGCAAAACCACTGGATTTTTTTTTTAGAAAACTAATGGCAGTCAACAAATTCTCAGTTCTCTCTCTGCAACAGTTAAGTATCCTCAAACAGCATCAACTTGGGAATAAGATCATTAAATACAATTAATTCTACAGCCTAGGTTAACTTCAATCATGCAATTCATCTGAATTAAATACATTTCCTTTGAAAGTTCTTTTTTAAAATATAAAAGGGGGATTTGTTCATAAAAACAGCACAGTATTAGCAGAAAATCCTCTCATGAGGAACATTATAAGTAGAGGAGAGTGTACATACCGAATGGTACGTACTCTATAGCCTTCTCAAAGTTGTACTGACATTCTGTGAAGGTTTTAAAAAGTCATTATTAGGGACCAATACATAAAGCTGGTTTCACTATTTACCTGCTTAAGATCAATTTAAACCACAGTTGGCGGAATAATTTAGTAAGTGTAACTTCTTACTAAATTACTACAACACCCCAGTCAGTAAGGTGTGTGCATCAAACCCCACTGGGCACACAGCTTTTCAGGTTGGCTAAAAGTTACACACCAGTGTTTCCTTTAGAATTTTGACAAAGAGTTAGGCTTATACTGTACACCAGAAGGACCCTTGGGGCTAACTGTGGGGAGAATAAGCAGGAAGCGTACATGGTAGAGGTAAATACCTCTAGTATATCAGCACCACCTGCTGGCTAGCCATAGAATACTTATGCTCACATACAGGGGGAAAAGAAAAGGATGTGCAACTAACTCCTCTAGTTATGGCATGAAAACAAACAGCTAGCTGCTCTTGGAAACCTCAACTTAGGCAAGCTCCAGGCATAAAGCCAAGGCATAAAGTTGTTCACAGACTTGCTAGTGCATCAAAGCCAGAATCTCTTTCAGGTAGCAACTTGCGTGAAGCCTTGGTTATGCCATGCTATAGCTCAGCTGCACAACAGACAGACTGTATCCCACCCTTCAAAAGGTGGGCCTCACACTGCACAACTAGGGAGGGTGAGATTAAGAAAAGACTGGCAGGGGCAAAAGGTGCTTGGGTAGACAGGGCTCTAGCCCCTATACAATTCCCCAGGGTGCTTAGTTCTTAGTGACAGGCAGCTAGTGTTATTGTCAGAGTCTGGAAACTGCCGCCTTGTAACCCACAAATGTGGAGGAACTGTATCTGGGGAATTAGATTCTAAGAGAGCCAAGGGTCTGGTCTTACCATACAAGCTATATAAATGTATCTGACCCTACCTTGCTTGACTGAAGTTGGCCTCAGTGTCTGTTGACTTTCTGCAATCAAAATTGGAGGTGGAGGAAAGGTGTTGCAATTAAGCCATTCAATTACATTTCTCTAGTTTCCCCCTACTCTCTAGTATAACCGAGGTGGCTGCATTTACACACGAGCATGAAACTGTCATGTCTCACTTTAAAATTTCTAACCAAAGCCAAGTGTTCCCAGGCAACATAGGCTCTCAAACTGTGAGGCAAAAATCTATCCCAGTACTATCTACTCTTACTAGCAGCCACATACAAAGTCTTCAGAGAACCAGGGGACTTTTCAAGCTCAGCAAATTTGAGATTTTTTAAACTTAAGATGCCACGGGTTGAATCTGACATCTGCCACCTGTGAAGCATGGGGTTTTTCAACTGACCTACAGCCTCTCATCGTGCCCTGATCTGCCACCTATTGCATACAGAAGCTGCCAGCACTCCAGTCCTGACCATCACATTCCTTAGGATACTATGCATGCACAATACTGCCCTGCATTTATAACTGTTGGAACCTAGGTGCCAATAATTCAGTGTGCACCAATGTGACTTGCCATCACAAGAGAAAATGAATTAAGGAGCACCCAGACTTTAACAGTGCAAGAGAAAAAGAAGCAAACACAAGTAGGGCATCCAGGCTTCCTGGTACCTCTGGGATGAGCACATCCTGACTTATGTACCAAGAAGCCAAGACAGGATGCATCCTGAAGTCAGATCTTTCCGTTTGTTCACTGGGCTGCTTTGTGCTGTGGCTGGTGTTTCTGCAGCAGAGCCAATGGGTTCCACTTCTCAATGGAATGCAACTTTTGTTCCTTTTGTGCAAGTGGTTCAGAATCGATTAAGACTGAAGTACTTTTCACTCGCACTCCGGTCATCCTTTCTCATGCTATCTCCACAGCCAGGCAACAATTATTTGAATGGTTTCTTTTCTTGACATTCCCTTTTCTTGCATTCTGAGGTATAAAAATGCTCGGTCTACATCATGTGTGAAAACTCTGTCTTCCAAAAATCAATGGTTAAAACTGCCTTAAGAAATGGCCAATGCCTTCTGCTTCTTGCCCAAGAAAGTCGGCCATACATGCAATTGCAGGCTCAGTTTCCACCAAGTTGTCAAACCATCCCTGTTCCTAGGTTGCGGGGGTTTCTCTCCCAGTTCAGTCTTTGCACCCTATAGAGAGTTCAGCATTCCACAGGTCCCCACCCAGCTACAACTCTAAGAACAGTCTCTCCAACCCCAGGTTCCCTGGTACTGTGTGCATGCACAATTCATAAAAAATAGGGCAATGAAAATTAAGATGCCAGCAGCCACCATAAGCACCAGAGGAAGATGAAGGAGGAAATGGCAACACAAGAAAGAAATGCAGGTGTTTGGTGGGGCTAAAATATGACGTCAGTTATTGAGGAACTGGAGTTCACCTCAACACACCTTTATTTGGGAAGGAAGGGAAACTCTGGGTCCTAAGGAAGACTCTATGCATTAAGCATTAAGAGCATGTCAGGATCGTATACATAAGCAACCTGGATTTGCATTGGGGGAACCCAGGTTCAAATCCCTAGTCAATCATAAAATTGAGTAATAACCTTGAACCAGTTACATTCTCAATTTATCTGTGAAGCCAAATTAGCATGAAGCTGTGCATGCTGCCATTGGAGGAACAGGATTATAAGATTAAATATTGCTACATCTTTCACTAGAAAGAGTGGGATTTAGTGTTCAGGATTCAGCATCCCAAGAAGTCTTAGCTTTTTCAAAGGGAAATTAGAAGAAAGCTTGGTAAGACGTGTGTGTGTCAGAGTGTGTTCTAGTGGCCCAGAAATTATAATTATGGAATCTACTGTATCTACTGTAACTCTGAAAGCAGAATAATGCAAGAGGAACACCTGGATGGTTTGTTATAATTGCCAGATTTCTTTGGTGTACAACACAAAAATCCAAATAATAAGGATAACAATATACTCATTAATCCTAATAAAAACTGGACATTGCCACATGATCATTATCTACAAGACTTCTACTACAGTAATGTTCTTTAAGGAAGTACACTGATCAACAATAGTTGAAAAAGTTAGCGTGGATGGAAGGAGAAGTATCAAAATGGACCTGTAACCAAGAGTTGTTCTGTAGCTTCTATTCATGCAAAAACACCATGTATATATTATACTGGCCTAGTTCACCCATAACCCAAAACCCTTGTTTGGCTAACAAACCAAGAGTTGTTCCACAGGCAATCTAACAAAATATGTCTTCCTTCTCAAGAATTTGTTTTCTTTCCCTAGCTACACTTGCCTTCTGTCTTTGTAGCTTGGCAAGCATCTAGGTTGCAGTGGCTGAACAAACCATGGTTAAGGAAAGGTACTCGATTTGCACGCAATGTCAAAACAGTGTCAAAACAAAACTTAGCCAGCGAACTATGGCTTCAGAATGTGGTTTCTTGGCAATTAACAAACCATAGTTAAGCTGCTGGACAGGGGATCAGACAAGCCAACAAATCATGGTTTAACAAGCCATGACTTAACATATGTGCAAACTAGGCCACTATTACCTGCATTTAAACAAAGATTTTTAAAATCTGGCACTGATTTTCACTGCATTAGGTCACTGCTACTTCCTTGTATGGAAACCACCGCAAGACATAGAATAGAAAGACTTTTCATATTATTTTAAGAAAAAAATGTATCTGAAACAAAAGGGCCACCATTAGAAGCTCAAGTGTGGAGAAGAATTAGTAACAGACTCCATTAGATGAGTTATGTCATTATCCTCCAATGGTCAGCCAACACTTCCTTGGCTTACTTGTGTGCGTTATAAAGTTAAGACAAAAATGAGCTACAAAAAAGGCAACTAAGTGACCAGCTCAGCCTACAGCAGGCCTTGGAGTCACCCTGGCAAGAAGAGAACATACCACTTTTTTTTGTTTTGCAACTAATCACACAAGAAAGCAACAGAAAGTTGTTAAAATGTCAAGTGAAAGACAAGATGGGAATAAAAAGCAAGTGGGATGAGATTGGTAACAAGGTCAAGAAACCTAGGCCAGATGTCTTCCTAGCCAACTTAGAGCAACCTGACATCAAAATTGAGAATATCTACACTGTGGCTTTATGCCATTTAACTTCTCTGGCTTTCCAAAGTTGCTGAGAATTCTCCATGGGGAACCCAGAAACTAGTTCTCTGATGAAGGACTTGTAACTTCTTTTTTCTTTTTCTTTTTAGTATGCCTCTGACTGGTCTTAATTCTATCACTAGAGTTCATAGCTTTACAAAAGAAATTGCCATAAAAGGTTTTAAATCAAAGTTTTCTATATGTCCCCGATTCTTAACACTGGAGCAAGAGCTCACATTTTTTATTTAAGCAGCAGACCACGCTGACAGGTGACTTGCTAACACATAATAGGACTAATGCCTCCCAGCCTGGCTCTCATAATTGGGCAATTGCTTGAGGTGATTAAGCAGTAAGGACCTATTGTGAGTCTGATTGGCAATGGCAGGAGGGAATGCCAGATTATCTAGTGGCTGCTGCCATGACACAAGTGTTATTGTGAATTTGATCTATCACCAATAGCATCACTTAACAACATTCTAAGGGCATAGATTTTTACCTTTCTTCCTTGCTTTAACAGCTTCTTCCCATAATCTCAGGGTCTCTACCTGTTTTCCAGGCCAGTTTGTGACATGCTGTTGTGGCTGCTGCTGTTGCTGCTGCTGCTGCTGTTGCTGCTGCTTCTGGTTGTTACTCTCTTCGTTCATGCATGCTATTCCAGCCAAATATTTTTTAAGAGAGACACATATATACAGATGCATGTTAGAGTTTTCATCAAAAGGAATAATTTTGTTGAAGTTTGGCAACTCTTGAGGAAAGTGGATTTGGGTTTTGGAAGATTTGCATTTCCATAAAACTATCCCTTCATGATTTTGAACAGAAGCCGTTGTATGCGAATAATTTTAACACTTCCAACATCACCTCTGCTAGGACAGCTGTATAAAGCTTCAAACCCAGCCATTTAACAAATTGGAGAAGAACTAGGAGACCAAACCCTCACCTTTAAGTGTGCTGCTGAAATGACTGGGACAAACATAGCCTCCCACTGCCTCTCATTTCATGGGTCCAATTTGTTCATCTTAGATCAGGAGTTCTTTAAGGGACACTGACCTGTCTACTTTATACAGAGTGGATGTTACCCTCCTTAAGTCCTTGTGATTAAGAGCAAGAACAAATGAGTTTTAACAGACCTTCCCACTGGAAGAGACCCAGCTGCTTTCCGAACATGCAGCAACTGCAGGGATACCGTCTCTGCCAACAGGGAGTTCCATAATGTAGTTGTGTCAAAACGACCACTTCTGACTAAAGTGTGCACAGAGTGGCCAAGTGTGCGCAGCTGTTCCTTCTACAGTGACCACAGTTGTGGATAAAGCAGATGGATGGAAGGTGGCCTAGCTACATTGACAGACTGCACTGCAGGACAGATTGGCTGCAATCATTTATGGGGGAAACTGGAAACCTATGCCACCATGGCTTGTACAAGGGCTCAGGGTGGTATCCAAAGCTAGTCCTACTCAGAGTAGACCCAATGATGTTAATAGACATGGCTAATTTAGGAGCACCGATTTCAATGGGTCCTCTCTGAGTAGGCCTTAGTTAGATACAACAACTCTCAGTAGCCTGGTTCATTCATAATGGCAAGCAAGAGTTAAGCAACTATGGCTTACTAGGAATAAACAGGTGTGCTAGTGCATGCTGCTCAAACTGCACTTGTCCCACCTCCTCTCTTTTGCAAAGCCAGAAGAAAACAAATATAAACACTAGTTTAGTGTTACATGCACATCAGTGACTGTGGCTTGTTTCTCTCCAAACAAATAAGAACGAGGAATATCTTCTTTGGATTATTCTTGTGACTTGTTTGGAGAGGAACCAATCAAGGGCCCTGGGTGCACATAAGACTTAAGCCAACACTTGGTTTGTGTCCTTCCAGCACAGCAAAGAAGAGGGGCGCAGCTCTGATTTGTACAGTGGTTGCTCATTTGTGTTAAGTCATAGTTTAACATGCAAAGCAGTCCATATCAACAAAAAACTTAGTATCTTAATACAGGCAGGTTATCAGTTACTACATCATGCATTTCCAGCCTAACACACTAACAATATCAATTTTAGACAATTGCTACTCACAAGCAGGGAGGTGCAGATTTTCTTGCTTGAAAAACCCAAATTCTGCAATTAAGAGGAATGTGAGTGAAGCAACTTTGCATAATTTAACACAAGACACCATTTATCTCCACCAAAAGACTTCTTTTGCACTCACAATGTGGAAAGGGGTATGTGGACAAACAGAGAAGGTGAAAGAATGGGGGAGACACAGGCAAAGGAGGGAAAGCAACAGAGCCTATGTGGTGAGTACAGTGGTGCCTCGCAAGACGAAATTAATTCGTTCCGCAAGTTTTTTCTTCTTGCGAGTTTTTCGTCTTGCGATGCACGGTTTCCCATAGGAATGCATTGAAAATCAATTAATGCGTTCCTAGGAAGCCGACTTCAGACCAGGTCCGGGGACAGTCTGTCCCCGACCTCTTCTGAAGGCTGGGGGGGACAAGGGCTTTTCTTCCCACCCCCAGCATTTTAAAAACCCGGGACAGCGGAGAGCTTCTCCGCTGTCCGGGGCGATCTTAAATTGCTGGCGGGCGGCATTTTAAAATTGCCCCGGGACAGCGGAGGACTTCTCCGCTGTCCGGGGCAATTTAAAGCCCCTGGGAAGGCAGGCAGGGGGACAAAGACTTTGCCCCCGCCAGCCTTCAGAAGAGGTCCTGGACCTCTTCTGAAGGTTGGCGGGGCGAAAGTCTTTGTCCCCCCACCTGCCTTCAAAAGCTGTCCAGCCAAGGCTCGCGGACCTCTCCGCAAGCAGCGGCAGCACGGCCGCTGCTTGCGGAGAGTTGCCGGCATGCCGAAGCCTGGGCGCGCTGAGATCAGCGCGCCCAGGCTCCGCGGACCTCTCCGCGAGCAGCGGCAGCGCTGCCGCTGCTCGCGGAGAGTTGCCGGCATGCCGAAGCCTGCGCGCGCTGAGATCAGCGCGCCCAGGCTTCGCGGACCTCTCCGCGAGCAGCGGCAGCGCTGCCGCTGCTCGCGGAGAGTTGCCGGCATGCCGAAGCCTGCGCGCGCTGAGATCAGCGCGCCCAGGCTCCGCGGACCTCTCCGCGAGCAGCGGCAGCGCTGCCGCTGCTCGCGGAGAGTTGCCGGCATGCCGAAGCCTGGGCGCGCTGAGATCAGCGCGCCCAGGCTCGCGGACCTCTCCGCGAGCAGCGGCAGCGCTGCCGCTGCTCGCGGAGAGTTGCCGGCATGCCGAAGCCTGCGCGCGCTGAGATCAGCGCGCCCAGGCTCCGCGGACCTCTCCGCGAGCAGCGGCAGCGCTGCCGCTGCTCGCGGAGAGTTGCCGGCATGCCGAAGCCTGCGCGCGCTGAGATCAGCGCGCCCAGGCTCCGCGGACCTCTCCGCGAGCAGCGGCAGCGCTGCCGCTGCTCGCGGAGAGTTGCCGGCATGCCGAAGCCTGGGCGCGCTGAGATCAGCGCGCCCAGGCTCGCGGACCTCTCCGCGAGCAGCGGCAGCGCTGCCGCTGCTCGCGGAGAGTTGCCGGCATGCCGAAGCCTGGGCGCGCTGAGATCAGCGCGCCCAGGCTCCGCGGACCTCTCCGCGAGCAGCGGCAGCGCTGCCGCTGCTCGCGGAGAGTTGCCGGCATGCCGAAGCCTGGGCGCGCTGAGATCAGCGCGCCCAGGCTCGCGGACCTCTCCGCGAGCAGCGGCAGCGCTGCCGCTGCTCGCGGAGAGTTGCCGGCATGCCGAAGCCTGCGCGCGCTGAAATCAGCGCGCCCAGGCTTCGCGGACCTCTCCGCGAGCAGCGGCAGCGCTGCCGCTGCTCGCGGAGAGTTGCCGGCATGCCGAAGCCTGGGCGCGCTGAGATCAGCGCGCCCAGGCTCGCGGACTCTCTCCGCGAGCAGCGGCAGCGCTGCCGCTGCTCGCGGAGAGTTGCCGGCATGCCGAAGCCTGGGCGCGCTGAGATCAGCGCGCCCAGGCTCCGCGGACCTCTCCGCGAGCAGCGGCAGCGCTGCCGCTGCTCGCGGAGAGTTGCCGGCATGCCGAAGCCTGGGCGCGCTGAGATCAGCGCGCCCAGGCTCGCGGACCTCTCCGCGAGCAGCGGCAGCGCTGCCGCTGCTCGCGGAGAGTTGCCGGCATGCCGGAGCCTGGGCGCGCTGAGATCAGCGCGCCCAGGCTCCGCGGACCTCTCCGCGAGCAGCGGCAGCGCTGCCGCTGCTCGCGGAGAGTTGCCGGCATGCCGAAGCCTGCGCGCGCTGAGATCAGCGCGCCCAGGCTTCGCGGACCGGAGATTTCCCTATGGGCTTTCGTCTTGCGAAGCAAGCCCATAGGGAAATTCGTTTTGCGAAGCGCCTCCAAAACGGAAAACCCTTTCGTCTAGCGGGTTTTTCGTCTTGCGAGGCGTTCGTCTTGCGGGGCACCACTGTACAGGCTACAGTTTGGAGATGGGAAAACTTGCTTCAAGTCCCCCTGCCAAGCCATGGAGCTGACCACTAGCTAAGTCTGAATCGATCCTTACTGGATTGTTGCAATGGTATCACAAATAAATATATATATTCTGAAGCGGCCCTTTTGAAGTTATTGGGGAAGAACAGGAGTTATGAGGAAGGGCAATACAGAAACCTTTCTTGCAGACTGCTAATCCATGACTGACTCTTGCCTCTAGTATCTGAGGAGACTGGGCAACAACACACATAATTATTTTCCTTCAATCTGGTAGGTTATCACTTATTTTGTAGGTTTATTAGTTCTTAGTCAGCCATACTCATAAACCTATGAAAGTTACTAACCCACATCTTATTTGTCCTGTCTCATCTACATATGCAATAGAATGAGGCAAAAGATTTCTGAGCTGGTAGACTGGACTTACTACTTTTAGACAACAGGTGGAAGATGGGAGGTCTTTTAGTACTGATAGTAAAACTTTCTCTGCAAATAACCCCCTCTACCAAAGAATATCAGGGAGATGGATCTACTGCAATCTGCTTCTTGTTGTGCCAGTTTTCTGTCTGAAGTGTTATTTATTTTTAACTAGCATTCAAAAATGCCACTCAATGATGTGACACAGCCTACTGTACCACTTCAGATCTCTACCTTCTCATTCTACTGCATGTATAGGCCAAATCTTGTAAGTGACAACTCCTGTCCATTCTTACTCACCACAAATTGTTATTTATAAACCTATGTTTGGATTAGCAAATTCTGACAATCAAAACCTATTATGTGATGAACAATTCGATCCTATAAATTTCTTATCTTGCTTTACCCATAGCTATTACGTGCCTTCAAGCTTTTTCACAGACAACAGAAGGGAAAAAATGAAAACATTTGTTGTTTTATGAAAATCCTTCAAAAGATGAACTGAAGTGAGCTGCTGGACCCCTAACTCCTTTACGATCCACTGAAAATTCCATTCTCATGTAGCTGTTTTAGAGGAGGAAATGTCTTCATTATCTGCACTGCTAAACATGACTGGGCATTTCAGCTGCAACAACCAAGATTTATCTTCAGTGCCCTAAAAACTCCATCAGGATGAATACTTTGTTTAAAAAAACTTGTTTAGTCATCAGGTCTAGCATGCCAAGAACTTTGAAGCGACAATTCAGGGCCTGCTAAAATCAATGGGATGCTTTCCACCAACTTCAAAGAGCTTTGGGTAAGGCCTGGCAACGTTTGAGATCGACTGAGGTAAGGAAAGAAAAATTGGTGCAAACTCCAGTGTAATACAGAAATTCCTTTCCTTGCAAGTACCATTTGTTTGACTACAATTCCCCGCCATTTCTCACATAAGCTACAGCAGGCATAGGCAAACTCGGCCCTCCAGATGTTTTGGGACTACAACTCCCATCATCCCCTCACCACTGGTCCTGTTAGCTAGGGACAATAGGAGTTGTAGTCCCAAAACATCTGGAGGGCCGAGTCTGCCTATGCCTGAGCTACAGCATGTATTTTATATTTTAAACATGCCACACATACACTACATATAGCTGATGCTAAAGAGTACGTTGAAAGACTGTTTTGAAAAAAGGGGGTGTCCACTTACTTTTATTGATGCCTTGTTTACAGGTATTACAGTTGATACTTTGGCTTTGCCCATGAGTCTTTAAGTGGCTGGTAATATACGCCGCGCTCAGAAGTTTACCACAGATGTTACATGACACCTTTCCTTCATGGCGCACCATGTGTGTCCGCAGCCTGTCTTTGGTGGCAAAGGCAGCCGTGCAAGTCTACATGGAGGGAAACAGAAGGTTTGGGCAGGTACCCTTACACCAATGAATGCTAATTTTAGGTATATTCTTATTATTAATACACCATCAGTCCTTACACCCCACAAAGGAGGAACTAAAATTTGAGATTTAGTTCAAACCCTTCTGATGTGCAATTAAAGCATAGCAGTATTCCTCCCCGTAAGTATACACAGTGAAGGAAGACCCCTTTCATTTGTAGCCCAACCAGTATGGCTGCTCCCCACCCCACCCCAGTAGTCATATCGATCACAGTATGTGTAAACGGGATGCAGCACTTAATTTGTTAAAACACAAGTAAAACTGTAAACCTGTATCTGGACTGTACAACTTTAGACTGCCCAGAGTGGGAAGACAGCAGGGGAGAGTATCATGACTGAATCCTCCTGCACACGAATTATTTGCAATATAGGCTAGAATCCTTCCTCTCCTTCTTTCTGGAAAGAATCTGTGTGCGTATAATGCCACTCAACTATGTGAACCATGAAGTGGTTTGGGAGTTTAGCACATCTACCAGGCCTAACATGCTTAGCCACCGAAGTACGCTTTTGCAGCTGGTTAGTATGAAGGCAGTATGAAGATGCAGCCGATAAAAGACCAATCTAAATACATTCTGGGATTCTATGAACTGGATACCAACTATGGTTCCAACCGTCTCTTAACTGATGTACCCATTATCCAAACACTGAACAGCATACTCATGTCATAGAGCTGAGTAATACTTAAAGAGGACAAAAGTGGGACTTTTGTGTTTTGATAGCAAGACAGTCTCGCATACCAAACTGCCATGGGGCTTATAAATGCTAGGAATACACACACAGGTGGTCTCTTGTATTGTTTTCTGCCAACACTCCTGCTTATGATTTTTCCACTGTTCAGCTACATTTAGTTAAATAAAAATCAAGACAAAAACTAAGCACAAAGCATGAAGAGACATTCCTTTTAATTCAAAGCACTAGCTGGCCATAGCTGAGTCATGGAGAACAAGCTCAGTCTTGCACAGATGAAGCAAGATAGAAGAACAGCCAACTGTTCAATCAACTTAGCCATTTTGCTTGCCTTTAAGCTCAACCTTGTAAACTAGTTGACAAGTTATTAGCCAATACAAAAAGAATTGCTAGTCTGCCTACATATGCATGCAGGTTGTCATTTATGGCACAGTAACAAGTTGTAAGTGGGGAAAAAGAACACAACTATTCCTTCAGTTTACAAAAGCTTAATCATGCAGTCAGCTGAAGGAGATTCCTATTTGCAAACAGATATTTGCAAGTCTGACTTTGGTTCCTAGCTAACTTTTGTCACAAGAAATTGTTTTCAATACTGGGGCTAGAACTGGCAATATTTGCTGAAAATGCCTTAGAATGTGTTTACTGAACTAAGACTAGATATGGTCTCAGGATGGAGGACATTTTCCATTCCACTGGAGGAAACAGTGAAGTTAACATGTTTAAGACAGCAAAACAAGACACTCAGGTAATCCACGTGTACAGTCCTGCTCAAATACAGAGACAAAAATACATTCATGCTTCTATCAAGAACATTTGGGGCATGTACATTCAGCCAAGTAAACATAGCTACACATTTTATTCACTCATTAAATGCATTCATGTACATGCATTCATGTTGAAGAACAAAAGTTATCTAAGCAGCTTACAATGACAGTATTAAAATGCGCTCACACCCATATACACCTCGTATAGACACTGGAATGGTTGGGGCCCGTGCAGACAGTCTATGGACCTAACACACCTAACAATGGTCCACAGATTAGGAACATGGGAAGCTGCCTTCTACTAAGAGAGAGCATTGATTCCTCTGTCATACCTGGAAATGCCAGAGATTGAATTTGGGAATTTCTGAATTTAAGGAAGATGCTTCACTACTGAGCTATGGTTCTTTCACTTTCTCTTATGACAGTTAAGTGTCCCTGCTTTGGTGAGTTTATTAAGTTCATGCTCTGAAGCTGGGAAAGGGGAAGAGATTCACCTTGAACTTACAGTGCTCTTCTGTGACATGCCAAGCTTAGCATAATGGCACAGACATGACCCAACCACTTTGGGCTGGCTACCAAAGTCAGCCCGAGATCAAGGAAGCTGCTACCAGAAGCGGGAGCTTCTCTCTCCCTTGTGCTTTTTCACCTACGCTGCAAAAAGACTTCTGGGCCATTTCAGCACTTAGCCAAAGTCGCCTCATGGAGATAAGCTGAAAGAGTGCTCTAAAGCAAGGTGAAGCCCTACTGATGCAACCTAAAGGTGAGATTCCAAGGATCCATAATGCGACCCGATCTGGTTCTCAACGCCCCATTATTTCCAATTCAAAGAGCCCCTATGACATCCAAATCCAGACTCTTGTGTGAAGCAGTTTAGCAGACAGCAAATAAATTTAGCACTGTAGATCACCAAACCCCTTACTTGGCATTTGAAGGGCCTCTCTGTGGAATGAACGTGTTTAACATGACAACTTAAGTGATCAGGCCTGTATAAGAAAGAAAAAAGTAGAGACACAAAGAGAACACATTGTTACACATAACACAGTGTAGGTCATTTATAAAACCCAACATCCTCCACAATAAACGATTAACCAACCACCCAAATCTTTCAAATCCATACTTCCCTATAAGCAGCATTCTAAGTGCATTCCTCAAAGAGGTCACACGGCTTGCCTGTGATTATTTGCAGGTCTGCCTAGAAAAAAAATAACCCCCCCCCCCGCAATGGTATAAATGGGGTATACCCCATTGGTATAATTCTCTTTTTAAGAGAAAGATCTACTAGCTATTAGAACTGGAGATCATCCAAATAGAACAGAATCTCTGCTTCCCCAATATTGCTAGATTGGTACTCTTCCTGGTCTGTATAAAATGAGTTGTTTTAAGATCTCCATCCATGGCCTGCTCATGCAAGGTCCAATGCAGACCAACATAAATAATTTTTGTTTTAAATTCACAGGCAGCATGTCCTATCACTTGCAAAATTGCCTTCAGATTCAGATTTTAAGACCCAAGAAGGGTTACTGTCCCCTCCCCCACCCCACCCCGCCTCCCACACTCACTTTCCTTACGGCCCCTTCCCACCCCCACCCCCCGCGCGAACACGGAATGAAAATCCAATACTTGAGCTCGCCTGGGATTTTCTACATGGTACCTCGAAAAGCCTTTTCCACAAACACCACAGGTGTAGGGTTTGGTGATGCCACCCTCATGAGACCTCACGTGATAGGTCATGCGGTCCTTCCTTTTGAAACGCTGATTGCAAATTGGGCACTCAAAAGGCTTCTCATCTGAGTGGGACAGCTTGTGCCTGTTGAGGTGGTAGACGTCACGGAAGGCCTTGCCACACATCTCACAGGCGTGGTTCTTTTTGACAGGCTTACTGGGCTTCTTCGCCGTCTGCGTCACCGGCATGGCCGTGGCACCAGCACTGCTGCTTGGGTTGGTGGCGGAGGAAGACGTAGTGACAGTTGAGAGGATACCTGCGATGGTCGAAACCAGCGTTGACCGGTTGTTGTCACCTGCGATGGTCGAGATTAGGGGCACCATCGTTGCAGGAGCTTTCTTTGGCCGTGACACTAACTTTATCCCTGTGTGGCAGGATTCATGGCGCCTCAAATGGTAGCTGTCCCTGAAGGCCTTGCTGCAGTATGTGCACACAAAGGAGGTTTTCGGTTTCTCCTTTTTAATCCCGACTATGGTATCTTTTAGCGTTTCCGGTGGGGGCTGAGGTTTCTGTGTTATTGGTAATGGTAAAATTGGTTTCTGGTCGGGGGGCTCAACAGCAGAGCTCAGGAGTGGCAGCAAACTGTTCTGTGCTGCCTGCTGTTGGTGATGTGATGCTTCGTGTGCCTAAAAACAGAAATATTCATTTGTAACTTACAAACGCACTACTTAGCTTTGATAAGGGAAGACTGCTCAGAAACCTGTTGAGATGGTAAATTCCACGCATTACCTAATCTGGTAGGGTTTAATTTGAAAGGAAAGAGCTGCCCTTCACTGGAACAGATTTGAGGGGGCCCAGCTCCTAATGTTCAAATGGCACTTAATGTGTAGGACTGTGCACATACAAGGCAACAAAAGGATTCAAGCTGCACACAGAGAACACTGAAAGCAAATCTGTACATATCTTACCTTGCTAATTTATACTACCACCACCAAAATTCAGGTTTTTAATTTCCTCTCCCCTCCTGCCCCACACACATTAGCAAGAGTTAGGAAGCCTGACACAAGAATTGAATGCAAGTTATACAGACTGAGCAAACAGAAGGGACAAGCAACTCTGCAAGACATCCAAGTTTTACCACAGGCGTGACTAAAGTTGTTTCATTTTCAAGTCATCAGTCAGTCAATGTGCTTTCAAATTTTTGACACTGTAAGCAAGAAACCTGTCTTAACAAATGAATCTTGTTCTCATGTACAGCCAGCCAGCAGTTTGTGGCACACCTTTTATAGAATTACCTCCTCCAGGAGATCCACCTAAACTCGTCAATTTCTATTTTTAGGAAGCAGGTGAAAGCAGTTCATAAAATCTTCTTTATACTGATATGAAGTACTGGAAACTTGCTATAGCTAGTGCTGGAGTGGGTAACTGGATCCTTAGCTCCCCAACCCACCCCCCTGGGCTGAATTTGACATGTGGGGGCTGCTCATCTATCAATCATCTGACATTGCAAATGACATTGCAGTGCCGTGATGCACAGATATCTACTGATAATCAGGATTTCAAAGTGCTGTGCAGTACTTTGAAGCTCGGCTGATCAGCTGATAGAGCTTTTAATACCAAAACAGGTGACTGACAAGTAGGTGTGGCTTGGTCAAAATTGCCTATAGATGGGCCAGAGGTTCCCCACCCTCAGGCTAATAAATGGAAGAGTGCAGTTTAAGTACTGGTTTAGGCATTTGCTTTTGTTTACTGTATGCATTTTAAATAGCAACCAGTATCAAACTTCCGGGTTTGAGGGAAAGCTAAGAGTATGAACCACCACAGAACATGTATAGAGCAGGAGAGCCTACAGAAACAGCTAGTCAGGTCTGCACTTCTGACTAACTCCCTTGTGCTCTGCAGCTGAGAGGAAGGCCAGGAGGGCTGTATACTATATACAGTCATACCTTGGAAGTCGAACAGAATCCGTTCCAGAAGTCTATTCAATTTCCAAAACATTTGGAAACCAAAGTGTGGCTTCCGATTGGCTGAAGGAAGCTCCTGCAGCCAACCAGAAGCCACGCTGGACATCCGGCTTCTGAAAATCGTTCAAAAACCGGAACGCTCACTTCCGGGTTTCAATCGTTCGGGAGCCAAGGTCTTCAAGATCCAAAGTATAACTATAATGTAGTGTGCTTTCATCTCATATTTCAGACTAATTCATTTGCCGAAAGTGCTGGGAATGTCAAAATTCCAAAGTCTTCCAATACACCTCCCAAGACATCAAAATCCTAATCCATGCTCCATTAAGAAAGCCACCCACACGGCCACCAATGGGATCAGAATGTTGATCCTCAACTGGCTAACAGGCCAGGAATAACAAGTAATGTTTGGTCCGCCTCACCTGTTACTTAATACAACTGTCCTCTGTACTTACTCAGCCCAAAGCCACATTTTTGTACGTTATCAACTGGGGGTGGATTTTGTATGGATTTTAATTGTAGGAGCCAATCTTACTTGGAAAGTGGGGTATTGGTCCATCTAGCACCTGAAGGGACAAACTTATCCAAGAGAAAGGAAAGTAATACTGATTGCACAGGTATATTCTACTTTATTCATAAAAGTATATCAGAGCTGTTTAAAACAATTGCATGTAAAACAATACAATAAAAAGCATACAAAAAGTTAAAATCAAGATTAGCTAACTATTGTGGAAAGATGTATTCGTAACTGCCTACATAAGTCTGATGGAATAGGAAAGTTTTCAGCAGGCATTTAAAGTTTGAAACTGAAGGAGCCTGCTGAATCTCTTTTGGCAGAGCATTCCAGAATACTGGGCTGGTGCCACTAAAGGCTTTGTTTCTTGTCAAATGAACCTCACCAACACAGTTGGTGACACATCAGGAGCATCTTTCTGACAGTAAGAGCTGTTTTACAGTGGAACAGACTCCCTCAGGAGGTTGTGGACTCTCCTTCATTGGACGTTTTTAAGCAGAGGTTGGATGGCCATCTGTCATGGATGCTGTAGTTGAAATTCCTGCATTGCAGGCAGTTGCACGAATGACCCTTGGGGTCCCTTCCAACTCTACAATTCTATGGTTCTATCACACTCCAGCAGATGACTGAAGTGACTGAGCTGGGATATAAGGGTTCAGGTGATCCCTAAAGTAGCCTGGACCTAAGTTGTTCAGAACTTTGTAAATCAATACAAAGACATTGAACCTGGTTTGGCTGTAGATGGGAAGCCTGTGAATATACTTTAACATTGGTATCACATGCTGTCAGCCAGATGCCTCCATCAGCAATGTAGTCATAGCATTCTGCACCAGCTGAAGCTTCTGAACCAGGCCCAAGGGCAGCCCCTACACAGTGTGTGTTACAGTTATCCAGCATCGAGGTTACCAATGCATTGACTACAGCAGTTAGGACTTGCAGTATCCTTCAGGCTAGAAATAAAGTTAAAGCAGAAGGCAAGCTCAATGCAACTCAGCAGTAGTAAAATTCACTACAGAACCCATTTTATTGTGTGACACGTCTTGAACTGTTTCAAAATATTAATAAAATAGTTTCTCTTATTGCTGATTATTGGAAAGTATATTTATGCAGACTGAATGCTGATGAATTGAACTTTTTTTAAAGAGCAAGTCATCCTAAATAATAGAAAATAGGCAGTAAGGATTGAAAATTGCAGCTAAAACATTTTTTTTAGGTCACTGTTCTCAAATACTTACTGAAAATAAGTTCCACTGAGATTAGGAGAACAGATTTGCATATAATTGGTCTGACCCAGAGAGTCTCATGTAGGCTGCCCATTCAGACTGCCACAGTTTTTGTAATTTGCTTTGGGTTACTCTTTTGTGATGAAAAGTGATATAACAAACAAACAAACAAACAAACAAACAAACAAACAAACAACAACAACAACAGGGTGTTCAAACTTTTTCTCTTCAGTGGACTTTTCCCATTTTGACTGAAGTGCTAAGGAATGGCTATGGGTTGCAGAAGATTCCAGGGAAATTTCCAAGGATCCCAGAAAAGAGAAAGAGAGTTGCAGACCACAAGCTTTGCATTGCAGAGGGTATCTAGTTCAGTTTCTAGCATTGCCAAGTAAGATCTCAGGCAACTAGTGATGGGAAAGATGTCTGCCTGAATTTCTGGAGAGCAGCTGCCCGTTAGAGCAGACTGCACTGGGCTGGAGGAACAAATACTTAGACCATGAGGTTACGCCTTACGTTTATTATCACTCCAGTGGTACCTCTGGTTACGTACTTAATTCGTTCTGGAGGTCCGTTTTTAACCTGAAACCAATCTTAACCTGAGATACCACTTTAGCTAATGGGGCCTCCCACTGCGGTTGTGCAGCCACTGCACAATTTCTGTTCTCACTCTGAGGTAAAGTTCTTAACCCGAGGTACTACTTCTGGGTTAGCAGAGTCTATAACCCAAAGTATTCACTATTCGACTTCATCACTAAACCTGCTTGAACCAAGCATACTCCTAGAATATAGGTAGGCAGACTTAAGACATGCAGGATCTCCTTTTTCTTTTTTTTAGTAAAACCCCAAATCCTCAACCAGAACAAAAGACACACTTAGAATTAAAACACTCTAAACCCAATAACTTGTTTTTAATACAGTACAACTGACAGAACTTTCAGTCCTTCCACAAAAAGATCCCCTCCCCTACTCCTAGCTTTCTTCATTTCAGCCATATAATGGGGGGGAGCAAATATTTTGTTGTTGCCATTGTTGAACCACCAGGAGTGTGTTCTTAAAGTAAATTGCTGGCAAACTTAAATAGCAATGTCACCTGCAAAACCACTGAAGTTTCCACCTTTTTACTATGCTATTCTTTCCCACTATAAACACAAGAGCAAATCCCCAACATAAGAACTGAGGTAAATGGACATTAGAGTTATATAATCCCACCCACAGTAATTTCCCCAAAAGGAAGATAAGCCACTTGCTTTCTAAATACAGGCGTTCGTCAGGCGGATATAGTAAGGTGCACGTTTCAGCAAACCATTTTTTTAATTCCTGAGGGGAGCAATTCTTGCAGCTAATGACTGGGTGTATGCCATGCTGCTCAACATATTACATGATCCCTATCTTAATGGCAGCCTATTTGGTTAACTACAAGTTACAAATACAATTATAATGCCCAGTCTGCTCTATTAGATTGTGGATACATTACATGGAGGATAACACAACTGTCGACACCAGTCCACTGACAGGAAGGCTGCTTCTGAAAGCCAACCATGAGCCCGCCAGACAGACAGTACAACCAAGTCAGTTGTACTTGTAATAACTTGTCCATGCTGGAACTAAACACAAGGAGCATGTACGGGGAACTCACACCTTCTGACATGTATATATTTAGTAACACAATGACTAAGGCATTCCAGGCTGAAGACAGGTGAAAATAAGAGATGTACTTCTTATTCTGTCAGCAGCTCCTTGGGGAACAGATTTTAGATCGGCAAATATCGAGGATCTGGTGACAACCCAAGAGGCTTCACTTCTAAATCCATAATGGGTCTATGGCCTGCAAGCCATATCACCTGGATGCCATGGAGAGCACAAACAAGCTGGGCTCAAGGACAAAGGGAATAGTTCTAGCTGAATGACACTTCTATAGAGGGAGCAAAGGTAGGAGAGGACATGACATTTGGTTGGATTTCTCACTTTGCAATGTTAAAAAGAGCTCACAAGAGAAATATTCTCAGATGAGCAACTTTTCAAACACATGCTAACCTGTGCTTAAGGAGTGTATGCGTGGCCCTGTTTCTCGGAATTTAATGAGAGCTTTTGACAGTGCTCTGTATCAGACAGAATAATAAACCAAGGGAGACGTGAGAATAGGTGCTAGCTGTATCCCAGTTTTGAACCTCACTTGCCCAGCATGAAGACAAAAGAGATCCCATGTACAGTTGCCCAAGTATTCCATGACTCTGCTTAAGAAGGGGCATGGGGTGTGGATTCCAGCCATATTCGAGTGTTATCTAGGGGTACTATGTAAGATTTGGCAACCTTAACAAATCTAAGTTGTACTAAGCTTGTTTTCAAAGTAAAGAAAAGTATTTTAAAACCATAAATGGGTCTCACTGTATAGGACTGGGGAGAATTCAAGCAGAGACTTCTTAAAACTTGCCAGAGTACAAGTTGACCCTGAATGACTGCAGAGAAAGACAACTGTACACACTATGTCATTTCCCAGGAATGAACAGTTTGCCTGTACTCTTGCTCCTACTGGAATCAGACCCTATAGGTTCTCTTCAACTGGCCAAATTATTGTTACCAGTACAGTTTATTTAAATTTTGTCTATAGAGGTAAGAAAAAAATTGAGGCTTGTTTCCTTTCACGCTGTATGAGCTGCACTGTCATTTGCTTTTCGATAGTTGGGATTAAGCAAAATTAGTCATACATTTTTAGTCTGAATCAGAATCCAGCGTTGAAATGGTTCTTACTGAAGCTGAGTTAAACAACCATGTTTTGAAAGAACCTCTGCAGTTCCCTCTGCAGTTCATGTCTAGAGGCACTCCATCAAGTACTAAAGTGAAAAACAAAGCCTTTCACAAACTTTTGCTACTAGAAATAGTTTAAGGAGACTTGCAAGGCATGCTGAGTGAGTAAATCCAGGCCATGTTATGCTCACACTAGAGGCCTGCACGAGCCTTGTGAGAACTGGGCTCTCTGGATAGCATAGGCTGGTTCTGAAACACCTGGATAGCTTATTTCAGAGGAAAACAAAGTCTAAACCCTCTCATGAGTCACACAATTTCAACCATATATTTTCACTTGAGATAGTCTGACTTAAACCAGCTAACCCACCTCATATACAAGGAACAGCCAGGGGGTCATCCACAACATGGTTTTGCATCAGGTCCACAAGCCATTACAAGTATCCCACCAGGCACAGAGTGCAGGAAGTGACAAGAGAAGTTCCCAAATATTTCAGCATCTCTGCCCACCTTTCTGCCATTCTCTACTCCATCTGCACATGGCTTAGAAATTAGCACCTCTGGCCACTTTCAGCAAGCCTCGAAGAGGAGACATTTCTGTCCTTACAGAGTCCTCCACTATATTCCAAGCTGAAAAGATGGGCTTAGGAGAGTCCAGCCTCCCATTATTATGAAGTTAGCTGTTGCTGTCAGGTTTGTTTTTAACATTTATTTATTTCACTTATTTACCTAGTAAATGTACTTCTGTAGCCGACATAGAATTAAAAACCAAATTAAAATATTACAACCCCAAAATTCAATAAAAGCCACCCACAACAATACAATAAAATCAGCAAAGCATAAAGCAGCACATGCAAGTCACTAATTACTAATTCACGATCAGTAGCACATCCCTCCAAAAGCAAGAAAGAAAAAAGCCTGTGCAAGTACGTCTGTCAGATGCAGCATCTGAGTTTATTGAGACCAAAAATGGCTGCAACCTTTTTCCAACCGCCACCTTTGAAATGATTGCTCACTGAAGATAAATGGCACTGTGTTGTTCTTTGGGGGGGGGGGGAGGTACTTTCCAAGGATAGGTAATGTGAGTGCCCAATTTTGTATGAATTGCACAGAACCTTTTTTGCCCCAGAAAGGCTCTTGAGCCTGTTAGAATAGCTCACAGGCATCTTTAATATAGCAGGGATTGGAGGCTGGATGACCAGAGCGTGAACCCAACACAAGGTTCCACTTTTCATCAAGATTTCAACTAAAGTATCATAGTGACCCTGTAAAACAATTGCAGCCAAGGATGCAACCACTGGAAACCCAACTCAGACAAGCTTTAACTCTTTTTACTGTATGTATATTTTCCTGTAGGCTCTACACAAAAAAACTGAAGACAGTAAGCATTCGGAGCCCAATTATCTTCATACAAAGTTTTTACATATTTTAATACACTGCACACATTATCTACGATGGCAGCCTGGAAGCAGTTCTCAGCAGGGGGCCAGGGCCATAGCCACCTCTATCAAAGTAGCCTGTTAGTCATTAGCACAGCTCCTACATCTGCTTCCATGCCCTTCCCTTTACCTCTGTTGGTAACTTGAGGCACCAATAAAAAATAATGGAAGGGAAAGATTTGGCCCAAGGCACCTAACCTGAATCACATTATCAAGGCACAAACATATCAGTTCAAAATGGAACACAAATCCTTCAGACAAGATTCAAGAAACCACACTTGAATAAGAGCCTTTTAAAGCTTTTGGGTTTGTGTGGACCCAGCAAGAAACTATGGTTTAGCATCATTAGAACAAGCTTAGCTTCTCTCTGGACTTGCACACTCTTCTCCCCAACCCATGCAACCATGAGAAGACATTTAGGCCCTCTTTTATTACCAGCAACTTGCCATTTTATCTACATCTTGAAAAACTGAATTATTTTACTATGGTTAATAGAAACAATCTAATTTCAAACCATAGTTAAAAGAGGCTGCCATGCTTTCACTAATCACCAGTAAGATTTAGGGTTCAGATAATAAGACTAAACTGTGGTTTATCTGAAATTGAAGTGGAAGCTTCCAAACTCTTCCTTGCAGCCCCACCAAGCAAGGGGGAACATGAAAGTCTGAGGGAGGCTAGGTTCATTCTTTTAACACAAAACCTACGTGACTGTCAAGATGGCTGAACTCTATATACTCATAAAGCTTTCTGCTATAAAAGTAATTTGAACAAGGATATGTACTTTAAGACCTGGGTACCTCACCTTGCTAAGAGTTTGCTGAAACTGCTAAATCAATGTCCCTTTTCTGCCAAAAGCAATGGTTTCTGTGATTCCTACTGATCTCTTGCATTAAGGCCTTCTAAAAAAGGATCAGGGGCTAAATGGTAAATGAGGGCATGAGCATTTAACTATCTTTTGTTAAGTCATTTTCATTCACTTGCAGTGTAGTTTTTATTAAGCCTGGGATTCAAATCAACAGGTCGTGATTTTCTTTCTATTACTGTGATTTCTGTGATAGAAAACAAAACAGTTTCATGACCCAGGGTGGAAGGATTTGGCATTGTGAACTTTCATTGCCAGAAGCAAAGTTTTTTTGCACTGAAGCCTTGATGTCAGAGCAACCAATTATCATAAGTGAGTCATACCTTGGTTGCATTATTAGATGGGTTATCTTTCCCCCAATATTAAACATGCAACGTGTACTTCCTAGGCAGCTATAAAATCTGCTTTAACATATACATAAGCTCAGACACCGGTGTGCAGGCAAAAGTTACTCAGGCTTAAAACCTCCACCCTGCTTCAGAGCAGGGCATTTTCAACACATGAACAAGATCAAAAACCTTTAAAAAGTGGGGGGAAATCCATCATGCACACTAATTGACATTAGCATATTTTTATGAAGTTGACCTCCTCATAAGATTAATTTTTACCCCAACTCTGAAATACTGTACCAAATTATTTAGCTAAGCAGTAAAAGCCAAGTGAAGTACAAATATAACTGTGAGACAGCCATTAAGGTCCTAACATATATTTTCACAATAATCATTCCTTCAAGTGGTTATTATGGAAAGAAGCCAAGGGAGTAGAGGTTGGTAAAGAGAAGAAAAAATGTATCTTATAACCTATGATTCACTAAGGAGATTAACAATGTTCAAATCTCTAAACAGGGAAAATAATCAAACCCATCATTGGACTGCAGATGTATCACTGCTAGAATCTGCCTATGGTAAAACATTTCATTCCTTGTATTCAAAGATAAAAGTCACACAAGAGCTCTTAGTTATCATAAGCTCAAACAGATTCTGTTTTCAAGAGGATTTTTTAAGCCTGCATCCAAAGACTGGGCACCTAAGCGAATGACTCATCTTTGTACTTGGGCGACTATTTTCCTTTAGAAGAGAAAGACTGCAGTGCATTTGCCTCAGATTTATTCCTTCGCTTCATGTTTTCAAACTGGAGTCATGCTTTGTATTTTAAAGAGAACAGAAGACTCAGTGGGAAAATGACGCAGACTTGTAATTTGCAGAGAGGATTATTTTACCTTCAAGAAAGAGGGGGAGAAGAGGTATTGTAATTAGTTTACTTTTTCCAAGCTAAAAAAGGGGAATGGTTTGTAATCTAGGTTCTCACTTGGATTGTAGATTTAAGGAGGAAGTAGCTTGGCATGCTGCATTCCTTACAGAATATTAATGCTTTTAAGTGACTCAAGTTGTAGGCTATATGGCATCATTTTGACTACATTATTCTGGCATCTTTTTAAGAAAAAGCAGTTAATGGGAGTTTTGTTTTTCAAAGGGGTTTAAGCAAGGAGAGCTGCTTAACAGAAGACACGTTCATCATTCACTCAGGCCCTGGTTTTAGAGAGCAATCCCTTGAAAAATATCATGGGCAAGTATTCTTTGAAATCAAAACTGCAGACTAGTAAATTGATTAGGACCTGAACATATCCTGCCCCCACCCCAGACGGTTTGTCCCAACATTTTCTTATTAAGTCAACAAATTCCAGCTGCATTATCAACATGCTCTCTCCTCAAAGAAGCCCAGTATTTGATTCCACATGCAGGTAAGGGGATTCCTGACCTATATCCCAATAAAGAGGGTTAGGCGTGGAAATTAAAATATAATTTGTCCTTAAGACTTGTCCAAAGAACCACTTACAAATAATTTTCAGGAGACAGTGGACTACTTTCCTAACAGAAGAATAGTAAAAACCCAGGGGGTAAGTAGAAGGGCTTTATGTGACAGAGTAACAGAGAGGACATAGAATAAGGGAGAAGGGATAAGAGAATAGTAATTTAAAGTAGGAGAGCAGAACAAAAGGGTAGAGAAAGTGACAATTTTTTGAAGAATGGGCTAAGAGGAAATGAAACATGTGAATACACATCTTTAGAAAAAAGGGAGAGGAAACAGGAGAAACTGGAGAAAGTGATAAATCTTTAAAGAAAAAATATGCTTTAAAAGTACATGGTAAAAACTGAGGGGGAAAACAAAGAAAAAAGGTAGAGGGAACAGAAAGACGGAGAAGGAACTAGGAGGCACAGCAGATAGAAAAATATGAGGGCAAAAAAAAGTAGTAAAAATGGGAGGACAAAGTTGCAAAAGGTGGAAGAGCATAATTGTTTAGGGAACAAGAATTAGTAGCTCAGTTCAAAACTGGAAAACAACAGAGGAGGGCATAGAAGGGGAGGAATACAGAATTCCACAAGCCAAAGTAAGGAGGGGCAAAAGATCAATGATTTGCAGGACAGAAAAATAATGAAAAATCAGTAAAAGTGGCACCACTAAAACATGGTTAAAAAAAGAGAGGGAACAGTTAAAGGTAACATGCTGGGGATAAGGGCGGCCAAAGTAGCAGCAACTTACAAAGTAAGAAATTCCAGAGTAGCCGTTAGTTTCAGAACACACACATACACACACAAGGCCCTATTGCACCTTAAAAGACTAAAGGGAAAGTGCGGATGATGGGAATAAAAGGAGGGATAAATTCAAATAAAGCACCAAAGAAAACATAAAAGCAAAATAAATGGGGCAAGGGGGAGGGAGCCAGCACTTATTTTTAATAATAAAAGGTAGCAAAAGTATCTTGGGACAAGAGAAATAATGCAGACCAAAAACTACTAGGAGCATGGGGAGTAAAAGGTGTCGAGATCTTTAGAGGGGGTAGAGAGGACATGGTAAGGATTAGTTAAGGAGTCCCAAAGCAGAAGAAGTATTGAGGGAGAAAAATAAGCAGCTCAAAAACACAAGATGTAGAGGAGATTGAAGTGAATGAAAAGTATGCAGAAAATCCTATTTTCCATTGTGGGAGTGAGGAGAGAAAAATAATTTAAGATTCCCAATTAAATACGGGGTAGGGGAAGAGATGAAAAATGCAAAAAGAGTTGAGGGGAGAGAAGAAAGTAGAGTGTACAGAGAATCTCATAGCAGGCAGTTAGTTAAACATCCTAAAGAACTGGAGGGAGTTGGAATAAAGAATGCAGCAGAAAATGTGGTGGCAAGGGAAGGAGCAAGAGAATGTGCACAGAGAAGCTCATGGAGGAAAGAGGGAAAATTAGTAAATGAGTCCTAAAGAACTGGGGGGGAGCCAAAGAATGCAGCTGCTGAAAATGTGAGTGAGGAGAGGGATATGCAAGGGGAGGGGAGATTAATTAAAATCGTAAACAATTAGAACATAAAAAAGAACTAAGAGCATGCACACACACATATATATCAGTAGAAAAATCCGGTGGGGTGGGGAGAAAGGAAAACTAATGTGTCAAGGAGTTTAACATATAAAGGGGCACGGATACTTGAGCACAAGATGAGAAAAAGCACAGAAGCACCAAGAAGTACAATAATATATATAGGAAGAGGTTTTGTTCCCCTTAAAAGCCTCCGATATGAGCCCAAGATGGGGGGGGGACGACTCCAGATCAATGGGTGGGGGAGAAAACACTTAATGGTCCCCTTAAAAAAAGAAACCTCGGCCACCAATATCTGCGCAAATACGATGAGTAGACAGGAGAGCGGAGGGCAGCCACCACTCCCCAAATTAAAAAAAGGAGAGAGCTCGAATTCCTTCTTCTTTGGGAAGAAAAAATGGACACACACACAAAAAAACCCCAACCAGCAAAGTATTGGGGGGGGGGGAGAAGAGGAAATCCACCTCCACAAAACAGGTTTGTGTTTGTTTTTCGGTAGTGGCGGGGCTGCTGTTTCGGACGCAGGAGGCTGCGGGGGGGGGGGAGGGTGCGGGAGAGAGGAGAGAAAAGAGAGAAAGAGGGAGAGCGAGCGCGCTATAGCCGGCCTCCCACAGCGCCGTAGAGAGCAGCTACATTCTCCTCCCTCCCTCCCTCTCCCTCCCGCTATTCCGCCCCCCCCCCTCGCGCGCGGCTATTCTTCGGGGGGGGGGTCGCCCGCCGCCGATGCTGCTGACAGAGCGAGCCGGCCCTTTGCAAGAAGAATCAGGGCCTGGCGGGGAGGGTTGCGCGGGGTGCCTTGTGCGGGGGGGGGGGGGAGGCAGGCAAGCGCGGGCGGGAGGGAGGGAGGGAGGGGGGTTGGGGGAGGGAGAGGCGGGGACATTTAAGGAGGGGGGGGCTTTTCAGAAGTGCGCGCGCGGTGCTGGGGGGGGGTTGGTTTTTGAAGAGGGTGGTCGTCTTTTCTCCCCTCACCTGAAAGAGGAACGCGGTCCAATTGGCTTCCATGGCTTTGGAAGCGGCGGCGGCGGCCGGGAATACGGAAGGTTATATATATATATGTTTTTTTAAAAAATAAAAAATAGTGCCTTCTGTATATAGATAGATAAGAGTTATAAGATATAGATATATATATAAATGGTGCCTCCCTCTCTCTCTCTCCTCAGGCCCGGCGGCCTGGTCTTTTTGCGGCTCCTCACAGCGCCCGCTCGCTCTTCCTGCCTGCTCGCCTCCCTCTCCCTCTCTTTTTTTTCCCCCCTCTCTCTCTCCTCTCTCTCTCTCCCCCGCCCGCCCCCCTCCCCTCCTCCCTCCCCCGGGCCCCCAACTACATGGAGCCGACAACAAAGCACAAGCGGCGGCGGCTGGGGCTGCTGCGGCGGCGGCGGCGGCGGAGGAGGAGGAGGTGGAGGAGAGGAGGAGGCTGCTCAACATGGCAGCGCCACAGCGGCCGCGCTTCCGCTAACCCGCGGGTCGTACCATCGCCCCGAATAGGGGGGTTCGGCGGGAAGAGGAGAGAGGGCGGAGCCGGGTGGGGTGCCGGGGACCCCGCTCCTCCGCGCCCTGGCCCAAGGGGGGCTGAGCTCCGGTGCGGTGCGGGGAAGAGAGGGGCGAAGGGGAGCCCGGGGGGGAGGCGCGAGGCGAGGGTGGTGAGGAGGGCACCCCCGCGGAGGCGCGGAATGGGATGGCCCGCTCTCCTCAGGCTGCTGAAGCGCGGGGCGTGGGGGGGGGGAGGTGGAGAGAGAGAAGCGTTTGAGCCTTTTTTGAGCTGTGAGAAGATGGAGGAGAGAGGGCTGAGGGTGAAGGCCCGGGCTGGTCACCAAGGCTATTCCCCGTCCCGCCCTCACTTTTTTAAAAATAAAGCCAAACACAGAGTGTCCTGTGAGGCTGAAAAGCGGGGAAGAGGAATTCCTGTCAAAAACAGCATCTGGGGGCGGAGGAATTCCATTTTTCCCTGAGAAGTATTAAAATCCACCAAAATCTGCTTCACACAAATATGTATAATAGGTGTTGCTTAGCGGGGAGAAATCTCCCCAAAGACAAAGGCATACGCAAAATAAAACCCAACCACACACACCAGAAGATGACAATATGAATTATTTTATCAAATGGGCTTCTCGTTTGCCTTTCAAAACATAATTGGCTTGTTACAATGTTCTGAAATAAATGTCACCATTCACAAATAATGAGACCAGGCAGAGCAGGGTAACTCTTCCATGTCAAACCCAAATCCCCAGCCTAAAATTCAAAATTGCAACATTGGGGAAGTTTAGAAAGTTGCATCCTGCAAAAAAAGAATCCTGCCATTTACACCATCTAAGCTTGCAATCCTAAAAGGACTTAAATGGGAGTAAGTCCCATTTAAAATAATGTGACTTTCTTCTGAGTAAGCTTAGGATTGCCCTGTATAGCACTTGGGTGTGAGCCTCATCTAATGCAATACGACTTACAGCTAACTTACATATACAGAACCCTGTACAGATTTCTTTAGTAATGTAGGGTTTCCTTGTTCTAATCTGAAGTAAAATTTGTCAGGTCAACAGCAGAATCCTGCATGTTTCCTCTGAAGAAAGTTCATTTTATTTATTAAGATACTTATATCTTATCTGTCATTCTTCAGCATAAAACAAACCACCTTTAAAAACGTACTCCCAGACTTGCATAGGATTGTGGCAGACAACTCCAATCCAATCCTAAATGAACTTGGAAGTTAACTTCAAGTAACGTTAATGGAACTTCCTACTCATTAAAAGATGTTTAGGATTACAGAGAGTCTAGAAAGCAATTCAACATATGTGGTGCCAAGTTATTAATAAATGATTGCATATAATTGCCAAATTATTTGGCAATATTGGTTTTTTAAACTGTTCATAAACAATGGTCTTAATCTATGGCATGCAGTATATTGATTCTATTAACTCGACCATGTGTGTATTCTTACAGTTTTTGCTTCTTTATTTGATTCTCTCTACTTCATCTATTCTCCAGCCATCCATACAATCAAGGCCATTATCTGTGAAAGGTTATGCCACAGTAACAGAATCTCTAAAGTTTATTTAGTATGCAAACGGGGGTATCCTAGAATAAGAGATATCTGGCAACCCTACTCAACATCCAATGGAAACACGGTTCACTCAATCAAGAACCACTCGGAAGTTAAGTGCCCATTGTGTTTCGCTCTTTGGAGAGGCCTACAACTCTTTATAATGCCCCAAAAATCCAAGGAACAGAAAGTAGTACTGGATTGTGGTTGAAAAAGCAGACTCACCCCAACCCCAGAGCAAAAACATCTGAATCCGGTCAAAAGTTAGCTGGTCAATAGTGGCTGGGCACTGCCCCACCAAACTCAGTCTGTCCTCGGACAGCCCCCACCTGCTTGACATCTTACTTACATGGGAAGCTGCCTTAGACCGAGTCAGAGCATTTGGTGCCTCTAGCCCAATACTGTCTACACTGACTGGCAGTGGCTCTCCAGCATTTCAGGCAAGGAGTATTCCAGGAATTGAACCTGGGGCCTTCTCTGCCAAAATGTTACACTGCTGCCATCCTTCTAAACATGTTCCTGTTCAGGTTTCTTAGCCAGCTGTTCCCACCAAGCAGAAAATCTACTCCCCAACTCTGCATTCTGTTGCTAAAGAGCATGATCTTTATGGGCTGTTTTTAGCTCACTTAGATTTCCCCCACTCCAAATCTTTGGGGATCCCCTGAGCAGGTTTCCACTTCCCTCTTGCTTCAATCACAGTCACCACTTTTGGGCTACCATCCTGCTGGTGGTACTCACCACCTGAGTTTGCTAGTAGAAGCAGCAATTAACAGTTGATTGCTGTTGTCTTTAAAAATATCTGCTGGTCAATTAGCCAGGGGACAAGATGACTGTTTAATTGGTCACATAGTGTTTAACTGATTAACAGATCAACAAAACAGTTACAGTCCTACTCTTTAGGCGAATGCCACTCAGGTTGTGTACCCAGTACAATACACACCATACATTTAAAGCACATGACTTCTCCCAGAGGATCCTGGGAACTATAGTTTGTTAAGGCTGCTCTGTGTGGGGGGTGGGTAACCTACAGTTCCCAGAGGTTTTCTTTAAAAAATATGTAGGATATAGAATGGAAAACTCTCATTCTGCAACTCAAAGTCAGCCTCTTAAGGAAGTTTCCAGCAGCCTGATTACAATATGTGTCTTTATTTTGGATCTTATTATTTGTGTGGAATTGTTAGATTTGTACTTTTTGATGTTTTGTTCATTGTTTATGACTGTTTTTGTTAGGTTTGTAGTTATGACATTTTTATGGGTTGCACAAGCCGCCTTGAGAGTGGTTTTAACTTTGGAAAGGCGGCAAACAAAGAAAACGATGGATACATTATCACCATATAACTATGTCAAGGGGTGGGGAAACTTGTGGCCCTCCAAACTCTACTTGGAATACTATTCGCATCACCCCTAAACTTGGGCTGTGCTAGCAACATCTGGGGGAAACACATGTTCCCCATCTCTGCCCTAGGTACCATCACCTACACTGTAGAAGGGGCACACAATGGGCTATGAAATAAGTTCGCTGAAGTTAGTAGCCCATAACAAAAGTCACTAGTTTATTTTATTATTACTTTTATATCCCACATTTCTTCCAAAGCGCCTCAAGTGGCATACATCGCTCACTCCCTCCTCTCCTGATGTCATCATCACAACAACCCCAGTACGGTAGGTTAGGCTAAGAGACAGTGACAGGCTTTTCGTCACCCAGTGAGGTTTGTGCCTGGGCAAGGAGTTGAACCATTTGTGGACGTGCAAAAAATGTCATTTTTAGAGGTCCTTGCCTGTCCCTGCCCCCTCAAAAAAAAAACAAAAAACCTTAAACCCTAAGAATAGTATTTACAAGCCTTGGAATAGTATACTCAGTTCCCCTAATAAGAACTGCAAAGTTAAGCATCATCAGCTAGTCTCTATCCAAGCACCAATGGCATTTTCACGCATTGTTCCAGTAATGAAAGCCATGCAACCACCTATTCACAGGCAAAACGGGATCCTGAAAACACAGAAAAAGAATTCAACAAGGTATATCTTTACCCTTAATGGGGCAAAGTTTGCTCAATAAACCTGTTGACAATGTTCAAGAAAACTTCAGAAACCAAAGCAGTCGGCTGAGTCTGGAATAACCTTGTGAAGTGAAAGGATAAGAAAGAGGGATTTATATCTAGATGTTAGGATAGAGATGATAAGGAAAACAGGAAGATACAATGAAAGGTAAATGAGGTGCTGTGGGATTGGTGGAAGTCAATGTTCACTTTCCTTTTTAGTGTTTATATCATTAATTTGTAAGATTTGGATTTGTGTTTTTTTTATATGCTTGTGTTTTGTGTATTGTTATTTTTCATTTTTTGTTGCTGTGTGGAAAATACTAATAACATTTACTATTTAAAAAAGAAAAAAGAAACCAAAGCAGTCAATACATAGTCTGTTCTCCTTCACGGAGCAGATATATATATAACTTTAGAGCCCTGCTGGGTAAAGACCAAAGGTCCCGTTTCCCCACAATGGCTAACCAGATCCTTTCAGGAAGACCACAAGCAGGATGTAAAACCCACAGCCCTCTTCCGATTGCTTCCCCCCGCCTTATGGTATACTATTTCTGAACCTGGAGGTTCCATTTCGTTATGACAGCTCGTAGTCATTGAGCAACCTATCCTCCCATGAGATTAGCTAATCCCCTTGCATCATTTCCCTGGGGTGGAGGGCCTGCAGCACTCCAGATGTTCAACTTCTATCACCCCGTGATCCTTGGCCATGCTGGTTGAGGCCAATAGGAGTCCATGCCCAATAACATTTGGAGGGCCAAAGGCATGTCTCATCAGTGATAGATACAGGTATATATAAGTGATATATACAGGTCACTCTCGGTTTGCCTTAACATCAGAATTTTAATTAACATAAATAAATACAGAAATCAATATATTTGGCCTCCACACAAGAGCTTCCCTCGGGAATAAAAGTCACCACTATCTGCATAGCTCAGTTGGTTAGAGCATGGTGCTGATAATTCCAAGGTTGCAGGTTCGATCCCCTGTATGGGACAGCTGCATATTCCTGCATTGCAAGGGGGTTGGTTGCACAGAAGAGAAGGATGGATCGAGAACCCAGTTTGATCAGGGAGTTGGGGGCATGGACTCTGTTACATATTCTGTTAATCCAGAATGCGGCTGCCGGACTGGTGCTTGGTAGCGACCGCCGGGACCACATAACACCGGTTCAATGTGAGAAGTGAAGTTACAGGGAACCAGGCAGAGGGCCTTCTCGGTAGAGGTGCCCGCCCTGTGGAACATCCTCCCGTCAGATGTCAAAGAGTGAAACAATTATACAAATTTTAGAAGACACCTGAAGACAGCCCTCCGTCGGGAAGCTTTCAATGTCTGATATATCATAATGTGTTTTT